AATTTGAACTATGTTTTCCTACATATGAGGAAGAAAGCAGGCAAAACGTGGGGTTTTTGTTACGTTAACGAAATGGTACAGTGGATGCAGAAATCACAAATCTTTCCAGTATATGTGCACAAGAAGTATCAGTATTGGGATATTAGCCTTGGTATCAAATTGAAAAGAAAATCGGTGGTGTCCCTACACATCACCCCTTCTCACCACCCATTCATCACTTTTACAGGGTGTGTAAAAGGGTGTGTGTGCGTGCGTGCGTGTGTGTATGTGTGTTTGTGTAGTCACTGTACAGGAGATTGATGGACTGCACATGATTGAACTCAGAATGGGGTTACTTATGTCAAAATTACTGATTAGAAAACAGCTTTGATTAAATTACACTGCGTAATTAAGTTATAGCACAGTTTTATTGGTGGAGCTGACACCCACTCTTTTTCTACAAGGTTTCCCAACAATGTCCTCTTCACCAGCGCTTCAGGGGAGCTTTGGAAAATGGTTCGCATTGGTGGACAACCTTTAGGATTTGGTGAGTTTGCACATTGCACGTAAGATCCCGTCACTCCAAAATCTCTCGTTTCCAACACTGACTAAATGTAATGCATTGTCAGTTATTTTGTTATTTATTAAAATGCATAATTTTTCTTAATGGTTTACTTTTGAGAAGATATGGTTAAGTAATCTAATCAGTAACAGTTTTCCTTTTGATTATTTCTTGTTCAGATGAATGTGGGATTGTGGCTCAAATATCTGAACCATTGGCAACAGCTGACATTCCAGCCTATTACATCAGCACCTTCAAGTTTGACCATGCTCTGGTTAGTACTTTTCTTTGTAAATTTAAAGCTGCGCTGTGTATGTTTTGGGGAGTCCTCTCTGGTGAAAATGTGTAATTGCACACAATATTTGTGATTAAAATATTGTAACATCAGTTGGGCTTCCAACCCCTTCCCTGAGCGGATGATTGTGAGCGTGTTAAGAGTTTTAGCAAACTCGGTCAAAACTTGGACAGACCAACAGTCAAATTTACACAATTTTGTGTTGCTCTCAATGTTGTTGATCAGCAAGGGCATGTTTGATGTCTGAGGTTTGCTTAGTTTTGCACTAGAGCTATAAGGTTAATGTAGATAACAAGGAATAGAAGTTCAGAATGTGGAAAACAGCACCCACTTGCCTCAAACCATGTTAATTTAAAGCAGCATTCTGGCCTAAAACTGGAGTTTAATGTTATTAATTGTTTTATTTCACAGATTTCACAATTTTATTTTGTTTGTATTCGTCCCACTCTAAAATACTTGGCCTGCATTGAATAAATACATCATACAGCCATTGGGAATACCTCTGATGTCTTCAGGCTGATAAACACAACCAAAACAACATTAGTTTAATTCTTGCCATAGTTGTGAATCAACACCGTAAAGAAAATAACGATTCTGTTTTTCTTTAGTGCAAAAAAAGATGCCAAAGACAAGTGTTTTTATTAAACTGGAGTAAAGTATCTAGATAACCAGGCCTTGCTAACCTTAGCATTTAGCTTGTCCGCCTCATCTGACAAGTCAGACAAGTTATGTTACCTATCTGCCTTTCTCCAGCTAACAGAACAAAAAAAAATAGAAATAAAAAATTATATTGACTCAGTAATGCTGCTACTTTCAGTTTTAACAAAGAAAATCGTACATAGTACAGCTTTAAAGCGATGGATAGGCCAACAATTAAATTGATCAGCAAAGGCATGTTTGATGTCGCAGGTTTACTTAGTTTTACACTGGACCTGCCCCCAAAAATCCACCCTAGAACAGTTTCTCAAAAATTCTTCCCACCTTCAAAGTACATCATCAGAAGAGTTTTTTTTTTTGTGTGTTTTAAACTTTAAAACCTCACTCAGGAGACTACTGAGACACTGCTGTAGGATGTGAGTAAGCATGTTTACAACAGATATAGCAATAAATCCATTTTTCATTTTGGTGAAAATGTCCCTTTAGACCTGCTTATCGCTGTTGTCGGAAGAAAACCTCTTGTCCAAAATGACAACTTTACAGGAGAAGGAAAAAACATACTTTACTTTTAATGTAAGTCAATGGAACCAGACTTTTTTCCAAGTCATTTTAGGCTGTTTCTTTTGGTCCATTCTTCATGAAATTTATACACAATGTAAAGGGGAACAGGTATTTTCAAATTATGTCAAAAACTGACAAACGACAAAAATGGAGTTACAAGGTTTTCTTCTGACAGCAGCGTTATGTGATTTCTGACACTCTGACATACTATAATTCAGAAAAATGGACAAAAGTACAAACAGCCCAGGCTGCTACTACTTTTAGCTGTGATGTACTTGTCATTTTTATAGATAACAAAGTGTTAAATAGTGTCAGAAACCACATTAGCAAGTTTGAGATGACTTAAGTTGATGTGGTTTGAGGCAAGTGTCAGATAATTTAGGCTTACAGTTTTAACCTGGTGACTAATCCTCCATTGCTTGTTAGCTGCTTTAGCCTTGTAGCTCCTGGCTGATTGCCTGCATTTGGGGTAAGGAGAACTCTGTGAAGATTCATCTTGTCACCACCTTGTGTTTCTTCCAGGTCCCTGAGGAGAACATCCAAAGTGTGATTGGAGCCTTGAGGACCAATGAGAGCACAGGACAGTGAGAGTCTCTCCTCATTGGAGAGGAGTCTCACACCCCTGCTAGCGTATTGATCTCAATGTCAAAACTCTCTTAAAAGTGCCAAGAGCTTCTCCAGGACCTCTGTGTGTGGGGGAGGGGCTTATGGGAGCTGGGGGTGGGACCGAAAGATGGGGTGAGTGCTGGGAGATAGGTAGGCGAGAGGATGCTTTAGGTTTCGCAGTCAGCGTTGGGCTTTCCCCCTTCTATAAGAAAAAGTTGTGCCAATATTTGTCCCAACTTATTTGCACCTATCCCTTATTACCCTGCCTTTTTTCTACAGGGACCCTCAGCTGGTGTGACTGCAGTGTTGTTTTCCCCCCCCCCTTTCTCTCTCTCTCACTCTCCCTCCGCCTTATCTGCTCCCTCCCCTTACACCATTTCACCATGGCAACGAGGCCTGCTGAGGCCCCGCCCCCCTCCCCAACTCCAATTCCAGAGACATTGCAAATAACCATTATGTATTAGTGACTGGTCCTCCTTGATAGAGGATTTAGAATGTACACCACGTTTTAATTTTTCTGTTTCTTATCTGCGCCTCTTTTTTTCCCCCCACCCCACTTTGCTCACAGTGCCAAGTTACTTTAGGCCTAAACAGACTCCTCGTCTAAAACCCAAGAATTTTGTTTTTTGAGTGCAATTTGAAAGGCGATTATTGCTGATTAGTTTGGTAGTTGGGGAAGGACTATCCAGCTTGGTGATATTCCATTACTGGAAAAAAGAGCTTTTTGTGTTTTTCCACCCTCACCTAAGGCCTGTGTTCATGTGTTCAATGCCAAGTGGCTGAGTTATGAATAAGTTGTTGTTGTTTTCTTGTATCCAAAGTACAATCAGTGGGTTTTCTGTACTCCAGCAGAATTTCTCTAAACTTTCACCAGACTGGAATTGAATGGATCACAGCTGACCCGTTGCTTGGGTTTCTGGGTAAAACCGTAGTTAAACACTATCTCAGTTCAGTGTTTCAAGTCTTTTTGAAGTTACGAATACAAAAATACGTTAGAGAATGAATTGTGCAATTTACTGTAAACTGTTTTTAAAACACATTTCTGATGTAGATTATTATTTTTTTTCTTTTTTGTTTTCCTTCCCCTTTCATGTGTGAAGCTGTTTTGTGTTTTGTGATTGGGAAGAAATGGTGGTGCACCATACTTCATTTGCTTCTTTACCAAGTCCTTACCACTCAGCATTTCTCAAAGCTAGTTCCTCTAGCAAGGACAAGATGTGGGAATTAGGATCGTTTATTGAATGTTAGTAGGGGTCAAGTGTCACGGACACTGGCGTTAATTTAGGCCTTCTACCCTCCCACCCCATTCTGCACTTTATTTAAGATCTTTCTTAAAGATCTTACTGTTCTGATGTGTGAATAACAAAACAAACAAAAAAAACGGGGAAGAATTTGTGCCCCTCAGAAGGAATCTCTTTTTAGAAGGGGTCACTCTTGTTGGTCTTAGCATGGATGATGTTTAGTTTTTTTTTGGTTTTTTTTTATTTTTTTTTCCCCCACAGGCTTTTTCTTCTGTTAGCTCTGATTAGCAGAAACCATGTATTTATCAGTGTTAAAAAAGGGTGACCTGTTTCTTCTCTGACCATTAAAAGACATGAAAACAGTATGTTTTTTCCAGCTTGTAGTGTGTCTGCCATGAATTGCCCTGGCTTGCCTTTGAGTTTTCCTTGGCCTGTCTTTGGAGTTCATTGTTACCATAAAAATCCTCAAGCCAACTGCAAGACTGAATCATTTCTGAATCATCTCCATAATTCACTTCCCCTAGAGATCAATCAAAAATGAAGGGATCACATGATCCTGTGCAGATGGCTATCCTAATAAGTTAGGCCACAGTGACACATTCAGTTGTGAGGATTGTGTACTGATCAATTAAACCTTTCTTGCCCCACAGGGAATTTGTAAAATTTAGGACTGGTTATTGTGTTCTGGTTTTGCCACCTTGAATTTATTTCAGGTTCAGCTGTGTTCACATTGGGAAGTGTTCTCAAGGAATTTACACTGTCCTACATTCCAAAAGAACTATACACTGTATAGAGTGCGTAAACTTGGCCTGTTCGATTTCAGAAATGATTGCGTCAATTCCAATTCCAAGTAATTGGAATCGATGGAGGGGACTCAGCTGATGCCATACAATCTTGATTTCAAAAAACAATACACACAGAAGGACACGTAGCAAATTTACACGTACAATATTATTTATGTGACCTTAGCAAGGAAATTTGGAGACCTACCTAAATTACCTAAGCTAGTCCCTGTTAGCCAACTGTACCCAATTCTCCCTGGTCAACTCCTTCAGGTGGCTAGATGTTTCAGTCATGGCAACATGGTGTAACTCTAAGCCAGATTTGACATTTTACTTTATTTTCCACTTTTCACCAAAGTGAAATACAGCCAGACTATCAATGTATGTGATGTGGAAGGATGCATTTTTTTTATACAGACTGTCTAGACAGGGACAGCAAAGTATCTCCCAGAATATGCCCATGTGTGGTGGTGCAACTTGAATGTCACTGCTTTGACATGCGTTGACTCCTGATAAACAAAAGCCTGGAATGGATTCTTTTTTGGGATTGACTCCCAGCCCTAATGTGACCACATTAACTCTGGTTCATTCTATCCATCTGCAGTATAATGCCCAGATTTATCACTGGTGCAAAGATATTTTCTTTTGTGGTTACCATACAGTGTGCCTGGATGCAGTCACTTTTTTCCTACTGCTACCCCACGCATGAATAATGTATATTGAATGCAGACCACTATAACCTAATGGTCTGCATTAACTTGGTACAAACAAAGGATGTACTTGATTCTGATGGAAATGACAATTTACAATCAACCTTTAAAATGTTCTCTTCTGAGATTTAACATCTTTCTTCAAATAAACGTCTCATTTCAAGCATACTATAAAGGAATATCAAAACTCTGCTTAGGAAAAGCTTCATTAGATTTTGTCTGAATTGCAGTTTGATGACTTGGCCATTGCTTAACTTCAAGATGACACTATTTTAGCATAGACCTGACCTGACTTATAGTGGGTGCCAAAAGAAGCAGATGTTGGATTGCTGCGTTTTGCTCCAGGACCCAACCCTGATCCTGGAGTGCTCCCTGCTTGCCCCGTTTTCCCAACAGGCCTGATCAAACACCATGTCAGCTAACGAACACCTCATCGGCTAATGGAGTTAAAAGGGCGTTCTGATTTTTCTCAATTTTCTACCAATTTTTGAAAGGATGTGCATTATTGAATCTTTATGATGGCAACTTTCAAAGTGGTTCTAGAGGCCGTTCTAGAGAAACCTACTGAGTCTGAACTGTTCATAGTGGTGGTGATAGGAGCCAGATGTCTGAAGTGTTTAAGGCCTCTAAAAGCTATCTCAGCGAAAGATAGTATATGAAATAGTTACGTCTATGCTAGCTGCTGCTGGAGATATTGTTTTGCTTCTGTTGGGGATTTACCATCATCATCACATCTCCATACTTGGGGGACACAAGTAGGTTAACTAGTCATTTTGGGCAGAAAATAAAATGTCTATATTTGCACTGTAGACACTGCAACCCCTGGCTCTTATCACCACACTTAAGAAATTTAAGTTACATCAGACCACTCTTAATGACATGGTTTATATCTCAATTGCACTATGAAGAAGAAGAACTGTTTATATTCTTTAAAGTGAGTGTGTTAGAGCAGGAAAACACTAGGGTTATGCCAGGACCAAGGCAGGGATCTTGTGCAATAAAGCAAGATAGACTGATGATCTTCATTCAGCAGGACCTTACAGAGCCCTATCTCCCTCCTAATGGAAGATTAAATGAAACATGAAGTCTTCCTCTCTGTGGAAGTGGGGGAGTGGTGTGAGCAGACTTTGGAACTGAGATTTGGGTACTGAGCAGCTTATGCACTCAAGCTTTGACTTGATCCCACGTCAGGTGGCGCTGAACAACTGATCCAGGACCAGAGTTATCCCTGGAACCTGCAACTTTACATCACAATGGCCCATTAAGAAAGCTCATCCTGAAACAGGATTTTGAGGTACTGCAAATATGCCCCCACATAAGCAGCTTCCACTCCAGTGCATTTTAGTTCATAGAGTTCATTTGTTGCAGGAGATGTGGTCAGTGTGCTACTTCAAGGAACATCTCAACTATATACGCTAATGTCACTGAATAGATACCAGTGAGCTTGACATTTTCAAAATGGCAACTGATAGCTATATTAGCAGCATTAGTATTACTGACTGAGCCATTCATTACCACATGCAAAAAGGTCATGGATCTCACAGTCTCTCTGGTATATTTTGGCCATGCAATGAAGAGCAGATATGTCGTTACATCTCCAAGTTCAAGTAGATGCACTCTTGGCTTGCTTGATTTGCTTGATCTTGCTTGATGCCATGCAGTACGAGAGCTCCACAGACCTAACGTAGCCATGTGCAAGCTCAAGTAATGCTGGAGCTCAGTAGGATCAATAATGATGGAAATTTGATTTCCCTCAGCCTGACAATTTTGACTTAAATGATGGACTTGACCAGTGCCACCATGTGGTCGACTCCACAAGCAACATTCACCACATGTCCCGGTACTGTCACCTGAAAAACATGAGCATTACAAGTTTAAGGATCAAAAGTCTATGAGGCAGATTCTTTCCTGTATATACAGTCTGTTTGTAAATCTGGAAAACTATTTACATACATACATACAGTGAAAGGAAACAAGTATTCAGACACTTGTATTTCTGTAATAAAATTCTAGTGCATATATTTATTTCATATTTACACAGGTACTGACTTGCAGATCTTAAGAAGAAAAAAGTATATTCAAAAGCAAATATGTTTAAGAACTAAACTGATAGGGAAAAATAATTCAGACACCACAAATGAATAACATTAGTATTTTGTTGCAAAGCTGCTGTTGGAAAGTCTGATGTCTATGGTAAGAAGTAATTCACTTTTTGCAGCATTGTGGTTCAATTCTAGCGAACCATCTTCAATTCCCCAAGAAAGGCTCCTCTGATGGCATTTTTAAAATCATCCATTTATTTCCAAAGGGATTCAAATCAGCGTATTGGCTAGGCTGTGCAAGCACTTTCACCATATTTAGAAACCAGTGCCGAGTTATTCGGGCTGCATGTTTGTCTTGAAACGTCCATTTTTTCTTTTATGGTGTGATTAAACTGTTGTCTACCGGTACACCGCTCCGTTCTTGTTTCCTTCAATGACATTTTATGCCCCAGTACCATCTGCAGAGAAGCAGCCCCCTATCATGATGCTGTACTTCACTGTAGATATGGTGTTCTTGGGATCATACATGCAACCCTTTTCTCCAAACGTTACAAGCTAAATTCTGTTCTTGTGTCGTCTGACCAGAGGACATTGTTCCAAAACAGTTCTGATTTGTCTAAATGCTTCTTTGCAGATTTCAGATGCACATCTTTTCTTATGCTTCCCTTTTAGCAGAGGAGTATTGCATGGGGTGCAGTTCACAGTTACTGTTCAGGTCATCCTGCAACTCTTTAAGTGACTGTTGGCTTCTGTCTTATCTTCCATATCATTAGTTTGAGAGAAATCTGGTGTTTCTGTCAGGGGACGTGGTTCCATGAACTTACCAACTGCACATTTTCAAGTCAGTTGTACTGACAGATGTTTAAGGTCTTTGCTAGATCTTTTCCATTTGAGAGCTGTTTATTAATGTTGTCTTTGAGAACTTTGGGAAGCTCCTTCATTTTCACCATGATTGCTGCTTGTTGCATGAAATCTTCCCAGATCCCATGTGTAGAACATTTCTAACTTCACATGTGTGTATATTTTAATGTAGTGTCTGAATACTTTTTCACCTGATCAATTTAATTTTTAAAAATATATATCTTTGTTCATGCTTATGGATATATAATGGATACTTTATGAACACTCAGAGGTTTAGAGGTACAAAGTCAAAATTCATGTGTAAATATGAAGTGGATATATGCACTGGAAGTATATTAAATAACAAAAAACTAAAGTGTCTGACTACATTTCCCCTCACTGTATATCAGAACTGCATTCTACTAACCCGCCATGGAAAATACTGGTCTTCTTGTTTCCCGATGCCTAAACATCCTCTCACGTTCTTGCCCCAGACAAACAACTCACCACGATCTTAGCAGAGGCACACCTGAGTTCACTTCTGTAATCAACCGATTTCAGCCAACAGTTAATCATGTAATCTCCTGCTTTGTTAGAATGAAAACCTACAGCCACACCAGCCTTAGACACTCCTGACCATGAACAACTGAAAAGGAAGGGAATACGTCACATTAATACAGGGAACAGCTATAAGTCTAATGCTTACCTGTGATAGCTGCAAAGTTAGTGAGTCCACAGCGGATGTGGGAAACTTTTACTGTAGGATTGAACTCCGACCTCCCAAAAAGCGTAGCTGGCACTTTCTCTGGGATTTCAGACTCGGACAGATTAGGCCCTTTTCCCAGAATTCCATAACCCCACACAAACACCTCCCCGTCCTCTGCAAGTAAAATGCTTTCATTACATGCTTCATTTAAAGGGGAAACAGATTTTTCAAAATTTCATCATAATTCATAATGGTTTACACTTCCCAAATGTTCAGATGTAAACAAAATCATTCAGAACAGTTTTGATGTGAAAATGGCAGAGAAACTTACAGGGTCAGATTTCTTTATAGTAGTGGTGATAGAAACCAAAGGTGGTGATGTCTACAGTGCAAATTTAGGCATTTTATTTGCTTACCACAAAACAACCAGTAAGCCCACACATGCCCTCTGATTTGAATATGTAATGTTGATAATGGTAAAATATTGGTAAATCTGATAAAGTTTTCTTCTGTATTATTTTGCCTTACAACACTATGCATGTGCCTTTCCACTATGAATTAATTTTTAAAAACATATTTTAGGCCTAAATCTTTTATAAACGATCATGAAACAATGTCGCATAAGGCATAAGGAAGCTTATTTATAACCATTTCATGTCATGGGAGCTTTTAGAGGCATTAAACTTTTCAGATGTCTGTTTTTTTCCTATCAACACCGCTGTGAACATTTCTGACTTGGACAAGAATTCATATTCATATTAAATGGAAGCCTAACAAGAAACCACAATACACAAGATGTATTTGATTTGTGTGTAAATACTGCCACTTTACATCTTGTTTAGTGCTTTAAGGCCATTTTGCATGACAGATGTTAGCTCAAAGCATGCATGTCTTTCATAGCCCTGAAACAACTGGTAACCATGGCAGCCATTAACTCAGAAGCCTCTGAAGATCAATTGCGTGCAGTTTATAGCTTGCAAAAAGTGCTCCAATTAAGCAAGCAGCTTATTAGATGTTCAACAGTTTTCTCCAAAGCAAATTCTTTACTAACACACAGGCACCCACAAGGAGAGGAGGGGCAGAGCTCACCGTTGAGTACAGCGACCTGGGTTCCCCCGCACGCAGCCTGCGTCACCTTCCCTACCCCCTTCAGAGGAAGCAGTCGTGGAGAGCTGATCTGTAGAGCACATGTGAGAGACAGCTGATCTGAAACTAGTGCAAAGTTGTTTAGTCTCTTTAAAAGAAAAAGCAAGGAAGAAATTTCAAATTCATATGTAGATCACACGAAAAGGCACTAAATTATCAATCTTTGCATCATCTGACCACATTCTGTGTTTACATCTACCTTCTTCATAGAATAGTAACCAAATGTATTATTCACCATGTACATTAGCAGCATCTCAGATTAGATCAGAAAACTTTATCCACTGATTTAATACAAAGTAATTTAACAAAGTATTTATTAACTCTTACATTTAAAATCACTACACACCACTCATACCTCAATGTTGCAAGGAAAGAAAAGTCACTCATGCACTGGTTATTTTATTAGATACATCTACCTTGTATCTACACTCACTGTCCATTTACCACACTGGTTCACACTGTAGTTGAACCAATGTAGTTACAATGACAGATCGTAATCCATCTGTACGACCACTGACCAGGTATTATTTTGATGGTGGGTCATTCTCAGCACTGCAGTGGCACTAACATGGAAGTGGCATGTTAGCTTGCGCTGCATTTGTCTGAGAGTTGCTAGAGTTTTTAAAGACTGTACACTAAGCTTTCTCACTGCCTTACTCGGTGTGCATATTACTTCTTCATTTTGACAGGTGTGAACACCACCTGTACTCCGAATATAATGGGTCTTGGTCCGTGTACAAGCAAACTGTGGTTCAGTTCATTACTGATGTGAATGCGATTTAATGACAGTCTGCACCAAAACAGGGAATTCAACTTTGGAGCCGGTTTCCTGCTAAACTGGATTTTTGTTGTATTTGGAGGGGGAAAGTGATTTGGTGCTAAACATATGCACTGTTCACAATTGATGGCAGTTATCGAACCCAGCAGTGTATTACTGATGTAATGGGTGTGCATTTGGGCCTAACTTGGAATAGATTATCCAGTATAGCATTACTGACTGTACACAGTTCATGTTCAGCATAGCCTATAAAGATAAGCAAGGTTTAAAAATGTCTATGAGTAACTGTTATGCTTGCAATATTATTGCTGTTCATTTGCCTTTCTGACTTGGAATGGAATCTCACAGTTTCTGGAACAGAAATGAAAAGTAAACGTGTTAAAAATATTAATACTCTGAAATCATTGATTAGGTCGTGTGAGCTCTGCAATATATGAAAATAAGATACATATATACATCAAATAAATGAATAATTTTATTACAATTGTTTCGAGTTTCTCTGTCCAGGCATTTCTCTGATATTTGACAGGATTCTAAAATTTACAAGAATAAAAAATACAAGAATATATACAAAACACATAAAACTGCTGAGTTTGTACTGTGGATGCAGTGTATATTCACTGGTATACTTGCACCTGATAGCCATGCTGCTGTGCCCACTCAGCTCACTTTTACATAATGTACAGGAAACCATCTTTTTTATGGTGCATTAAAGCCGCGTTACGTACACTATTTTGGCTAAACTTGAGAGAAGTAGCATTACTGGGTCAGAATAAAAAAATGCTGAGATTACAAAAGTACAGATTGCATGCAACTGCACATTTCCACCAGAGAGGCCTCCAAATCCCCAAAACTTACATTATGCAGCTTTAAAGTGTTTTCAAAGTTTTTGGGGGGTTTCTTGTACTGCAGTCTCCACAATCTGTATTTCCCTTTTTCTGTTGCGTGATGGAAATGGGAAGCGCAAATGTCATCAAGCCAACTAAGCCATAACATAATTTGTTGCCATCATTTTTTTTTTTTAAATCAACATTATTGACTCCTGAAAACAATCAATCATCAGGAAGTAGAGATCAGGTAAGGTTTATTTTTAGAACTCTGCGATGGATCTAGAAATTGGTTCGTGGACTTTTCTTAGTCCAGCACACTGAACCATTAACAGGTCACTACCATGTCAGTGTTACTGCAGTGCTGAGAATGAAATGTATGTATATTGTAAGTACACGTGATAAAATGGAGAGTGAATGTAGATACAAGACCCAATAAAGTGAACATACATGACAAATGGAAACAGCAAAAGTGCTAGAAAGCTGTTGATTTGCAACAAGCAATCAAAATCATAACAAAAGGAGAGTCTCTAAACAGAATATTCACAGCTGACAAGACGACAGATTTTCTACAGATTAGTTAAAGAAGAGCTAAAAGGGACATCTCTTTGGGCCCTTTGACCTTACCTGTGTTGCCTCTGTGACTGAGGCAAGCTGCAGGTACTCAGAGTTGCCCCAGCCGAACAGTTGGCCATCTGTGGATACAGCTAAGCTGCAGTCTCCATACGTGATCACCTGCTGAATTTTGACCCCTGCCAGGTCCCCCCGCACTGGAACAGGGAGTGCAGTCTTGTCGTGATGGCCGAGACCTGAGGACAAACAGCTGAGTCATTTCTCAGAACTCCCCCCATGCTCCTTGTTAATACTAATAACTCTGTGCTTATTGTAATCATAGACCAGTCTGGACAGCGTGTGTAGCCTCAGGAGCAGGTGTCTGAGAAAGGAGAGAGCTAGAGTGAAAGAGAGAGATAGAGAGGATGACAATGATCACACGGACCTGTTTGTCCATCTGCCCCCCATCCACAGGCGTACACTGAGCCAGTCTCTGTCAGGAACAAACTGTGGTCCTGCCCACACGCCACCTAGCAGAGCGGGTGACACATGACGGTTTATTTACCTAAAGTGGCTTCCACTGAATGAGCAGAAACTCTCCTATCAAGGAAGAACTCAAAAGTTACAGTTTTCATAATGATTTGGATATATATGACATATTAAAGAAATAGTGCTGCTTCTTTAGTTCAGAACTGGAGTGGCGAGGCTAACATTTCTGTTGTCAGCACTCCTACTTTATTTTTATAGTTTATAGTTTCATAGTTAAGTCATACTGTGTTCTAAACCAAATAGACAAGTCCTGAGACCTTAATGAAGACCTGGATGCAATTTGAGCAGCGTGAGAGAAGATCTGAAGATGTATTTTACAAAAACTATTTGGGTGTCTACTGAGTTGTAATGTTTCTTAGCAACGTTAACTTCGCTGCTCCAGCTCTAAAATCTGGAAAAAAGAAGGGGAAGACTGTGGAAATTAGATTTTTTGCTAAACCATTCCTTTAAAGGTGTAAAAATGCATTAAAGTAGTGATTCAACTGCATGAATTTTGGAATGTTAGACTTAAAATACTTTTCAAAAAATGTTATGCACTCATTTTCGGTCAAATTAAAATTCTGGATTTATCACTGTTAAGAAAATACAGGTATATATGTATGTATGTATTTATATATGTATGTATGCATGCATGTATTCACCCACCTGAACGACTCGGCTGTCAAAGCCCTCTATCTTGTGGACAAGATGGCTGCCACTGGAAAGAGCACAGGAATGAGTCTTAATGCAGACCTGGATGTGGTTTGAACAAGCTAAAAGAAGTTTTTGGGGATGTATTTTTACAGGAATAATTTGGGCTACTGGGGTGAGTATACGGAGTTCTAGTGTTTCTTAGCAACGTTAGCCTTGGAGCTCCAGTTCTAAATTAAAGAAACTAAATTTGGACTGCAAACATGTCTCGGCTGACTGAGCACGTCTGGGGTAAGTGGAAAATTGTGTGAATAGACATTTAGGTAACATCTTTTTTTATTGTTTATATTGTACTTTCAGCGATTTAAACTTAACCCGTCTCCTAAAATACAGCATAACTGTTGTTAACTTGTTAAATAATGGTACACATCAATATCTAAGCTCGTAAATCTGAGGGGTTGGCTAAGTTTTGCCTTCCCCTATCTAGTCAGTGTACTCACATGTGATTTGTATTATGGCAACCAATGGACATGCAGTGGACATGCAAGGAAGACTACAGTCTGATCATACATATTGATATTTTTTCACTTGTAACACTCCCAAGTCACTTTCAGGTGGGTGAACAGGTTCTTAATGGTTCATGAACCAGGTATGTACTACTGCAATTTCTCATTAGAAGAAAAACAAACACAAGTATTTGTCAACTTCCAAATGAAGAGCCTCCAATTTATGAAAAGACATTAACATTTTTATCGACCTCTCAAACCTGATGCATTAATGCAGAGAAATGAATGAATATCTTAAAGAACACTTTAAAATCAATTTGCAAACAACTATGAAATTTAAAAAGGGGGGCTAACAATATATGAAAACAGTGAACTTTATGGTTACAGTAAAAACTGTGTTTAAAGACAATGAGAGAATATAAAAAGCCTGGTAAATCTGCACAGCACTATGTTAAGCATCCTTCTCTGTTTATCCAGGCCGTCCCTAAAGCACAATCACAGCTCATTTTCCAGTATGAGTCAAATGTGTGATTCATCTCCTCTTAAGCTGGCTTGGATAATTAAGCTGGGAAGGAGCCATCTCTGTGACGTCCACTGCTGCTTCACATCTGCTTATTTTGAACGCAGTGTGGGGCTGAAAGCAAGACACAAACCTGTAAACTTCATCCTCAACTATCTTCCTTCCACACTGGCCGTAGACGTTATTACCCATGCTGAACACTGCAGGGAGAAGTAGAGGAAAGACAAAAAAGGTTGGATCTTCAGGTCTCCCGATTGTGCTACTGCATTTTGAACACACAATTAAACAATAAACTGATTCATCAAAAAGGCTAAATTATACAAGAGTGCTGATCTAGAATCATCTGCCTCCATCCATATACACAGAGTTGCCAGTTTATTAGGTACCTTCTAGCTACACTCACTGGCATGCCACTACTAGGCCTGTGCATATTTTTAGGGGGTAGGAACTCAAGGACAAAAAGGGCAATGAACAAAATCTCCATTTTTGTCTTTTTAATTTTATTACAGAATTTACACATGCCAGTTGTCCTTTATGTTGTGTTCATAATTCATGGTGAATAGAGCTACAGAAATAGTCCAAAATTACTTGGAAAAAAATCCTGCTCTATTAACTTCTTTCCAAAGTTATGAATGTTTTTTTTTCCATTTCCTGAAGCAAAGTAAGCTTAATCGTTAACAGAAAAAGGCCCTCAACACAGCATAGCATTAAATAAATAATTCAACACTGCTGTCATATTTTTGAACTCCAGTTTCAGGACTTTATAACAATGCCTTAGTTATGTTTATGATATCAGTGAGCGCTAACCACTCTACTCAATCAATGAACTAATTAGTTCATTGGTTAACAACCAATCAGCATTTAGAAGCAACAATGTCTGTGTCATGTCAACCAAAAACTTTTTGCTGCAGAAAAATTGAAAGTTACTGGTAAGATACTTTCCAAAACTAATAGAAATTCCCACATAAATGGGTAGAACTCATTTTTAGCCAGTTCACGCCATTCACCTGCATCCATTGAGGATTTGCTCGCAGGCGCCCTCTAGTGTTTTTGTTACATTGGGACAAATAGCAAGTAGCCAGGCTCCACTTTAACTGGTTTTGGTGAAATCTCAGTATTGCACTAGAGGGGAACCCCAAGGTCTTTAAGGATGGCCTCATAAAACACAATTTTTCTGGCTGACCAAGAGGGCACTCTGGGCTCAAGCACTCTCTGAGGCCATCTGTGCACATGCCTGGCCACTTCCATGTTGGTAGCACTGCTGTGTTGAGAACTGTCCACCATCAAAATACTTTAAGTGGTAAAGTGTGTAAATGTAAAGTGCACCTATGTAGAAAGTGTACCTGATAAAATAACTAATGAACTCATTATAGTCTCTATATCCATCATTATAACATGGAAGGCAGAAACTGATCCAGAATCAGCACTTAAAATGACCTGTGCTCTGAGGTTTCTCCTTACCTCCCTCAGAGTCTGTGAGCACCAGAGAGTGCGCTCGGCCGCAGGACACCTGCAGGACACGCGTCTCCTGAGGATTAGCCAATGGCAGAGACACAGGTGAGGGCTCCAGCACATAATCATAGCTTTTATCTATGGAGACACAGGAACACGACACAAATGGCTTATTCACCAGCGCTTTCCAATACTGGATAATAAAGTACTAAGAACTATATTAAGCTTGACAAATAGATTAACAAAGCATTGCTAGAGATTGCTAGAGAAGCTTGAACATGTCAAAGAAAAGTTTACTACCAATAATGATGTACTCTTACGTAACTACAGCTTTAGTCTGCCATCAAGTGGTACTCAAGCTGAAGTACATTATATGTCCAAAAGAACGTGAACATCCCTCCTGTTTCAGCCACACCCATTGCTAACAGATGTATGAAATCAAGCATACAGCCATGCAATCTCCATAGACAAACAATAGCAGTAGAATGATTCGTACTCAAGAGCTCAGTGGCTTAAAATGCGGAACTGCCATAGGATGCAATAGGATGCAAGTCGGTTTGTGAAATGTCTGCCCAGCTAGATCTGTCCCAGTCAACCGGGAGTGCTATTATTATATTGTTAACTGAAAGCATCTAAGAGCAAAAACAGCTTAGTCACAAAGTGGCAGACCACGCAAATTCACAGAGCAGGGCTGCAGAGTGCTGAGGCATTACATTACTCACTACAGACTGCGAAAAGCTTCTGGAAGCAACATCAGCACAAGAATTCTGCATTGGGAACTTTATTAATTGGTTTTCCATGGGTGAGCAACAGCCTAAGATCACTATGTGCAATGTCAAGCATCAGCTGTAGTGGTGTAAAGCACGGCACCACTGGACTCTGGAGCAAAGAAAACGTGTTAACTGGAGTGATGAATCACGCTTCCTTATCTGCAAGTCTAACGGACAAATCTAGGTTTGGCGGACACCAGGAGAACTCTACCTACCAGAATGCATAGTGCCAACAGTAAAGTTTAGTAAAGGAGGGATTATGGTCTGGGATTATTCTTCTGGATTTGGCCTAGGCACTTTAGTTCCAGTGAGGGGTCATGTTAATGCTACAGAATATGAAGACATTTTACACATATGCTTCCAACCTTATGGCAACAGTTTAGGAAAGACCAGCCCAGGCCGTCTCATCAAACATTAGAGCCTGACCTCACAAAATCTCTTTTGACTGAATGGGCATCACAGACTCACTCCAAAATCTTGTGGAAAGCCTTCCCAGGAGTAGAGTGGAGTGCAGTTATAGCTGCAAAAGGAGTAGCTACTCCACAATAATGCCCGTGGTTGTGAAATGAGATGTCCAACAAGCTCATATAGGTGTGATGGTCATACTTTTGGCCATATAGTGTAGACTGGAATTGAGCTGGAATTCAGTTTCCAGTCGCAGCTGTGCCACATGCATCCCATAACCAGAGATTCATTTTTATCCAACTTTGTTACATGAATTATTTGTTATTATTCTAAAATATTCTTTATTTGACAATTTCTCCTGATAATTTATGTTAAAAATGGTAAAAAACAGTTGTTATTTGTAACCGCTGTTGAGGTGAAAACACAGTGATCAAGAGGCTTTCGGCATGACTGCATAATATGCTATAGCGAATATTAGATCTGTTAACAAAAATCTGCTCCCTGCCATAAGCCCTACCTAGATTATTTCTCTTTTCATGGATGTTTTATCTTCACGTTTTCTCCTCCCTTTTCCTCTTGCCTAGATCTACAGATTAACCCCAATGACAGAATGGACTTCAGTACACTCTGTTTTGTTCTGTGGACTGTGAGAATCACAAGCCAGACACTCTCCTTGACATTTTCCTTTGCCAGTGTGAAAAGCCTCGTAAGCATACAATGGAACTAGATGTGCTTACTGAAACAAAGAAAATATAGGCAAAAAATGACCCCAACAGAGTTTCAACTTTCCAAGTTTCCATCTTTCTGCACATTCTAAATGTGGAACAGACGATGTGGAAACTGACAGCATCCTTTTGTAGCAAAAGTAAGCAGTGTCTTACTGCGGTCATGTTGAGTGCGTTGAAAGCCCAGCTGAGAGTCCTTGTTGAGGCCCATGCCCCACACTTTGGTAAGATCTTTAGTATTAGATGCCAATAATGTGAAGCCATAACCACAGGCTGCTGAAGAGATCTACATAGAAAAAATACATAAAACTATCAAAATTGCAGCTAAAAGTACATACACAGGGCATGTTAAGAGAACGCCACTAATTATTTTTAGTTTTACTGTAAAACTTTCTGAGACAAACTCAGACATCTGATGATAGGAACCAGAATGTTTACTACACAAATTTAGCCATTTTATTTACTATCCAAATGACCAGTGAACCTACACGTTTGTTGTTTATGCCAATGTAATAATGATGTGGTTTGTGTACAGTTTGTCCTGTGAAGACCTTGTATGTACCTCTCCACAATGAATGTATTTTAAAAATATCTTTAAGAGGCCCACATCCTACATTTTTCTTTTATTTTATCCACTTATTACATTTGTGTCAGTTTTTTACATGACCACTCTTTGTCTCAAAGAATTACTCAGGCTGTTTTTGTTACTGTGCCTTCAAGACTGATGTAAAGAAGCTCTAGTCTGATTGGCTGTCCTGTACTGTGCTTGATTCAAGAAGCAGTCTGGGCTGAAACACTCCATATAACTTCAGCATGAGTGGGCAGGGATAAAATGCTGTAGTCTGAAATGTAGGATAGGGGGCCTTTAAATTATATGTGTAAATCATCACAAAAACAGTGAAATCAAAACAGGCTGTTTTTGCAACTTTGGTTACATGTATGGGCCATATGAACTGCAGTGTGAACAATACATTTAGAAACTTTAACAAGTGAGGAAAATTCTGTTTTCCATGATATTTGCCCTTTAAGGATAAAGCCTTCCGAAAACCGACATAAAACAACATCTTGGGCATCAGACAGCAAATTTATAACCGTTTCATTTGATAGCTTCCTGTGAGCCACTACTGTGAACAACTCTGACTCAGCATGTTTCTCAAGAAGAGAGCATTTCACACCTTAACACCCTGAAAATCTACATTTTAACCATTAAAGTACCCAAATTGTGAAAAAGGAATTTTCCACACTTTTTAAAAAATACATACATGACATAGTAATTATACACTGCAAGTTTCAAAACATACAATTCACTTGTCAGTCCATATATAAAATTTTGCAGTGAAAACAGCCTGTTTTGAAGTAAACTTTTCTTTATATCTGCCTATGTGGCCTACAGCAGTTTAACCGTGCCCATTTACGCTTAAGTGTGAGTGTTTCAGGAAAGACCGCTTTTTGGATGAGGTATAATTCAGGGCAACCAATCTGAGCAGAGGTAATTAACATACATCAGTCTCAACTGCACTGTAACAAAAACATCTGGTTAATGAGGGATTAAGAGAGGTTGGAAAATGGTTATGTAAAAATGAACTTTTTGACTTTTTTGGAACACAAAAACATAAAGTGGACTCCAGAAGGAAAAAAAATGTAGGATAGGGGGCCTTTAAATTATGCAAAAATTTTGAAAAATACACAGAAATCCCGTTTAATTTCTAAAAGGGTCTCTACAATAAGAAACACGCCTCTTTTACTGTGATAAGTGACATGACAATTCGGTATCACAGACAATATCAGTTTCACATCCATACGCATCCTACAGTTTAGGACCAAAAGACTACCTTCTGTTCCGTATCCAGGCGGTAAGGAGTGAGCTGATATCTTCTGGGCTTTTTCCTGCCACTGTCTGGAACCACAAAGCTGGGGATTCCTAATGCTCCTGTGCAGCTGAAGCCCCACACAAATACTTTTTCCCTGGGTTTTCTGTGTTCACCTACGTACTGGAAGACCGGCCTGTTGTCTGTCGGCTCTCTCCTCTTTGGAGCTGCACTGCCAGCAGTGGCAAATCCACGGCATCCCAGGAGAAATCCATATCGACCACAGACCCGAAAGCAGCTTAACGCCATCGTGTGAAACGGCTGCAAAACAGTGTGTGAAGGCATGAAATGAAAAATGGCTCTCTACACATTTTACAAGCTGAAATATGTAACAGCATGGCTCCTACTACTGACACGTTCATTTGGAATTTCCAGTCAAAGTAAAAGAATCATCTACTCATGATCTTAAATGTGAAGTATGCATTGATATTTCTACTTTACAGCTTTAAGGGCTCACATCATAGAAATTTCCTTCACTTTTTTAAATAAGTGTTGTTCATGTGGAAACTAAGCTGCAAAAATGAGCCATTTTTAATTCAGTGTTTTTATGATTTCACAAAAAAATATAGATCTGAGACACAGATCTGCCTTTTCAGCCTACTGCCCCGCCCACTCCCACTGAAGTTATAAGAAGTGTTTCAGCCCTGACTGTTTATGAATGCGGCACAATAGAGCAGCCAATCAGATCAGGTCTTATATCATATAGTCAGTCTTAAAGGCACAGTAACACAATAGTGGGATAAAAAGAGGCTGGAAACAGTCATGTAAAAATGGAGTGTGACTGTTTGTGTTACACAAAAGAATGGTGTCTCTCTGAAACATAAAAAGTCTGCATTCTCTACAGTTCATGGTCTCATTAGAGAGAGCAGTTTGGCAGAAGTGGCTCCTTTTACTGGAGTCCTACGTTCATCAGAAAGACAGAAAAAGGACACAGCAACACCTACACTGGCAGTTATGGATTACATAACTCTACACGGTATAAGTGAAAGTAAATGTGTCCCTAAACTCTAAAAACCAAAGAAGACACCAATACTGTACTGTACAGTACTGAATCATTAAACTACACTCTAAAAAAGATGGTTCTTCAAGGGTTCTTTTATGCTTAAATGGTTCTCTGCATTGTGAAATGGTTCTTCAGATTGATAGAGAAGGTGTTCTTTATGGTTCTATATAGGACCTTTTTGAAAATGGTTCTATATAGCACCAAAAAGGCCTCTGCTATTGTTACGATGTACGGTTGTAACTATTAATCTGAAGAACCACTTGAGCATGAAACGGTTCTATATAGAACTCAGGTCTCTAAACAGAACCATTCCCTTTACTAAAGAACACTGAATAACGTTTTTTAAGTGCGTACTGGCGGAGACTTAAAAGGATTTTACTACTACTACTAAATAATATGGTGAAATGTGTGGCTTATATAACTCTCAACTGTTCTACCGATATTCTTATATGAACACCTTATTCTTCTTATTCATTCATTTCACCGCATTCCTCCGTTCTTTCTGGTGTTTTTGCTAGCTTACTAGCTCAATAACGCTAAACCTAAATGAGTCTGTCAGGTGACGTTGACTGTTACCTCGCTGTATCCACGCAGATGTTTTTCCAGCAACAGAAACGAAATTTCAAATCCTTCAAAACAATACTGTGCTTATATTTTCCTGCCCATCGTGAACAAAACACAAAATACAGAAAGTTTCCGCCGTTTGTGATTACTACTGTACTCTACATGCTCTCTGACAGGAGGCAGCCATGACAGTCCACCCTCTGACCTCCATCACACTAACAGCCTGTAACCGCCGGAGGGCGCAAGAGCTCTGTTTATTTCAGAGACGTGTTCTTAGTCTTACTGAGCATGCGCATATCATTACCACAGCGTAGTAATGTTTCAAACGTTTTATTGTGTTTTTAATGGTAATTCAGTACAAATTCAGCTTAAATCTATTACTTACTCCCTTAGAAGCTGATTTGGGTGATAAAAAATTCCTAATGATTATTTTAATGCTGGTAACGTCTTCTGATAAGGAGATTTAAACTGTCAAAATTATCCTACCTGTAGATTTCAGTGCTGGTGGCATTTTCTAAATGGCTAATTTAGGCCATCAAAATATCCGACCTACAGTTTTATATAGAGCGCTTCCTAAAAACATGCGGTACGGAGTCTTGCCATTTCCTATTCCTCCCAATAAATAAAACATGAGGAGGTAAACACCAGAGGGCGCCCGCGAGTGAGTCCTCAGTAAATGGGGTGAATGGAGCTAAACGGCTAAAAACCAAAAGTTAAAACAGTTTCTAACCACTCGTCTAGGACCTTCTTTAATTTCAGAAAATAGAATAGTGTATTTCACTAAAAGATCGAAGAAAACCTGTCTGTATATTTTCTTTGTTTTTTTTTAGAACAAAAAGGTTTAGGGCAGTACGACGGCATTACTGTTACTGAATGCTGATTGGTTAGCGTTACTGCTACTGAGTGCTTGTTGTTTGGCATTACTGCTACTGAGTGCTGATTGGTTGGCATTGCTGCTACTGAGTGCTGATTGTTTGGCATTACTCCTACTGAGTACTGATTGGTTAGCATTACTGCTACTGAGTGCAGATTGGTTGGCATTGCTGCTACTGAGTGCTGATGTTTGGCATTACTCCTACTGAGTGCTGATTGGTTAGCATTACTGCTACTGAGTGCTGATGTTTGGCATTACTACTACTGAGTGCTGATTGGTTGGCATTACTACTACAGAGTGCTGATTGGTTGGCATTGCTGCTACTGAGTGCTGATTGGTTGGTATTAGTGCTACCGAGTGCTGATTGGAGCCAAGACACGTCCCTACTCCCGCTCTCCACTTTAGGTCTCTGTTGTCAGTATTTTTGTCATCATTAAAGGGCCTGTATCACAGAAAACTGAATTTTCCTCACTTCCTTGAAATAAGGGTTCGACGTAGTATGTAAACACTGTTAATTGTTCAAAAACACCATCCCCACCACACTCCATATATGGAAACCAAGCTGCAAAAATAACCCGTTTTGAATCGTTTGTGTGATGTCACAAAAAACAACATATTTAGATCCGCCCATTTGTGCTGAAGTTATAAGGAGCGTTTTAGCCCAGGCTATTTAGAATGAGGAGTAATACAAGGCAGCCAATCAGAACAGAGCTCACCTGGACACATCAGACACATCGAAGGCACAGTACATAAAACAACAAAAATGTTAATAGTTGAACCTTATTATATACAAGAAAAATGGAGGATATAGGCCCTTTAACCTAGTTAAGTTTACTCATTGAGTAAATCAGAACAAACAAAAAATATACTGAAAAGTGAAATAAGGAGACATTTTACCATTTTATAGCCATGCACATTTTATTTGTGAAGCAAAGGCACTGTGCAACAGGGTCATTTTTCCTTCATGTAGATGAGAGCTAACTTCAGTAAGCTTTTCAAGATTAGTGTATTAGTGCGTTTTCTCAACTTCAAATTTCCTCCAAGCATGTTGCTCTGGAAGCAAAAATGAGAAACTCAGACAAACAGGGCAAATAATTATGGGAGATTCAGGATTATAAAAGAAGAAAGTGCATAACATCAGAATTTAACAGAAAGGGTTTCATACTTAAAAACAGAGCTGATGAGAGGAGGATATTGTTACAGCAATAATCCGATAGCTGTGCCAATAGCACCTCCTGCAGACGCCATGGCTGCTGTCCCAGTGGTAGACAACCCGGCTGCCCCTATACAACAGGAAAGCTGTCCTTGCAGATTATCAGATGCATTTCAAAACCTGTTCCACATACACAGCTCTGCAATCTGAAACATCTGTTGACAAAGCTGAACTTTCTCTATATTGGTCCTTTGAACGTACACCCCAGCTTTGAACCCCAGTTTGTCAAAACTTCTACAAAATTAAACCAGTAAGTCATTCAGATGTTAAATGCGACATTCCAGAGAAACGTACGAAGTGAGAATTGTTCACAGTGGTGGTGATAGGAACGAGACGTCTGAAGGATTTACTGCCTATAAAACCTCCTTCATAAAAAGCTATAACACAAAATGATTACAGATATGTTGCCTGATTCCTTTTTTTGTACAATAGCCTTGAGATAAGGCTTAATCTAAAATGTATTATGAAAATGCACTGACCACTCACTCCATATAGGTGAATTTTGTAGTTCTAGACTGTAGTTCATCTGTTTCTCTGCATACACACAGCACTGCTGTGTTTGATCCACTTATACCAGCGCAACTCTCACTGACAAGTACTTCAACACTAACATATAGGTTCAGTGGTCACTTTGGATAGTAAATAACATGGCTATATTTGTGTTGTAGACATCCCAATCTCTGGTTCCTATCACCACCACTGTAAAGAAATCCTAGTCTGCAATGAAACATCACATCAAACTGCTCTTAATGACTTTGTTTACTTCTCATTGTTTGAGGATTGCAGAAATTCTCTGTGGGGTATTTGACAGGGCTGGGTTTCCTGAATGTTTCAGTACAAAGATGATTCTTGAATGGTAAAAGCATCACACTGAACATTCTCTCTACCAGTTAAGATGATCTTAACACTACAACACTTTTGGGAAACTGGGCCCTGAGCAGTACTTCTAGATCTGTTTGATAACTTAAAACAAAAATGATGACAGTCCAGTAAGAGAATAGATGATTTGCATTTGGCTTAAGTTATCTAGTAAGGTGAGAAAACCTACTTTGAAGAAAAAACACATTGACATCTTACCAATAGACTGCAGGACGGCAACAACACTGCCAGCTGCGACCCCTCCACCATTAGCCAAAGCAGCGGAGGACATCATTGAGGCAGCCACGGACCCTGCTGCTATTCCAGTAGCAGTGAATCCCGCTGCCGCTATCAGAGCTGGAGTTACTGCAACGGCTCCAGCTTGAAAGCAGGACAGTCAAACAGACAGAAGAACGCAGTTTAGCTCAGTCACTCTCACTGAGCCATCAAGAAGGTGCATTTCGGCCTAAAACTAGTATTTTATTCATTGATTGTCTGTTGCGCAGCACTGTGTCCCTCAGTCTAATGCTGATAATCCTTCCCCTCCCTGGTGATAAAGATATGGAAATGATAAGGCTCATAAATACAGATGTAATATTTGGCTTCCTTGCAGCAAGGTTAGCTATCCGGCTCCCTTCTGAATTAGTCAGCTAGTGGGAAAAAATCTGTCCTTGTGTATCTCAGATAGCATTTTTTCAGTAGTTCAAGATACATCATCAGAAGCGGACTTTCCAAGCCTTTAAGCTGTACACCCACTCTGGGTTCTGTGGTGGCACCACTGTTGGAGGAGAGCAGGCATATGTTGCGATGGTTAACTTTCCCAGTGAGGCTAGTGTCCCTTTAAAGTGATAGTTTGTTAAAAAAATAAAATGTATTCCCTTACCCAAAATTTTGCTGATTAGCCAAGACATGTTTGTTGGTTTTGCCATCGAATGTGAACTGGCTTCCTCAACAGAAGCAGTTTCTTTCATCTTAATGTCTCGTAGCTCCAGTGTAAAACCAAAAAAGCAAACTTAAGACGGCAAACATGCCTTGGCTGTTCAAAAACATTTGGTGTACACCACATTTTTGGATTTTTTAAATTTTTTAAAATCATTTTATGAAATTTATGTCCAAAGCCATATCAGTTTCTGAAAATCAGTTTAAGCATTGTGTAGTTTTGACGTGACCCACAATAGTTTTCTAGAGCAGAGGTTCCCAATCTCAGCTCTGAGCCAAACATTCAGAAAACACGAATACAGTGTTGGAAGATGGAATAAGGCAAAAACCATGGGTCCTGGCTTAGGAAATGTTGCTGGATTGGAAAATCTTCTGTACAAAACACATAGCTTTAAAGATCGAAACAAAGCCAAATAAACACATGTATAGCTCACCTGCTCCTGCTGCCGCTACTGCGAATGTTACTGTTCGAAAGAAAAAACATAGGCAATGTTAATTCACTCAACATCATTTGCATATGATACAAAGTAAATACATCTTATTAAATATTCAATAAAAAGAAAGGAGCAAAGTTCTTTACTTACGTAAGCCCATTATGTGCACTGATGCCAAGACCTGCCTCTATGTCTACCTCAGTGAAGCAGCTAAAGGGTGGAACTCTTCCACAGAAATGAAACTGGAGCTCTTCTATAGAAATGAAAGTGTGAGGAGGTGGAGCAAGAAGGTTCCATCCAAGAGGAGTCTGTTGGAGGGGGGGCTGGAGGTGGACCTGATGTCGTGTTTGGTCTAAAGTCAAGGGGCCAAAATTTATCTACCTCATTTCTCCAGTGTTAAAGAACTGCTAGTTGTTTTTCTAAGTAGTTTATTGGACATTTAATTTTACTGTTTTTTTCATAGGGGCCAAACAGTTGTTTTCCTTTACCTTATTCATATTTTTTCTTAGTATAAAGTGAAAAAGAGAGCTAATTAAAACATGTAATCGAAGACTATCGTTCAAAAGTTTGGAAATCACTAACGTTCCCATTTGAAATCACTAATTTCAATCATACCAAGACAGATTTGCAGCAGATACATGTATATAATGGTTCTACTCTGATGCAGATTCTATAATAATTGAGAAAGCTGTACAGCTTTAAGATCAAACTTATAATGGAATTAATATCCAGAATGTATCATATTTGGAAATTGGTCACCAAACGTCCACGATCAAATACTTATTGATAATAATTTTATGACATGAAATTACAATAAATAGATACAGTTTTGCAGTTTATATTTACATTTATATTTACATTTTCCATTTTTTACTGTGGCATATCTTCTTGTTGTTCCCAAACACATTTAAAGTGTGAAAAAATCATTGATTTGTTTTTGACATGTTTTGGACAGTCTACACTGTAAAAGTCATTATTTAATCACAGTTATTAATATCAGAAGTGATTCCACATTTTTGAACCCTGGTAAACATGTTTGGTGTTTGGAATAGTGGGAACATGAAGAGATCTCATGAAGAACCTCAAATGAAGAAGCCCAGATAAAGATTTTCTGTTTTTATTAGAACAAATGCACAACTTTATATATAAAGATATATACAAAAGAAAAAACATAAAAGTAGCTTATCTAAAGTATGCTATTCTATACAGCCAAGTCAACTTTGACAGTGCTTAACATTGCTATGTACTTTTTCTAGCCTGAAGTCTAGTCTGTTAGCTAGTCTGTTAGCCTGAACAGCTAAAAAACAACATTGAAGCACAGAAATAAGAATTTCCACAAGGCTTTTACCAACACTAGATTTCAGTGCCAGATCTGCAGTGCCCTGATCACACAGTGTGGGGTTAGCACACCACACCACAGTTCACATTCTCAAGCCACAAAAGTTTGATAAATTAAGATGGAATAAAACAGATGCATTGAAAACACTGTGTGGTATATGAGCACTCCAGTAAGAGTCAGTATTGAGAGCCATTGCCTTAAGCCATACAACCTATAATGAAGCCATACAACAGCCATGGATCTGTTTGGTTGGGTTTATGTGAGAATTATGTCAAATCCCCCCTCAGTTAGCGTGGATGCTAATTCTCTTGCGGGTGTTCTCCGTGCAGCGCTCCATGATTAGCTCTTGGCTGGGCCGAGGAGGGATAACCGGAGTTTTCTTTGCTTCATCCTTAGAGGGAGCTGCTTAAACACACAAACAAATATAGTTCAGTATGACTGTGCCTTAACAAAGTGAAGCTTTGGCCAAAAAATCTAATTTCTGCCTTAGCTTATATGTATTCGATCAGCCAAGGCATGTTTGGTGTCTGAAATGTGCCTAAGATTTTTACTAGAGCTCTGAAGCTAATGTAGCTAACAAGTAATGGGAACCTACAGTAACAAGGACTGTGCAAACTGCTTGCTTAAATCATCACACACACCAGCCTGAAACTGTATCAGGTTGTTAAAGTAATCTCAAATATACACTTGTGCTTTTTGGCACTTTATGACATACAAATATTAAAACTGGCCAATGACACAGCTAAAACTGTAGCAGCCAGCTAATTTCTGGTAAGGAGAAATGCTTTGGTCAGACACAAGAGGACACTCCTGAGAGTCCAAAATGATTTATAAATGGTTAATCTTTTTGTACATTTTTGAATATTTTTCAACTCCAGTTATAGGACTTTGTAACAGTGTCCTATGTACATAATGTATGTGAGTGCAAACTGCTTTTCAACTCACTAACTAGTCAGCATCAAGTAGTTTTGCTGAAGAAAAACTGAAAGACCGAAAGTTTTCACTATTCATTTCATTTTTAAATGCAATACATCCTTCTGCGTTACCAGATTAAAGGATGTTCCTGCACAAGTGGATAGTAATAGCTTTCATTTTTCATATTTAGCTGTTTAGTTACATTCACCTCCATTCATTAGGGACTTACTCATAGGCCCTCTAGCATTTAGCAGTCATGTTTTTGGTACGGGAGGAATGAGAAGTGGCCAGGCTTCCCATAAACTGGTTCTGGTAGTAGCTATCTTGAAGCTTCTATACTTTTGCCAAAGTTTATAGATAACATCATGTCATACAGTATCAGAAACTACAAAAGCAAGTTTATTTGAGATCACATCAAGCAGTTTGAGATGAGTGTGCGATGATTTATACATGCTGTTTGTACAAAGCTAATCTCTGGCTACAAGATTCCATTACTTCTTAGCTACATTGGCCTTGTAGCTCCTGTGCAAAACTACAGAAGCAAATTTCAGACACCAAACATGTCCTGGTCGATCAACTTTACCTAGGTTAAGTGATCAATTGTCTGAATTAGATTTCTGGCTGGAACATCAAACCAAAGTGATGGAATTATAAGAGTTTACTGTGAGCCAACTTGAACTGTAAAACAGCAGGAGTGAAAGTACTGTGTTAAAATGTGGTGTTAAGTTGGGGTACTGTGGTAGGTTCAGCTCACTTTCTATGATGGCAGGTTTTCATCTACATAGAAAATGTACCTGTATCACCGTTCTTTTCCACCAGAGCGGCTCTGGAGTTCTTCCTTGGCTGGGATGGGAGTCTTCCTCGCTGCTGTAAGAACCGGCGACTCTGACGACGGTAGGTGTCCTGGCTGATTCGCTGGCGGCCCTTGGCATGGATACTCTGAGCATTGCGTATAGTCGATCTACAAGCCAAGACAGCACCATTAGGAAGAGTGGGAACATGAATATACTTCTTGTAAGTTGAGGAGGAGTGTTCAAATGTTTGTATGTGATTTTGTTTTTTTTTCTTGTCATGTAAACCACGAGCCTGTGTTATACACGTTTCTTGTATTTTGATACGACCATTTTCCAACCTCTCTCTATCTCTTCGAATTTAACAGCTTGTTTCTGTTACAGTGCTTTTAAGACTAATATATTTAAATGATGTCTGTTCTGATTGGCTGACCACTTTCACAAGTGAAAGGAGGCGCGCCATGTACGAAAAGCAATTCAGGCTGAAATGTGGAGACAAAGTGTTACATCAAGACTGAAATCCCTAGGGATCCCAGAAAAAAATAACTTAGCTAATCCTTTTGGATGTCTGGGTTGTTTGGAAGGCTGCAATCATTTGCTTCCCTACAGTCAGGAAAAGCACAGCGTTTAGTCACTTTTTCTCTGACCTCTCCCACAGACTGCCTGTAGTAACAACACTCCTTATCACTTCAGTGTAAATAAATCAGTGGGATAAACTGTTTTAGGCTGAAATGTATTTATGGTTTTGACATCATGGTGTTTTTGCACCAAAGTCACCATATGTGGACTGCTGAGGGAAATGTACATGCAGCTTTCATAATGCTTACATAGTACATAATTCTTTTGTGTCTAAAAAGCAAGGAAAATTGGTTTTGCATGATATAGGTCCTACAAAGCACCAGTAATAAATGTGGCTAGATGAACTAGAGCAAGCAGGGAGTATTAAGCAAACATACCTCCTGGGTGGTGGGGTCTCCCTCCTCACAATGTCCTTCTCAGCCTCCACTTCCTTCTTCTGTCCTGTTCTGCACAGGAACATGGATGGGTAGTAGCCTGTTTCCTCTCCTTTCCTGTCAAATACAAACAAAACTTACTCCAACTGAGATCTTTGTATTTTAGTACTCCATGTATTTTAAAGCGATAGTTTGGCAAAAAAAAATCTACTGAATTACCCCAAATGTATTTGATCATTTAAGACACGATTTGTGTCCTATGCTTTTGTTTTGCAATGCTAATTGGTGTACATAAGCTTCCATTACTTGTTACTTAGGTTAGCCTCACAGCTCTAGTGCAAAACTAAAGAAGCAAAGCTCAGACACCAAACATGTTGTGGTATATAAATTTGTAAATTGGTGAATTTGCTTTTTTGCCAGATTATCAGTGTAAGGGCCATGATTTATAGCCAAATTTGAAGAAAAGTGAATCCCATACCTGATCACCCACCAGCCATCCAGAAGCTTATGGATGACCTCAATGGTTTCTCCAACCTCCAGAGTTAGTTCATCATCCTCCACTGCTTTGTAGGCTTTAGTGGTTTTATACAGCTCTCCTGTTGAATAGAGGCAACATTTGTAAACCATTTCCAGTGTCCTCATGCACTTTTACTACATCTGAGGCAAGATCGGTTTGAGGCACTCACCTGCATAGTTGGGCTCAGGCTCCTCCCTCTCATCAGGTCCATCAAGTGGTTCTAGATAAGCTGCTGGAGCCCACCCTCTTTGTGTCTCATACTGGCAGAACCACCAGCCTAAAGCAGAGACGAACACAGATTCTCTGTCATTAGTAACATTGGTAGCCTGATAATACATTTATTTCAAAAAATGTAAACTGAGGCATTCTCAAAAAAATGATGGGCCAATATAACACACAAACTGCATTCTCGTCTCACCATTAGGACTCTTCTCCACAATATCAACCAAGTCTCCTGCCTTCAGGTTGAGCTCATATTTCGAACTCTTGCTGTAATCTGCAATCACCCTGTAGCTGTCCAACATAACAGGCCCAGTGATTTCTAGTCAAAGTGAAAGAAGGAGACATGGTCTTCACATCTTTTCATTTCAACTATGCGGATGGGATGCACCAGAGATAACGCTTATTTGGTTGGTTGGTTTGTTTTATACTGAGATGCTTTCTACTATCATTTAGTTCAATGTCATCACATCTAAAAAAGGTAATCTGGAGTAGATTTGTATCTTACCAGAGGTGGTGGTCCTCACTCTATCCCTGGTCATTACGTATGTCTCGTTTCGTTTGAATCTACAAACACAAATAAAATCCTTGAAGCACTGCTAAAGACATCCTTGTGAATTCAGTCATTATACCACGTGTGTCTTACATGCATTAAGGTGTGAATAAGCTAACATGGACTTACGGATGTGGAGCTGGTGGGGTCTCATCTTCTGGCCGTACCTTGAAGAAGCTTCGCACAAGCTGACAACGGGAGATCTTTGGTGGCAAGTTGAGCAGAGAGCGACAGTATTCGGCCAAAGTTCCTTGCCTGGTCTCTGTTGTCCTCTGGGAGTCCAGCCATTTTGGAGCTATGGGAGGACAAGAATATTTTAAGACTCAAAGCCTGTAATGAAGCTAGCTTGTAACTAACTAGGTAACTGATCAAGTAACCAACTAAGTAAGTACCTAATTAGGGTAATTTATTACTACCTCAGTAGGCTAATTAACTACGTAGGCTAACAAGAAACTAACCAAGTCATTAACTGTGGAAGTAACTAAAAACGCTAACTAAGTAACAAACTAAGTAATTCAGTAAGCGAACTAAAAATGCATAATGAGTTGGTAAATAAGTAACTGACTTACTAACTCATGCAGGCTGAAGATTCTCCACAAGGGGAGCTATTAGCAGTCAAGTGGCTTTTAGGTTTTATCATTGAAAGGGAGAAACCTAGTATTAACCTACAAGACTGTGTTTGCAAGATTACTGGTACATGAAGTAAAAGGCCTGAAAACAACTCAAGTGCGCCATTGGTGCTGTTTCTGTTGCAAAATGGCAACAACTGTTTACTAATATGGAAATACGGAAGGAGTTCACTTGATCAGCATAACAGTCCTTCAGCTAGGTTGTGTAAATGACCAATGGTCATAAAAAGCACCAAAGACATTATGTAATAATTATGTTTTTCACATAAGTGACATTTTATGTTCTTGTTTTCTTTACTGGGGCAAACAGTTTTTTTTTAGCTTGCGCAGTCTAGTGTGTTTTTACTTCTCTTTTCCCTTTCTGGTTGCATCACTCTGTGACAGAACACACAGGTGTCTGAACTGGTGGAAAGTCCGCAACTTTCATTTTCAGGGCAGTTGCACACTGTATGCAGAATCAGTCTCAATGTCCTCATAGAAACTGCTTTTAGAGAATTGAAATTAAAGAGGGTGCATGTGTGTGCACAAGGGTGAAATCCACGAACTGCCCATGGACTATTTGAGGTCAGCTTTCTTTGTCACGTAGCAAATTTCTTTCCATTTGAAAAAATTTCTTACACAGGACTCTAGAGCCATAATATTTAAGTTACAGCTCAAAAGCAAAGACATCACAACAGGGGGCTTTGGTATTGACATATGTATTTACTTGTTTTTTTCAGTTAGTCTTTTAGTCAGGCAGTATTGCTACACAATTCAACTGGAACTTCTTTAAAGTGGTGGTGACTGGAACCAGCAGTCACGTGTCAGCACAAATATAGCCATTTTACTTACTGTACAAAATGACCAGTGAACATACACGTCTTTTTTACATGAATTTTTATATGTAATGTTGATATATTCAGGTAAATCTGAAAAAATAGTTTGGCCTTACAACACCATGCATGAGTACTTTTTTCAAATACATTTTTGGCCAAAATCTCATCTCAAACCTTTCAAAAAACTATGTCTCTTCATAACCATTTCACGTAACAACTCTCTGTGAGGGAGCTTTTAATATCGACTGGTTGCCGCCTGGTTCCTATCACCACCACTGTGAACAATTCTGCCTTGGTACTTTTCTCTAAAATGGAGCATTTCACAACAAAGTACTTTGAATGACTTTATTTAAATCATAATCATTAAATTATGCATAATTTTTTTTTTTTTAAATGTGAAATTCCCCTTTAAATGAACAATAGTGTTTGCTCTGGTATTAATTTCAGTGTTTTAAAAACTTGTCCATGTTGACATTAAAGTGGCAACAGATGTCTGTATCTGTAAGACATCATCTCCAAAATTAGCTCTGTTGATGCACTGATGTTATATTTTCCTTTCTGCCAAAATGTCAGCGCTTGACTTGAAGCAGGTGTTTCCTGAGGTGATGAGGTGGAAATTGAGACTAACAACTTTTGCTTCTCTTTTGAGCACAAACAAACTCTTATGTGGACATAGAAGTAAAAATGGAAGAAACAGAAATAGTTCTTACCTGGTAAAGAAGGAATAATTCTGTCTTTAGCATCAATGTCTCCTGCCTCGATCGGAAACATCTCTTTCAGAGTTTTCTACAACCATAAACGATGGGCAGAGTTAATGGAGGTGCTGTCTTTTGCTTACTTTTTTGATTTAACAACAAAAACTGATGCAAAAACAACACTGTGGGAGGTAGTGTGGTGAATTACGCTTACAAATAGCTGCAAAAGGCATTTTCACACCTTATTAGGCACCACAAAACTGCAAAACATGTAAAGGACTTACATGGAACGTGTGGATTTCTGGATATCTTCTGTAAATTAACTTCTCTGACTGGTCACTCCATTTCACCAAGAACATGTAAACCTTCCAAAAATGAGCAACAGGTATTAATTAATGAACAATGAAAACACAACTACAATTAGTTTGAACATTTCATGGCAAAAAGACCAACAGAAACCGTTCAAAATGCACAAAACACGTTTTTGTATTAAAACAATGTTTTTGTATGTTGTATTAAAAACTTTTCTCCCATAAAATGTCAGTTTTGTTGATTTGTGTTCTTACAGTGACAAAACAATAATTTATTTCCTCACTGACACAAATGCAAGATGTGGAGCCCAATGTAACTGTTTTTCCACAACATGTGACACATAGTAATAATAATAGTTTATAAGCAATTGAAGTCAAGACAATAAGGTTCACTTACATAATGCTGGCTTGGATAGAACCTTTTCTCGAAGCCCAAAAGCTCCACATGTCGCACATAGGTGTCTGCCATTCTGCTTCAACACTGCAAGCCTCACAGCAAGAAAACTAGAAAGTAATGTGTTGCCACAGGTTTTAAAGCAACATTTTGCATAGGAAGTTGGAGACATGACAGCAGGAGGAACCCCCCTACAAATCCCCGCCTTTTTCTCATATCACTCACATCAACTAAAGAAGCCGAATATTCAACAGCTGGCTTTGGGTGCACTTAAAGGGAAATTCCACCAATATTTAAAAAAATTCAGCATAATTCAGTGGTTAAGATGTAGACCAAGTCCTTCAGAGTGGTTTGATGCACAGAGTCAGAATTCTTCACAGTGGTGGTGATAGGAACCAGACGTCTACAGCTTTTAATGCTTCTTAAAAACTCCCTCACAGAAAGCTTTATCATGAACTGCTTATGAATATGCAAGACATTGTTTATGATAGTTTTGAGAAGGTTTTGGCCCAAAATGTATTTTCGTAAGTCCATTCATAGGTACCTGTAGAGCGTTCGAAGGCAAAGTAGTCCCCAAACACAGCTTGTTTTTTTTTTCAGATTTACCACTATTTTACCATAATCAGCACTATATATAAAAACTCAGAAGACAGATGCGGGATCAGTCTTTTTGGATAGTGAAGAAAATGAGTGTATTCGTGTTGCAGACATTACGGCCCCTGGTTCCTATCACCACCACTGTGAAGAAATCTGACCCAGAAATTTTCTCTACAATGAAACATTTCATTAAACAGCTCTGAAAGACTTTATTTACATCTCAAACAATTAATTGTGCAGAAATTTTGAAAACATTGGTGGAAAATAGAGATACATTTTTTTCTGAACCTCTTTATAAAAGAACTTCAGTAAAACGTAAGAGTTATGGATCATATGTAAGAGCTAAGAACCGGTTAGGAGCCTTTTAGGGTTATATTATATGGACATATAATACAATGAGCTGTGATAAGCTTTTAACTGTAGCCATGACTGGATGTGATGCAAGTAAAGCCTTTTTTGGATGTTTAAACATAAATCTAACTAAACTCTCTTTTGAGCAAATAGCAAAATACAAAATTGCAAAAGCACCATGTGCTGTTGTGCAAAATAAAAAGAAATGAAATACTAACAGCTCCCTCTAGCAGAACTGTAAGCACATTTTCTGCGCACTGAAAGGCTGAGAAACAGTCAACATTACCTGAACAGCTTTTTCTATCAAGGCTAAATAGACATATTTTTTATACAGGCACACAAGAATAATTTTTTTCTGTTTATTTTTTGAAATCACTCACACACACAACACTGGGTGTGAGAATGATCCTAATATGTGATCCATTTTTCCAGGCTTGTATGTCAGCATTGAAGAGTTTTAGAGCTGTACATGTGTGTTTTGTAATTGGTTGTTTAGCTGAATGGTTAAGTTACTTGCTGTAATGACGTCTCTCTGGTGCTGCGTATATGAGGTAATTCGATCCGTTCTGTCATTGCAGCTCTTAGCGATGTGTTCATTGCGATAACAATAAAAAATATTCATATCATTCAGCCCTAGAATGTTTATTTCTAAGATTGCATGTGTGAATTTCTGAATTTGAGATTTTCATCCAAGTGCTGGTTAGTCTTTAATGTAGAATTATTACAAATTGACAGAGAAACAATGTATTAAAACATTTTAAAAGTCTTTTAGGCAGTGTTAGTAGATATTAAAGGAGGAGAATTCCACCAATTTTTTAAAATTTCAATAGTTGAACTGTAAACAGCTTCATTCAGAGTGGTTATATGTGAGATTTTCCAATCTAGAGAAACTTAGCAACTGGGATTTCTTTATAGTGGTGGTGATAGGAACCAGCAGTCACAATGTCTCTATCACTTACAATCAAACATGCTGTTTTTGTTACTATGCCTTTAAGACTGGTATATGGAAATGAGCTCTGTTGTGATTGGCTGCTGTCTGTTGTGCCTTTTTTAAAAAGCAGCCTAGGCTGAAACGCTCCTCATAACTTCAGCTCAGGTAGGTGGAGCCAAACTGTTGTCGGCTGAATAGATAGATGTGTGTAAATGTAATGGTTTTTGTGACAATCACAGAAACAGTGAATTCAAAATGGGCTGATATTGCAGTTTCCATATTTAGACTGGGAAGTGAAGGGTACATTTTGAGACGTGAACAATGTTTACATGCTACATCAAACTCTTTTACTTCAAGAAAGTGTGGCAAATTCCTTTTTCCATGATACAGGCCCTTTAACTTTATTAGCTTTATTACCTTAATTGTAGTTATTGACACAAGGGGATCACAGTTTCACAAAATGAACTATTAGGGGTAATAATGACAGTTACGCCTGATTACAAATATGGTTACATTAAATAGCATTAAGTAGTGTGTACAAAAGTTTGGGCGCCTCCTGTCAAATGACATGTTTTGCTTATTTTCTAGGCAACACATCTTCTACAAACAATATACCTCTGCACATTTTAATGCACACTTACAGTTTATCTGTAGAATTTAACATTTTGGAGAAAAAATAGCAAAATTGTTTAAAATATTATGTTTTATTTTTTCCAATATGTTAAAATGTGCAGTAGAATTTGCCGAAAATAACTACATTTAAGTGTGTTCTCTGTAGAGGATTTGCTAACTAATTTTTACATAGAAAATCAACAAAACCTGTAATTTGACAGTTTGCATTCGACTGTTTCAAATATACTCCAATGCAAAGTGACATCAGGGAAAAAGTCTTTCGTATCTCCACTGAAATAACTTTTGAGCAGCATTTTTGATGATCACAAACAAACAGGATTCATATTGACATCATAATGTGATTATTCACATAGTAAACCTCCTGACCGTAATGGAGAAGGAAGAAGTACACAAGAAGTTTTCAGTTTCTTCAGTCTTATTTCATCACACTGTGCACTACAGCAAGGGAATTAGAAAAGAGACCATTTCCCAAAAGCATTGCAACTTCAAAAACCACAGCGCGGCACAGATGTGCTGAAACTCACGTCCTCATATCTCGGTGGTGGTGGACTAGATTTTCTTTGGCATTACCAAAAACTGACCTATCCACTGCAGACATTTCTGAAACAAGCTTTAAAATCACCACACTAAAATGAGAATTCTCACTCTGCCACGTTAAAGAGGCTTTTATTCAGTGGGGCTTTTGGAAAAGTTTACATTTTGGGAGTTCGTCAGGCATATTGTCTGTAGCTGTGGACGGGAAATGGACTGTAAAAATAATACACGTTCATGAAGACAAGGAAACTACCTGTAATCATTCTCTTCGTAGTAATGTGGAAGTCACGGCGTCCAGATATGAGGAAATCTCAACATTTTAGCAAACAAATAAAAATTTTCACTGGGACTTTTGCAACAGCACACAGCTAAAAGGCTTGACCACAATTAGTTCCGCAAATCACAGAATGCAGGCTTCCTCAAATGACCTGTGCTGCAGTGTAACAGTCTGTCTCTTATTCTTTTTAGAGTTTTAGCCCTCAGCAGAATGCTGGATGTTTAAAGAAATATTTTTAAAAATTCACAGTTTTGAAACTGAATGTCACAGATGCCTTTCATATACACATTCTGATTAAAATCACAAACATCATATAAACAGTGGTGAAGCTATCCTAACATTAATGCAGTTTCACACATATGAAGCTAGAAAGTATTGTTTGTGTGCTCTGTAGAGGATGTGTTAACTTATTTTCACTTAGAAAATCAACAAAACATGCAATCTGCATGTAATCTGCATGTAAAGTAGGTCATTGAATTCCATGAGTTAAAGGGGAATTTCAATGATTTTTCAAAATATCTTCATAATTAAATAGTTAAGATGTGAACAAAGTCATACAGAGTGGTTTGATGTCAAATGCACTGTTCTAGATAAATTTGCTGAGGCAGAACTGCTCACAGTGGTGGTGATAGGAACCAGACGTCTGGCCTCTAATAGCTTCCTCAGAGAAAGTTCTTACATGAAAAGAGAAAAGATTATCAGTACAGATATGTTGCCTGATGTCTGAGACATTGTTTTACAATTGAGAACCTTTTGAGAAGGCCTAAAATGTATTTAAAAACGACATTCATGGCAGAGGGGTACATGAAGGGTGTTCTAAGGCAAAATAGTCTCAGAAGAAGACTTATTTCAGAGTCACAGCTATTTTACCATCATCAACATTACATATATAAACTCAGAAGACGCGTGTAGGTCCACTGGTGGTTTTGCAAATTGTAAATAAACTGGCTATATTTGCATTGTAGACATTGTGACCTCTGGTTCCGATCACTGCCACTGTAAAGAAATCCCAGATGGAAAATTTCTCTGCAATGAATCATTTGACATTAAAACACTCTGAATGACTATGTTCACATCTCAACCACAGACTTAGAAACATATTTTGAAAAATAGCTGGAGTTCCCTTTAAGGGGTAAATGAATGAAGAAGGGTTTTTAAACCAGATTTCATGGTTGTAGGTTTAAAAATGTGGAAATAGAGATTTTTCAATTAGTTGATGGGTGGAATGAAGGAAAGAACAGCAGGGTCAATTTGACATGCTGTCAGAATGAAATACAGTCATGTACTTTGGGTTAAGAGCTGAATCTTTCTATCTTTCTACATTTACGTTTAGAGACTAATGAGATCTGTGGGTTTCTATGGGAAGTTGGAGGGAGGTACAGTTATGTGCAAAAGTTTGGCCACCTCCCTTCCTTGCATTGTGAAATGGTTCTTCAGATTGATGGAGAATGCGCTGCAGATGGTTCTATATGGCACCAAAAAGGGTTCTTCTGTTGTTACAAGCTTGACATTTTAACCATAGTAGAACCATTTTTGGTGCCATATAGAACTATTTTCAAAAAGGTGCTATATAGAACTATCTGCAGCACATTCTCCATCAATCTGAAGGACACTTTTATGATGTAAAAACCCTTAAATCATGCAAAAGGTTCTGAGTATTAATGGTTCTATACAGAACCATTTTCTTTACTAAAGAACCATCTTTGTAAAAAGTGGATTAGAAAGCTTGACATCTCAGTATTTTATTCCTGCAAACCATTTTATGATCCGCCATTCACAGAAGTTATGAATGTCTCATTTGCAACATAAGCACCGAATGAGCAAACACTAGCAAATGCTGTGGGTCCTTACCTTCAAAGCATTGCCGCTATGCACAGACACTTCATAATCTAAAACATGTGGTCTTGATAACATGGTAAGAGTCAGAGATCAATTTAGAGATCTGTGAGTCAAGTGGAATAAACTCCTCCATTCTAGCCTCTGTTACTCTGTGCCAGTAATTCATATAGCTATTCTGGTGGTTGAGAAAGTGTTGCCTTTTGAATGACACCAAGAGCATGACTGTAGCCCAAAGTATGTGGAAACAGTGCTTTTTTTTACTTTTGGCTATGCCACTTCAGGGAGGTGACAGTTAACAAATAAATGTTGGTAACATTTTCTGGTAAGCTGATTTAGGCTTTTAAAATACGCTGCCTACAGTTTTATGTGGGAAGCTACCTATAAATATACACTAAGGCAGGACACTTCAACAAAGTATCACAATTTATCAGAACCCTGATAGCTCCAAATGCCAGTCGATTTTGGCACAAAACCTTTAGGCGTCTGCTAGAAAGTTGAAGATGAAAAGGAATTTCACCTTTCAGCACTACAATGGCCCAAAGCTTATATCCAAATCAGCAAAGAAATGGCTTTACCAAAAGAAGATCAACATTTTGGAACGCCCCAGTCAGAGGCCAGAACTGAATCCAATTGAAAATCTGTGGGTGACCTCAACAGTAGGGTGACCTCAACGCTCTTCCTTGCTTTTGCAAGGAAGAGTGGGAAAATATTGCCAAGTCAAGAAGTTTGAAGCAGAAAGACACTTATTAAAAAAGACTGAGTGCTGTAAAATCGGTGCTTCAACAAAGTATTAGTTCAGGGGTATGCACACTTATAACCAGGTTATTGTAAGTTTTTTCTTTTTCTTTTTTTTACCCTAAAATGTTTCTGACTGTTTTGTGGAAAAAGTTCAGATATGATTTATCTTGGTTCCATTTTTTTACATCACAAAAACCTTGACAGGGGTGTGTAGACTTTTTACATCCACTTTATACACCAATTTAATAACTTTCCACTTTCACAAGATACAATGTCTTAAAACAAGTGTAAAGGCATAGAAATAGGTAAGAAAAATTGTATAGTGTTCTTACAACAATCTTGAGAGTTATGAGAAATGTTAGAGATACTGGCTAGATTTAAGATGTTTGCACTTGCCTACATATAATTTTTGCAGCATAAGAAGTCAACTAAGTATTTCCTTCTCTTGATAGAATTTTGGCAGCCACAAAACTTGATTCAGTTTATTTGTGTTACCTTCATAAGGTTTTTAGGCTTTTGAACGTCACTGGCCTTTGAACTTTTGGCATGTGTTAAACTTGATTTGAATGTCAACTTCCTCTTAAATTAGTTACTAATGTTAGTATGTAACTGAGCAACTGTTTACAGAGCCTAGAGCACATGCGATGACGTAACTGTATTTATGACTTATATTTATTCCTGTAACCACACAAATATCCATTCCCCAAGGCCTGAAGAAAGCCTGTAGTCATCTGAAAGTAAATGAGTCAGTGTCTGATAACCAAATCGGGAAGAAAACAAGACCCAAGTGTTGCCCACGTTCTTCATGTTGCATTACCAGAACACAGATAGGCGGTCTTATGAAAGTCATGTGGCTGTGGATTGTGACGAACTGGTGCGTGGTCAAGACATCATCTCTCCCACACAAATGTTTTCATTTACTATTCACAAAGAACGCACACACACACAAAACACTCACTCAGCAACAGCCTGTCTGTGACATCAATGTAGGGTTACACCACTGTGAAGTAGCCTTTCTATATTCTAGGCAACTCACAGCGACTCAAAATAGTACAGTTTACTGACAGTACAGTCAGTTTCAATACCTACTGAGGGGGCAGGGGGAGCAATCGCACTGAGGCCCATGGCGATCTCTGAAATTCTTACTGGCAAGATGCGAATTCCAGGGGGTTCTGGGAGATCCGGGACCCGCTAATCAACCTCTTGGACCCCCAGAATGTCTCAAAGTCAAAATTCTGGGGGGTTCCCTGAAAATGATGATGTTATACTGTCCATTAGTGAACAAAACAGTGAAAAAATGCAAATTCAAAGAAAAGTTGTGTTAGCCTGCTTCACTCTGGAAACAGTGAGCTTCTGTTTTTGATATTTACAGATATTATGATATACAGTATGATTGGTATTCCTTTCTTTTGGTTGTTTTTCTTTTGTTGATTGTGAAATATGTGTTTTCACACAATGACACATGCTCTTGGGGTCTGCCCCTGTTACATAAACTTTTGAGTCAGATGTACACGTAAACAATAAGAATAAACATATATTTATCATGACAGGGCAGAAGGTCAAAGCTGATGATTCAAAAACATACCAAGTATGGGTAAATCAGGACTGAAGCTTGTTTTGGTTCTTGTTTTGGCAACCATTCAAATAAGTAATGAAAAGTATCCAGACACCTATACTAATTAGTGAATTCAGCTACTTTAAGGTGTGCCCATGCTGAAACAGGCCGTCAGTTGCGCACACACAGCTTATAAAATCTCTACAGAAAAGCACAGCCAATAGAATACTGTTCTGTGCAATCTATCAGATCTATCTATGCAGTCCTATCAAATTACACAATTTGTTAATTTTCTAAATGAAAATAAGTTCATATTCTACAGAGAACACACTTAAACATGCCATTTTCCTGAACATTTTAGTGCACAATTTTTATTTGCTGAGTTTAACATATATAACATACACAGAAAACAGAACATGTATTTTTCAAAGTTTTTATTTGTTTTTTTCCAACATTTTAATTCAACAAATAAACAGTAATTGTACATTAAAATCTGCAGACATGTGTTCTCTGTAGGGGATGTGAAAAAAAGTGAACAACTCATCCTTTTGTGCACAATTTGAATTTATTCGCTAAGTTTAACACATACAAATACAAAACATAAAAATTTGTGTACATGATATATATGTTTATCCCTCAATATGTTAAATTCAAACAAATTGTAACTGTGCTTTAAGTGTGCAAAAGTGTACACTCTGTAGAGGATGTGTTGGCTTATTTTCTCTTAGAAAATCAACACAAAACATATCATTTGACTGGGGAGCACAAACATTTGCATACAATTGTGTTGTGATATTTAAAAAATTTATGTGGATTGAATTTTTGAATGTTTTCAAAAATTACTGCTATTTCACCCTGTGGTGAACAAAAATGCAAACAACAAACAAAACGGACAGGGAAATGAAAAGACTTGATAGTGACTCTAGAGGAAAGAATTCTGTTAGGGTTATTCAACACTGTCATTCGACACAATGCTGCTCACCTCCTTCTTCAGTAGGGAGACAGGGCTGGGTCACTGGTAGAGGTATGGGGAGACAGGGGTGCTGAGCCTGAAGGTGCATCTGTTTGGCCTGTCACCACGTGGGGGTAGGGACATGTGGGGGAATGTTGGCTAAAAGAGGAGCGAAATGTAAGCACCCAGAATTTTCTGTGAAAATATTAAGCAATTAATGTCAGGGGAGCAGAAGTAACCTATTTCACTATGGACTAAGATAACAGGCAAATTTCCACCACTCATGAAATATACCCACCTTTCTTTGAGGAAGAATTGGGTGACATACTGTCACCCTACCAAAACCAGTCTCTCCTGTCTTTCATTTCACTCTTTTCATTTTTGGAAGCCAGATTTTTCTTAGGAAGCTGAGACATGATGCCTCACTGCTAGCAGGTACCATTTGCTCCTGGTTTGGGGGCAGGACTGAACCATTTAATGTAAATAGCGGGGCGTTTGGGTGCTGGGTAATTATGCAGTATATTATATTAATGATGAGAGGTTAATTATTTAATTTTGAAAAATCATCACTTAATACTCTAATACTTTCTTAGGACCCCTGTCAGTCACAGGCCCTAGAACCGTCCCCTTCTTAACCCCCCTCCATATAGTGCCCCTGTCTATAACGCAAAATATAAAAATAATATATATATATATATATATTTTTTTTTATATTTATATTTACTATTCAAAACCACCAGTGAACCTACATAATGTTTCCCGGTGTTTTTATATGTGTTGTTGATAGTGGTAATAGTGGTACATTTGGAAAAAAAAATGTCCTTTATATTTTGCCTCACAATACCAAACGCGTTTCAGATGTTTTACGCCAAATCCTTACCACAAAACTTTCGTAAAAACATCTCTCAGAGATCAGGAAGCATACCTTTGTAACCACATAATGTGATAATTTTCTGTGAGAGAGCTTTTAGGAGCATTTAACACTTCAGACGTCTGGTTCCTATCACCACCACGGTGAACAACTCTGACTCTGCAAACTTCTCTAGACTGGAGAATTTCAAATCAAATGACTTTGTTTACAGCTTAACCGATTAATTATTAGACAGGGGTTGCTGGAACCCTACGAGACACACAATACAGGGCAGCCAATCAACTTACAGCAGTGTTAAAGGCAGTAACAAAAACAGACAGTTCAGTCTTAAGGGATCAAGAAAGGGTTAAAAGGGTCATGTTAAAATGGATTGTGACTGTTTTTGGCAGTTAGATGCGCCAATCTAAACGTTATAAGTGGACCTCAGTGAAAAAATGAACTCTACACTTATGAATCCTCACTTGGTGTGAGATTATCACGGGCCCAGAGCAGCTCAATAGTGACCTCCTCTGGTGGGTTTTCTGTATTGCCGGAACGCGTTACGCTAACTGCGTGTCCTTCGTAAAATACGCAAATACACTAGCTAGCAGGCCCGCTGTCTTAGCTGTTAGCGCTCAAACACAGAGAAGATGAACGCGCCGCCGGCCTTCGAGTCGTTTTTGTTGTTCGAGGGGGAGAAAAAGTAAGTAAGGCTTAAATACTGTAAGCTAAGATGGATTTCTGGTTTACTGCTTAGCCCTAATAATCCACTGTGTTTGTTCTAACGTTAGTTAGCTCGCTAATTTGGCTAACGTAGCCGAGAAGTGGCTGCTGGTGCAGCGTGAATGCTAGCCAAGCTAAGTTAACAGGAAAACCCAAAACTCAAAAATCCTGACTGTCCAATATTACAATACTCAGTGGGCTAAGTTCAGTTAAGATACATTACATATGTTGTTGTCTGGTCTTGACTTTTGTCTGAAATTACTTGGCTGTTCGTAACAGTGTTTTCTCACCTGACAAAATCAGCATTTACGTGGTGCCCATATTGAATGAAAAGTAACATGATCTTTTTTTGCAGGATTACAATAACCAAGGACACTAAGGTGCCAAATGCCTGTTTGTTTACGTTAAACAAAGAAGACCACACGCTGGGGAACATCATCAGATCGTAAATATATTTCTACATTAAAAATATTTATTTAGTAAATGTAATATACACTCCATTCAAATGAGTAAATACAGCTACTTTAAGGTGCACCTATTGCTGACACGAGTGTCGAGGTGTGCACACAGCTTACATAATAACCATAGAAAAGCTGCCACTAGAATGTACCTGGCTTCTCTAATGTTCTTGTGGTTGAATGCAGTCAAATTCTTACAACTATGTTCCAACATTCAGTGTAAAGCCTTCACAAAAGAGTGGCGTCTGTTACTGCAGCACCCTTGATTTCAGAAAATGTTGGATTAGTAGGTGAGCATGTGTTACATAGTAACACAACTTGTGCTTGTCCTTCTTTCTAACAGACAGCTGCTGAAGGACCCTCAGGTGCTGTTTGCAGGGTACAAGGTGCCCCATCCACTGGAGCACAAGGTTGTTATTCGTGTGCAGACGACACCAGATTACAGTCCTCAGGAAGCCTTTACAAATGCCATTACTGATCTCATCAGTGAGCTGTCACTGCTGGAGGAGAGGTTCAAGGTAGGTTTAATAATGGTGAATAATTATCAGGACAAAAATCAGATTTAAAAATCAAATCACTGTGCATACCATAAACTTAAATATGTTGACATTTTTTTGATTACAGCTCTAAAAGTACTATTTTGTTGATTTGGAACTGTATTCCAGGGGCTGGATTCTCAAAACATTTATAGTCATAACCTGTTAGGACCTTCTTATGTGGTTGTTCCAGTGATTCTCAAGACATTTCGAGCACCATATTGTCACTTAATCGGTCATATCTATAAGCATGATAAGTGAATTGTAGGACCATCTCAGAGCAGTCCTAGCAGGATAAAACCACTGAATATTCATGATCTCTCAATACAACTGGGTGAAGAGAACACTATCTTGAAAATGTGCTTTAATGAAATTGAAAGCTCTGAGTGACACTTGAAATTAGCCTACAGTAATGCTGAATTAGCCTAATTGCCTAATATGTGTCACAATTTACAGAGCACTTTTAACAGAAATTACAATTGATATAATACAATTTAAAATAAACAATATTTAAAAAGTCATCCATTAATATGTAAAGTATATGTGTGCGTACTGGAACACTGTCTGTCATTGGTAGAAAGCAAAACAGCACTTCCCTTCAAGTTTAAACCGTTTAGTTTTAGCCCAGTGTTATGCTATGGCTACCTTAGAACGTCCTGTCCTCCTTTTGATGGCATGAGATAGATGAATGTCGCTAGCTGGTCACAGAGCAGCCCTAAGTTAAAAGGGTCATAAGACCATTAGGACCAGCCATCATTAGTAACTTCCATGAAGCTTTGAGAATCCAGCCCCAGGACTTTGGTCTTCAAATGATACATGCTTTTTGAGGCTGAAATCTGAATTTAACTTAAAAATATTTTCACCCATTTTAAATGAATGTGATGTACAAACTTTTCTTGTAATAGATCACCAAAATATTTAAAGACTATTTAAACTGTTGACAGCAGTTGCGTTCATGGGTGTTTGTTTGTGGTGTTTTGCACTTTATGGCTAATTGTTTTGGCTGTTGCTGTCTAGCATGAAGGCCCAGTGTACATAAAGTAGATCAGTATAAAAAAAAACTACAGCAACAACTTTCAATAGTGATGTATGTCTCATTACTTACTTTATTCTCTCATTTTTAGGTTGCCATCAAAGACAGACAGGAAGGCATCGAGTAAAGGCTGTATCAAAATGTGGATGTCCAGTGATAGCACCAACCTTAAAATGAGCTTATGACAGCTTCACAAGCTTGTTTGGACTGAATCAGTTATGAGTTGCATAGTCCCTCCTGTATAAGTTTACTTCTGCCGCATTTCAGCAGCATTCATTCTCTTCATCTTGCCCCACATTTAAGTTTGAGACTGCTGAAACTGTCTCTGTGAATTGCTGTAAGGTTTGAATTTCGCTGTGTTAACAGCATTTTGATTAGGAAATCTTTTGTACAGTAATGTTACACATTCATTGCCATATTTCTTGTAATTTTATAATAGCAACAGTAAAATGTTCCTTTGTAACTTTGTGTTTGTCTTGAATTAAGTAATAAACGTTTTATATCTGAATTGTTCAATCTGCATTATATCCCCGCTGGAAAAATATATGGAACACTTGATTAGGACTGCTGTTTCTAGGGGGACATATTAAAGAGGTGCACAAAGTTGCTTGATGGCTGACGAGCGTAAGGCAGCAAACTGTGGCTGTAAAGGCATCAGGACGTGTTTAATCTGTGAGGCAGATGATGGAAAACGACATTTACTGAGCACGACGCAAAGCGTAAGTTCGGCAGTGACCAAGTAAGACTGTTTGTTAATGATTAGAATGGTGTGCAGTGGGACGCAGAGCTGCGCTCCAATATCCCACAGTGAGTGGAGTTCATGCGCACTAGAGGCGTTCTAACATTTCTACACTCCAGCCAAGTGTCCTTAGTGTTGGAACGGCTCGAGTGCACATGAATTTCATTCACTTTGGCGTCAGGAGGCTAAAACCCAACGTTACATAAAATCTGTATTCGGAAGATTGTTTTAATGTTTAATGTTTTTTAATGTTCCCAAATTTAATGTTTTTTTATATAGAAATTGAACCTCTTGTAAAGAGTTTCAGAATCATTAACAACCTGAAGAATGTAATATTCTTAAAGAGCTAGAATGAAATGTTTGTAGAGCAGCACTAATCAAATTATTATTGTTTTGAATCTGTTGTCTGTATTACCTTTATTTTACATGTAACGTTATTTGTAGATTGTGTATTTAATTTGTAGTGGTTTACTTTTTTTGATATGTTACATTTTGGTTCAGGAATAAAGTGATAAGTAAAAATTCCAATGTAAAACGGTAAAATGAAGAAACACACGCACATACGTACATGTATGTATGTGTATATCAGCATTACATATATTTAAACTATTAATAACAGGAATCACATATCTTATGTGTCAGTTTATTTCTACTGTTTGTCACTGAAATACCTTGAAATACAATATTTTTTTTGTCTGGACTGTGTTGCAATGATAAACTTGATAAGAGGGAAAGGAAAGGACTATAAATTAATGTAATGGCAGTCAGTCGATGGTTATAGTAAATAAATGTTTACTATGAAAAGAAATTAATTTAGGCTGGATAGGTTAGTGTTCAGTTTCTGCATTCTGTTGCATTTAATGCACATAAAAACAGTGCAAATTTCATATCAGTAGGCCACAACTAATGAGCCCTTATACCTAATATATTCTTCTAACGTCTTGTCTTAAAGTTATGCCAAAGGGAACTATTGTCAGGAAGTAAATTAGTTATTTAATTGGTATGGATTCAAAACTGTTCTTTCAAAATAATCTGAAGCACCCACAAAGTGACATACATGGGATCTGTCAGATCCTGGATATCAAGAGTCCACAAAACAGAAAAAAAACTTAAAAACAAATCTCATTATAGACATTATATCATGGATATAATGCCCATCATGCATCAAGTATTGCCCAGCACTAAGAGCTATGAACATCTCTGAACCTTAATGCTCATTAAGAATGTAAAGATTTATGAATATACAAATGCAGTTGAAAATGCCACAAGCCCTGATGCCATCCAAACCGCAGCCCATAGGCTACTTTATTGCCTCTTGATGAACTATGTTATAATAAAATGGCAAGAGGAAGCCTTGGTGAATACAGCCCTGTATGACTGGACAAATGAGGCGGAGCAACAAAAAATGAAAACATGAGCTTCCGCTGTAACATTACAACCAGAAAATAAATAAGCTCAGTAACTTTTAACTGTAAGTCTAACAACAACTGCTAATCAGTACTGCCTAGCTAGTAAGCTAACAGCCCAGTACACCACAGAAGCAGTTTATCTTTATCATTCTGTCACTCCAACATCAGTCACTTAAGTTTTCTCTATCAGATTTATTGTAATCTTCTTAATAGCATATTTTAATACATTGGACCATGATAGACTCAGTATTTTGTGACATATAAAGTAAGCTTATATGTGGAAATCCACAATTTTTTTTTTATTTTATTTTGGAAGTTAAATATCTGTGTTTTCAGTGGAAACATTTAAAAATATGGGCTGTGGACTTGAACACTAATCTATATAATCATATAAGGGGTCTAAGAGTAGTTAACCACTTGAGCACACATTTACAAAGTGCAGATGGTTTTTAAGAAGTTTATTACAAGCTAACGTTCTGGGTAGAATCGACAATCTAGTAAACAGAATGCAAGTACAGCAGTTGGAACACAGCCATAGCTTTGAGTTGGTAGGCTTGTGAGTTGATAATCTCTGAGTTGATAGGCTCATGTGTCTCGTTCCAGATACACTATGATTTTACGTATGATCCAGAGTCAAAGCTAGCAGTACCAGATGATGGTGATGGTCAGTCTTTTCCCTTCTCTGGTGTCTTCCTGTGGGAGAACTTTGTCTCAGAGGATGAGGAGAGGGAGCTGGTGGCAAAAATGGACGAAGAGATCTGGAGAGAGTCCCAGTCTGGTAGGCGGAAACAGGTATGTAGCTGTATAATTAAAATTCCTTGTTTTTCATATTTGGTGTTTTATAATATTTGGTGCTTTAGAATAATTTGGCTGTCCGATTTGATTCTTTTAGGACTTTGGGCCCAAAGTGAACTTCAAAAAACAGCGCATTCGTCTTGGGGGCTTCAGTGGCCTTCCTGCTGTCAGCCAAAAACTGGTGGACAGAATGACAAAGGAGCCTTTGTTAGCTGGATTTCGGCCAGTGGAACAGTGCAACCTGGACTACGATCCAAAGCGAGGCTCAGCTATTGACCCTCACCTCGATGACAGCTGGCTATGGGGGGAGCACTTAGTTACTATCAATTTGCTATCTGACACTGTTGTAACCATGAGTTTGGATGAAGGCTGGGGAGAAATGGACCAAGGTGGGGTGAGAGTAGCTGTGAACTTACCTCGGAGATGTTTGATTGTGCTGTATGGTGAGGCTCGGCATCGCTGGAAACACGCTATTCACCGAAAGGACATTCAGAGCAGGAGGGTGTGTAGTACCTTCAGAGAGCTGTCTGCTGAGTTTCTGGAGGGTGGAGAACAAGAAAAGCTTGGCTTAGAGCTGTTGGACATAGCATCGAGCTTTAAAGGAGTCCCCATAAGTAACTAATAAATAAAGTTACAGCAAACCTGAGAAAGGTCTGTACATCCTAAGATGACCCTGGACTTTTTAATTGCTCTGTTTCATCATGTACACTTATATAAATTATGTTGCTAGGCATCTTTGAGATGCAAAGAATTATTTATTTGTTGATTTTCTGAAATAATTTGTCAAATATACTGGATTTCACCTATTAATAAAAACTTTAAAAATGTGTTTTTTTTGCCAAATGTTGATATTGGCATATGAATGTTTGAATATATGACCCTTCATACTGTACTTGGCTACATTAATAAAAAAATTAAATCTATATGAAATAAATCTCTGGTGTATATATCTGTATTTGATGTATAGTAAAATGTGAATGTATTGATTCACTATACCATATAGAATTTCACAACACAGAGAAGTGTTAACTCCACCACAGGGACTGTGGCACATCAAGTTGTGAACCAGGATTGGAATATTTAAATGGGAACAATGCTCTGCGTAATTCAGTCGTTAAGATGTAAATTCATTCAGAGTGGTTTGATGTGAAACGGTATGTTGTAGAGAAACTTACTGACTCTTTACAATGGAGGTGACAGGAACCATACTGTGTCTAAAAACCCAAATCTAGGCATTTAATTTTTATCATATCCTAAACAACCAGTGAATCTACACGTCTCCTGAGGTTTTATATTTAATGTGATCTTTGGGTAGTATTAATAGTAGTACCATGAATGTGCCAAAACCTTCTAAAAACTATCATAAAGCAGTGTCCCAGCCATGCAGAAGCATATTTGTAATGTTTTCAATATCTGTAACCGTTTCAGTAACAGCTTTCTCTGAGGTAGCATTTAGAGCAGGACTGCCTGAAGTGAATTTGGCCCTTGAAAAAACTTTGGCCCAGCAGAAAGTGACCCTAACTCCACCTCATCATATCAAGCCACATCAGTTGACTTTGTTTACACCTTAACTATTGAATGTGAAGAATCTTTGGGGAAATCTGTGAAATTCCCTTTTAAACGCTCCGTTTTGGTTGATAACTCGCCGTGCCACACTCAAAATGGCGGAGCGAATACTCCTCTGTGCGCAGAGTGACGTCAATGTGTCAGAGGTCAGCCTGCACTTTCCCGGGAAAACAGAAGTCACATTTACAGTTTCAATGTAAGTACAGAGTTATTAGTTAAATATAGTAATATCTATACAGCTACCCTGCCTGTAATAGTTTCAGTAAGCTTTATTTCCATTAATGCGGTCACATCGCCTTTCTGACGGAAGGTGTGCTGTCCGCGCTGACGCTAGTGTAGCGTGGTCCGCTGAGGGTTGGAGCATGAATACATCTGACTGGGAGGACCAGGGCAAAACTTTTGTTGCTGTTTCTTGCTGATTTACTTTACGTCAAACCTAATCCTAAAGTAGCCCTGACTTCTTCTTAATAAGTCTAATGACTTCATTGCTGTAACACTACTTGTGTTCATCAAGGTGTGAGCAGTCCTGCGTGCTAGACTGCAGTTCTGGTGGTGTCAAACCGAACCATCACTGGCTGTTAAGTGGCCACTTAAGTTACGACCGGTCCATTTTAATGCAAAAAGCTCCGAAACTTGAGCACCCAATGGCAAGAGGTTTAAAAAGAAACCACAGAATGACCCCCAGTCCTATTTAACCCAGTCCGTCTTGTTGCACTGACTCTCTGTCTGTTCCTCTAGCTGTGCAGCAATGGAGAAGATTACGGAGAAAATATTGCTGGAGAAAGGCTCACCGAAAACAAACAAGCTGGATCAGATTAAGACTCTGAAGTAAGTGTTATTTTCAGCAATGAGACCCTTAAGGACTATGTACCTGGCATCTTTCTTTTACATTATATCTTGAACATGGACGATTGGTAAATCTGTGTTGGTTAAAACACTGTCAGTAAAGATTAAAGCACAAAATGGTGTGAGAAAATGTATAATAATTAGATCCATCACCCTTTAAAACCCTCCACCATGGTTCTATTGTACTGTTAATCTGCACATTTTAGTGTATTTTTCCTGCTCTAAGACTTCCACTTAAAGGGGAATTCCACCAATTTCCCAAAATGACTACATCAATTAAACATTGAGATGTAAACAAAGTTGTTCAGAGTACACCGATCATCCGTAACATTAAAACCACCTCCTTGTTTCTCCGGCCATTGTCCATTTTACCATACAGGTAAAAATGGACTGTAGTCCATTTGTTGATCGGTATACTTTGTTAGCCCCCTTTTACCAAGTTTTTCAACGTTACCACAGAGCAGGTATTATTTGGGAGGTGGATCATTCACAGCACTGCAGTGACACTGATGTGGTGGTGGTGTGTTGGTGTGTTGTGCTGGTACGAGTGGATCAGACACAGCAGTGCTGCTGGAGTTTTTAAACTTCTCAGTATCACTGCTGGACTGAGAATATTCCTCCAACCAAATATATCCAGCCAACAGCAGTATTGTAGAAGCACTAACGATGCTGACTATATTCAGCAAATTGTGACATTATGTATGACAATAACATATCGTCCGATTGCCCACCTCTACACTGTAGTCATACAGTAGAGTAAGCATTGATTGTCTTTGTAACCCTTTTGTCTGTAGTCTCTCTCGAATGGGGCTGAAGAGACAGGACCTGCCGGTGGCCTTGCTGTCCAAACTCCGAGGTCTGGAACAGTTAGACCTTTCAGGCAACATGCTGCAGGAGCTTCCCAGAGGACTTTCTCTGCCCCGCCTGAAGCTTCTCGACTGCTCCAACAACGACATGGAGGATGTGACCACCCTAGAGGCCCTGAGTAGCCTGGAGGAACTTCGGCTAGAAGACAACCTCTACCTCACTGTAAGAGGCCTCCTGTTTGTCCTGCCACTTAGAAGAAACTACACATTTGTGGCTATTGATACCATCTCATGATTGCGCTCTGTTTTTTGTAGGTTAATGATGAGCACAAAGTGATGTTCCTCTTGCCCAAGTTGAGGATGTTTAATGGAAAGGACATCAGTTCCACAGCCAACCACATCCGCTACGTCAGCAGTGAGATTCTTAAGAGGCGGGTAAGAATACTTCCATATTTAGGCATTATAGGGTGCAATCTCTGAGATCCTGATGTTTTCTTTTAAAAATTGATAATGTCTAATAAATAAAAAAAAGTGATAGGAACTACTTTAACTTCAGGTCTCTCGGCAGATAATGGTAATACAAAAATGTCATGTCTACACGTACAAATACCCCCTTTTTCTTAGGGATGCATGATAATATTGGATTCATATCAGTATTGGCAGGTAATTGCTTAAAAATAATCTCATGAATTGTTAAAAATATGTTTTAGGCTAATGATATCTAACAACTGTGTCAGACATTGTATTTATAACTATTTCATGTGATAACTTCCTTTGTGGTGACTTGTAGAGACATAAAACTCTTCAGACTTGTGGTTTTTCACCAGTACTGTGAACAATCCTGACTTTATAAGTTTTTCTAGAATAAAGCATTTCACCTCAGACCACTCTGAATGACTTAGTTTACGTCTTAACCCCTTTAATTATGCAGAAGGTCTGAAAAATTGTTTGAATTCCCTTCAGGAATGGCTTGTTAATCAGCATCATCACAATATGTATTAATAATGATATATATTGCAATTTTTTTCTGAGATTTGCAAACAAGAAAAAATATAAAGGATAGGAGCTGTTTCTCATCTCACTCTCTCCCACTGTAATGGACAGCTATGAAAAAACTGTGCAATTCATTCAGAAATATTTGCAAAAGAAACTAGAAGGATTAGCAGCAAAATATATAGGATAGGAATTGCTTTTCCTCCCACTCTCTCCCGCTGTAATAGTAGTGCAAAAATGTCTACTCATGGAACACAACAAACTGCTAGGGTTGCGTGATGATATCTGAATCATATCAGTATAGGTAGATAATTGCTTTAAAAAATTATCTGCGTCCGAAAGATGTGTAGATTTGACTGCTACAAGCCAGTATTTAATTACTTATTTATTATACTCTGGAAGAGAAAATTATTTAGGCGACGCTCGGTTGCTGTGCTAAAATGTCTATTTTTCCCATTTCATGGCATTTCTTATCCTACAGAATTAACATCATATTTCTCCTCAATACTAATGCAGATAAATGTAATCCCAAAATCAATTATTATTGATTATCAATATTATGAATTTCTATGTAGTGACGTATATGTACACAAAAAGTATTGAATATAACCATCGGTTCACAGCTCCCAACTCTTACTTTATATATGCACAAGAACCCTCTTAAAAGTATTGGGATACTAGTCCATTATTTGGCACAGGGTAAGTGAAATTGACTGTCATGTACAGTTATAAAGGCCTCAGTAAAGCTGTTCAGAAATGGGCTTAATTTAATTTGATCAACTCTGTATTGTGTGGAATGACTGCAAGCGTCCTGCTGTAAATCTGTTACAGGTGATTGGGGTGTGGGAAAAGGACTTCAGTCTGCCTGATCCACTGACTGCACAGAGCCTCAGTGCAATTGAGAAGAAATTTGTAAATGCAGCCTGCTTCCAAGTCAAATACGGTCCCAGCTCTTTAAATGACTACACCAAGTGGAGGGTAGGTGCTTAAATATGAAGTTGCTTTTTGTGTTAAACAGGGATTTGTTATTTGTTCAGGACTTTTCTTGCTGTAGGTGCATGTCAGGACTTTTCTTGGTGTAGGTGCATAGAACAAATAATATTAAAGACTGACATGGACATGTACACAGGTCACATATCAGTATATATGTATTCATCCAAAAGGATATTTTTATCACATCAAAAAGTTTGTTGATTTACACCATGAGAATGGAAATTTTCTGTAATCTTTTATGTATGTTGTTATTTGAAATGATGGGACAACCTACACTGGAAACATGTTTTTGAGAAAAATAGCAGGTTTACGCATTAACTTACTGTCATGACAGATTTTCCTGACAAGTTTCTTTTAACAGACACAAACCAATACAAACAGCACAGCCGAGAGTTAGAATTGGATTGAGGAGGAGACGAGAATATTGTAAATGAAATGGGGCGGGGGGGATTATAAAATGAATAAAAATAGTTGGTTTATGGGGAAGTCAGGAAAGCTAAAGGTACACAAGTTGTGACAAACATGAAATTTGACATGGAGTCTGGTCAAACACAACTTTATTTTTTATTGAACAGCAAAATGTGAAATAGGACACCCCATAGCCTAATGGTCCTCGTGTGCACACACACAGTTGTGGATTGCAGGACTGTGAGCGTGCCATTTGGGACTGGACTTAAGAGGCAGTTTGATGGTAACAAGCGGCAAAAATCACAAAAGTTTATGAATTTTTATTTTGTCTCTTACAATTTCCACAGAAAGTTGATGGAAACTTAGGTAGTTAGATGCACATATGCATTGTACGTTGTTTCAATTCCATTTTGCCTTTTTGAATCGTGGATTTAGGTTGAGATGATTGCAAAGGAATACCTTAAATCACTTACTGACCCTGAGAAAGAGGAAGAAGGCGGTACACCAGAGACACCTGTTAAAGACAATGAGGTAAGACTGCTCAATAAGAAAGCACAATCAGAACATGACTATATAAAAACTTGTAGTCACCATATGGAATACAGTTGCATCTTTTGGTCCTGTTCTGAAGTTTGGCCAGAATCATACTCTAAAGCACTGTGTCCTTTTTTTTCAGACGGTTCTTTCTCCTTCCAAGAGGAAGCACTGTGATCTGGGAGCAAACGGTGAGACAGAAAGCCCTCGGAAGAGAAGGACAATGAACGACGCAGCAGCCACTGAGGCCAGTCCACGGAAATCGAGCCGCTTGGCCAGCACTACCACTGCTGTGGCGAGTCCAAGAAAATCCAGCCGAGTACAGAGCACCACTCAGAACTCCAACCTGAGCTTATCCAGCCCAAGAACGACTGTAATGAATGGTGGAACTGCTGCTGAGCCAAGTCAGAGAAAATCAAACCGTCTGCAGAACACTCCACAAAAAACAATAAATGCCACTGCAAGTCCCAGAAAGGCCCCTGGGACTCCCGCTTTAAAGGGGGCTAAAGATCAGCCTGCGAATCAACAGAGCAAACACACCGCTACTCCCAAAAAGACAGAGAGTAGAACACCCAGGAAGGCCATCAAATACGAAGTTCCACAGGTATGAATGGACATTAAAATGATATACAGATTTTATGACACAACATGTATTATAGTTTTTGCACCATGACTCATACAGATGTGAAAAGGAGTGCAGTGCCTGGTGAAAACATATGTTAAGCAAGGAGACGAATTCATTTAAAAGGACCCAAACTCTAAATAGTTTCAGTTGTAGTGCAGTTTTTTCTTGCTTTTGTGGTTGACCTCTTTAGGAATATCACTCTAAATTATATCAGTTTGTCTAATATCAGAAATATTGTTGTAGGATAAAATCTGAGTGTATTAACTTGCAGAGCATATTGTCTTACTGTGTTTAAAAAAAAACTAATATTCATATTCATATTATAACACCCTTGTTAAAATCAATAAAAATTTTGTATTAAAATGTAATGAGCCACAAATTCCCCTTTCTATCTAGACAATATTTCATGTCAAAATCTAACCACTAGTACAGAAAATTGCCTTCCCACTGGCTGTTATTTGTGTCTCTCACATTTCTGTATTTTGTGTATTGTGGTCAGTGGTTCATCACAAAATCGTTAGCTCATCACCATGTGTGTCTCTCTCCTGCTGTGCCAGGAGCCAGCCAGTCTGCAGCCACTTCATGTCCTGCAGTGTCACAGTAAGGAGAACAGTCCAGAGGACTTCAGCACCCAGCTGTGGGCCTGTTCCTTTGAACCTGTACAGGACAGCAGTGGTGAGTATTCAGTGCCTTTGGTGGACAATAACCATTTTTTCCCTTTATTTTATTGTTACAGTTCATTCATAGAAGTGCAAATGAGATGTAACCCCACCCACTCAAGTGAAATAAAACAATAAGGGGGGAAGAGTACAGAATTAATAGTGCATCCTAAGCAAGTTCATACCTTTTGTGTTCAGTCGTTTTGAGAGACTACATTAGTTCTAAGCATTTTTTGCAGGTTTTGTCTAGTTTTAGACCTAAAGTTGTTTTAGAAAGGAAATGATGGGAAAACATTATCAGTTTACATGATACATCGTTTGCATTTACTCACATTAAAAGTAAACAATGTTTTTGCCTTCTCCTGTACAATTACCCTTATATGTTTTGGTGACGATGTTTGTCGTTTGTTTTAGATGCCAGTGGCTGGGTGTGGACAGTGGCCACTTGTGGAGGGGAGTCGGTGTGTGTGATAGACTGTGAATCTGGGCACGTACTAAAGAAATACAAGGTCCCTGGTGAGGTATGTCCCCAGTGTTTTACTGTGTAGTACAATTTCTTACCGTCAGGTGGCGAGATGCTCTATTAATGCATCTATAATAATTTTGTTCTATGACTGCTGAGTAGGTTTTTCCCTATTTTGCTCTAAATTGAGCCGTTTCAGGTTTCATCCAAACATTCCCAATAATGAATTAAAGGTTGATTTCATTAGGTAATATTTTGGGTCAAGTATTGTAAAGTAAGCAACATCATTTCCTATGTTAACATGTACCCAATGGCCTAAATAAGTTCTTTTTTACTCCAAATTGTGCTGTTTATGTAATCATACAGTACTGTGTAAAAGTCAGAGACCACACTTAATTTATTTAGTTTTAGGTCTAATTGTTAAGTACAAGTTAACAATTTTTCAAGAGATATTTCTGAGGAGATCAGATGTAAGATAATGCACTTGCATGAAGAAGGGGAAAGTCAAGAGAAGATCGCCATGCAAGACCTGGTTGACTACCAAAACTACTAAAAGACCTGGTTGGCTACCAAAACAGCACTTAAAGCTTTCATCTTTGAGAGAGAGGAGAAAATCAAGCTCCGCTCCTGCTTCAGATCTGAAAAATTCCCTGAGCATGTCCATACTTCCGCTTTGAGAAGACAACGCTATGGGTCTGAAAGGACATGTAACTGTCTGGAAGCTGTTACTGAGAAAAGAAAATAGACAAAAAAAGAAATTAAGCAAACCAATCAAAGAAGCTGCTGATGTTCTCAGAACAATAGACTGACCACCCCAGAGTCCAGACCTCAACATCATTGATTATGTTTGGGATTACTTGGATCCCATGTGTCAAACACAAGGCCCACGGGCCAAGTCAGGCCTGTGGCACAATCCTATTTGGCCTGTGAAATTATTTTAATTTTCTTTTAATATTAGCTTATTTCACCATGCCCTGCGCTACAATCCCCAGCATGCACTGCAACATAATGTGAGCTCAGACCCTCTTCCCCGAACAATCTATGGGCCAGCGGCTACACAAAAAGAAAAGATGGTGTTCAAGCAAATAGGCAGTTTTAAAAACCTTCCTACGGGACATTTAAAGATGTTTAACAGTTAAACAGCTAATGTAGCCTGTTGTTTTATATAAAACAATTTGTTTTCATTTAAAATAATTTTTGAATAGGTTAAGTATTCAGTGCCTATTTTGCTGTAGCAGTTTTGCCATATTTTGAAATGGCCAGTTCAGGTCATGTAAAAATGAAATGAAAATGCAACTGGCCCATGGATTTGTTGAGATTTTTAATATGGCCCTTTTAGTGGTTGAGTTTGACACCCCTGACTTAGATCATGAGAAGCAGAAAATTCAAGCAACTTCTAAGACTGAATTTTGGAGGTGTGGAAAAATATCCATGCAGATTTCTTTGTTTCTACGTATGTATTTCCGAAAAGAATGGAAGCTTGAATGAGTAACTTGTATTTATGGCTATTTTGAGAGGATAATCCTATAAGACAAGCACTCTTAGAGCCACTGATGTGCATGTAAACATAGTTACTGTAACATTATTAGTAGTCTGTGCATGAATAAACATTAACACTTCTTTTAGGAGTTCTTCACGTTGGCATGGAGCACATTGTTGATGTCGAGAGAGGGAGGCTGTGCCCGCTCCTGTAGCATCCTGGCGGCAGGAGGGAAGAGGGGGGTGGTGAAGCTCATCCACCCCAGAGTCAACTTGGCATACGGAGAGTTCCGTGCCAGCCGCCGTGCCATTGCTGTCCTGCGCTTTAGCCCGCGTCACCCCAGCTTTCTGTTCAGTGAGTGCAGAAATTCTAGAGCACAAACTGTGATATTGCTTTTTAGGTTTTAGCAATAATTTAGTGATATTTGATTTCATTTATAACCATAAAATAGCAGTGCTATTGCTGCCAAGTAGTTTGTGTTTAGTTTTTTCTTTTTTTAAATAAATCCATTTTGTGCACTTTATACATGACATGCAGCACCTGTTAGATTAAAGCAACAGATATTATTTACTATTATTTTGATATCATATTATGACATTCATGTTTTTGTTGTTAAATCATTTTATTCTTTAAATATTGCCCAGCCCTAGTTGTCACCAGCCCTGCTCATAGAAATCTACCACTCTGCAGAGTTTAGCTCAGAACCCTGACCCACCACACCTGATCCAGCTAATGACTGCCTTCAGAAGTCCTTAATAAATTGTATGAAGTGTGTTTAGGTTTGGTGTTGGAGGTAAAACTCTGCTGGAAGCTAGTTCTCCAGGAACAGAGCTGATCACAGTTGGTCTAGAAATGAGGAGTTCTTTTGCAGTATTTGAATTGTCAGAGTCTGATTTGGTAATAGGCATGTATTTGTATGTTTGTAGCTGGCACATACGACAACAAGATTGTCATGTGGGACATTGGAGGGCTGGACCGTGACTACAATTTCAAAACAAGGTTTGTAGCTCTTGTTGTTTTCTGTCTTACTTCTTTTCGTCTACAAACTAACTTTACCTTACATTGCTGAACTAATGGAAATGGACAATAAGAATGTAAAAAGGATTCAGTCTGTTACGGTGATTTGATCTGAAGGTGATGATTCAGCTAAATCAATTTGGGTCTTAAAATTGGTGACGATTATTGTTAAAGTATTTTTGGAAAGTTACATGTTTTAATCAGTTATAATATATTCAGAGAAGTATGCTCTAGTGCTCTAGAAATGCACTGGCTGATCATGATTTCTTTTTTATATGTCTGATACTGATAGTGACAGCCGTTTTATTATTGGGCTTTTTTTTGCTTTGCACCCCTAGGCCAGCATAAAATTCTCTATTCTCTATTCTAAATTCCTATAATTGATCATAATGAATGTAATTGACTTCAAATGGACAACAACGCATTATTTTTTTAGCCAAAATAAAATTCTGTAGCTTTTTTTAAATGTAAAAATCCAAAAAAGCTTGTTTTTATATTTTTATTAGTTTTCTGTTTATATTGTCTGTTCTATTACTGTGTAATAACTCCTCCAGTCACATTTGTGTGTTTTTGTTTTAAAATGCATTGAATTGTTTCCTAAATAATCACAATAACAGAATTGTTGTGAGGTCAAGTGTTTACACCTACACACTTAAAGATAGTTCAAGGGTTCTTTTGTAAAGAAAGTGGTTCTGTATAGAACCATGAACACTCAAAGAACCCTTTGCATGGTTAAAGGGCTCTCTGCATCAGGAAAGAGTTCTTCAGATTGATGGAGAATGTGCTGTAGATGGTTTTGTATAGAACCTTTTTGAAAAGGGTCCTGTATAGCACCAAAAAGAGTTCTACTGTTGTAACAAGCCTGACATCGTAACAATAAAAGAATGCTTTTTGGTGCTATATAGAACCATCAACAGCACATTCTCCATCAATCTGAAGAATGCTTTCATGATGCAGAGAATCCTTAAATCAAGGAAAATGTTCTTCAAATGTTCATGGTTCTATATAGAACAATTTTCCTTACTAAATAACCCTTGAAGGACTATCATTTCTAAGTGTGTAGGGTTGGGCAATATGATACTAAGTAATGCCATATTGGCCAGCTCTGTTTACAGCCCTGGCCAAATGTTTGTAAAATCCTTTGTATTTCTTTTGCTAATAGTCAGCTGCTAGTTCTGGAAACCGGCTCCACTCCACTACATCTCTGCCTGCCGCCCTGCTCCCCGGACACACACCTCATCTCTGGCTGTGAAGATGGCCTCTACAGCTTCGACATCCAGCTCAGCAAAAACACACAGAAGAGGTGCTTTTTTTCTGACCATGTGTTCATGAATAATGTAAGAGTAGGACTGTGGATCAGGTAGCTCATTTGTTCAGGATGATTTTTACTTGTGTTTCATGTCTTGTATGTAGTAGTAATTATTTGTGTAATGTAAAATTTAGCTTCTTTTTCAATATCAGTATCTTTACTGCTAGCATGAATAATAAAGTCAATAAAGTCAAAGCGACAACCAAGCAATTAGCTTGTGATGACTACCACGCCTTATAAGGCGAGTTAGTTCTGTTGAAGCTGTGTTACGTTTGCCAGAAAGGGGGATCTGGAAAAACTGTTGTAGAAATATCTGCCTGGAAGTCTATATAGTCTTTAATAGCGTCCACTCATGATGATGATGGGTTGTTTGTCCTTGCAAATAAAGTAAATGTCCATAAAATCCATCGTTTGTGTATTCAAGTCTGTGTCTGTACATGCTTTTAGGTCAGAAGAGATGGAGATTGTATTTCCTGTGTACAAGAAGAAGGACAAGAAGAATGACTATCGCACTATTGATGGACTCAGCTTTCTAACAGATGACATAGTAGGTGAGTAAGTAGTGTCTCAGTTACACTGCCTGACTTTGTCATGCAGTCTGTGTTACAGGTTTCAATCCAGCTGTCGAATTAAATTTATGCAAAAAACTAAAATGTCACAAAGCATTATTGTAAATTATGGAAATAAACATGCGGTTCCAATAGCAAGTGTAGATAAATTCTTTACATCATTTAAAGAAAATATGGAGTGAGATGACAAAAAAAACTTGATGTTTGAGCAAAATCTGACCCGATGCCTCTGACTTTTAAATTGTTAGTTCAGAATGACTCACAGCAGCAGACGCACACCATATTTTAGCATAATTTTTTCCCCTGACTCTTTCAGTTTAAAGTCTTACATAGTGCAGCTTTAATTAATTGCAGGTACTTTATGTCTGCCTAAAATCACTGTTTTGTTTTTTGTTAAGATCAAGGCACATTTTCAGTTCTTTGTCATTTCACTGATAGCTGCCGCCTAATGTTTGATAGCTACAGCTGGGCAAAACTGAAACACATGATCGCTCGTATGACATCATTTGCATTTACATTTTGGCAAAAAAGTTTATCCACTTAAAGAAGGCCTGCAGGGTGCAGTGTTGGTACATCTGTAGCAGTAACTACATTAACGTTAGAAAGTGCAATCACTTGTCATATTAATTTGTTATTTTATACACAATAAAAACTTTAATTGCCATGTGCTTAGACCTGGTAATGGATCAAATTTCCATATTGCACATTGATTTTCTCACAACATTTCACAAAATGCTTTTTAATTACACACTCATTCTCTTTGTCTTATTTTCCTAGCATCTAAAAGCCATATGCAGGGCTCTATCTATCTGTGGAGCTGGAGTGCTACAAGGGCTTCGCAACAGGGGAAGAAGAAGGTAGTCTCTGCTGTTATCCTAGCTGAGCTGCAATGGTCTAAAACCGACATCCCATACCTGTCTTTAAACACCTGCCCAGGTAAGCTGTGTTGAGTTTATAGATTCTATACACCTAATGACTTTTTTATATTTATTTTGTGCAGAATTACGTACATAATATGGATAAAAGTATTGGGTCACCTACACATTACACCCACAGGAGCTTTCATGACATCCCATTCTAAATCCATAGCCATTAATATGGAGTTGGTCCCCTCTTCGCAGCTGTAACAGCTTCCCCTCTACTGGGAAGCTTTCTACAAGATTTTGGAGTGTCTGTGGGAATTTTTGTTCATTCATCCAGAAGAGCATTTGTGATCTCAGACACTGATGTTGGACAAGAGGGCCTGGCTCACAATCTCCGTTTTAGGTGTCCTGAAGGTGTTTAGTGGGGTTGAGGTCAGGGTTCTGTGCAGACTAGTCAAATTCTTCCACACCAAACTCACCCAACCTTGCCTTTATGGACTTTGCCTTGTGCACTTGGGCTCAGTCATGCTGGAACAGAAAAGGGCTTTTCTAAACTGTTCCCACAAAGTTGGAAGGTTTCCCTTCACTGGAACTAAAGGGTCGAGGCCAAACCCTGAAAAACAACCCCATAGCTTTATCCCTTCTCCACCAAACTTTACAGTTGGCACAGTGCAGTCAGGCAGGTAATGTTCTCCTGGCATTCGCCAAACCCAGACTCGTCAATCAGACTGCCAGATAGAGAGCATTGATTCATTACTCCACAGAATATGTTTCCACTGTGCCAGAGTCCAATGACGGCATGCTTTACAGCACTCCATCTGACACTTGACATTGTGCTGGGTGATGTAAGGCTTGCATGCAGCTGCTCGGCCATGGAAACTCATGCCATGAAGTTCAGCATACAACACCATGCTCGAATTCATTGAGCTCTGTAGAATGACCCATTCTTTCACAAATGTCTGTAAAGGCACACTGCATGGCTAAGTGCTTGATTTTATACACCTGTGGCAATGGGACTGAATGAAACACCCTAATTCAATGATTAAGAGGTCTGTCCTAATACTCTTGTCCATAGAGTGTATATTTGGCTGACATTTGAGCTAGAAATCCAAGTGATATAACAATATCGGACTAGTTTGACCAGGGGATGTTCTGTAATGTAATTTGCAAATTAGGATTTGGCTCACAGATTAGAAAGTAACTGTATAATTCCCCAAAATTACCACAGACAACCCAGATTGAATGGGTATAAATCAACAGTAAAGCAACAGCAGCAACATTTAATAAAAACACTGTAGTATAAGGACATGTTGCTACAAGCAGGTTTTATATTTTATATTACTGAAAGGTCAATTCAAACAGGAGTACTGTTACTGAGACAGCTTATATGACTGTCAGATTAGTGACATTGCAGATTTGTACTAGAGAAACATTGCAGATCTCAACGGTTATCACCTAAATCGCAGTACCTCCCTGGGTAAAAGTAATCCAGGCCCAGTTGGGCTTTTGACTTCATGAGTCCATGATCAAGTTATTGATGATTTATTCTTTGCATACAAACTGTCCCTCATGTTATCAGTTTAAGGAATCTTCAGCTGTGCTGTTATTTCTGCCCCTCTACAGACTTTGGCTATGTGGTTTGTGGAGATGAAAATGGAAAATTATGGACGTACCACATCACAGATCTCGTAAGGTCCAACTTCAAGAGTGGAAAACCAGTTGCTGCGACTGAGGTATGACTAACTTACATCTGTGTGGCTGCTTGAGATATAGTAATTGTCCTGCTAGTGATAGAGTAGTCCAATATCACAAGATCATGATCTTTTTCTCTCAGTGTTTGTGTGTTTTTGAAAGCAGAGCGTTTTAAGTGATGGAGGAAGAAAGAAAATAGTCATCACAGGTGCTTTATGGTACATGCTTGAAGGTTGTTTTTACTCCTAGAATTCTGGTCACTTTAGAATCTTAGTCAATTTCACAATCATACAGTTTGTGGTTAAATGTTAATTGCTATAGAAATAATTGCAATTTACATTTTTTGTTTCATTAAACTACAAGCTCTTGGTTGATTAGCTATTTTGCTTTCTAGCGATAATTAGCAGCTCCCCACTGACGACATAATTGGAGCTCAAATCAACAAACATTACTCACTGCTGCCCTGTAAACAGGATATAGCATCAAGCTAGAACCTCTGTTGGACATTGCTCTGCATGTAGTAAAGGACAAAAGTACAAGCAAAGTTCAGGCTTTAAAAGGCCCATATAATTTTTAAATAGTGTTTGATGTAGTATATAAACATTCAAAACATACTGTTTACTCCCCAGTCCATAGTGTCCACATATAGAAACAAAGCTGCAAAAACATCAGTTTTGAATGAACTGTTTTTGTGATGTCATACATCTACCTATTCAGCCTACAGCATGATGGCTCTGCCCATTCACACTGAAGTTATAGTAATGTTCCAGCCTGTTTTTTGAACAAGGCACGATACAGGACAGACAGTCAGCTCTGTTGTGTTTGAATATTTCAGTTTTAAAGGCACAGTAACAAAAGTCTTTTTTGTTTCATTGTAAGGAATAAAGAAAGTTTGGAAATGGTCATGTAAAAATGAATTATGGCTGTTTTTTTGTACATAAACCCATACAAATGTCATAAGTGGACCTCAAGGAAAAGAGTGAAATACAAGAAACATGTAGGATATGTCCCCTATTTTTAGCTATACAACATACTTTTTGCATTTTTTGATAATAATGTATTATATGGTGTCAGAAACCATATAAGCAAGTCTTTTTGAGACTATTTAATAACTTGTTGTGATTTGAGGCAAGTCTGTAATGACTGACATACAGTTTGCACAACTCTGGTGCAGAAGTAGAAGAAAACCAAACGTCTTGGCTGATATTTGGCATAAAATCTACCCATTTTAATTCACTGTTACATTAGTTGAACTGTTCTTTGAGGTAGAAAGCAGGTCTGAATGTCAGTCAGTAGATGGTGTTCTCTCTAGTGTTTAGAGATGACAAGGACATGGATAGTTGTCTATCTCTGCATAACAAACACTACCAGATCTTTGTGTTCCAGCTAACTCAATAATGCATTGTTTTTTCAGGTGCTGGAGTGGCCATCTCTGGTACGACCTGGAGTGGGCCCAGTCGAGGGGCCTACCATCAATAGCGTTGCCATGGATCCCAAGCTTCATTATTTGGTTGCCCTTAGTGACAAGAACATGGTGGTGGTTTGGAAGAGAGCCACTGAATAATTAAAAAAAAGAAAATGAAAGCGAGAGATCCATCCTTCTGCCGTTCATCTTGAAACATGTTAATCTTACAGATTAACTGAAGTGAGCACTCAAGGGCTGTGGCAGTTACACAAACATTTTTCAAGGAATGGACTTTTTAAAGAATTAAGATATTTTTTTTTATTTTTGTTCAAATGCTCAGCATTGCTGGGATTTAACTTTGAAGGCGTCATGTGAGTTTTAGCAGTTGTCATTGCTGATCTGGAATCAGCATTTATAAGCTGACTATATACCAGAGAGGAAGGCTGTATATGCTGGCTAGTATTTAGTTGTAAGAATGACTAAATCTATTCTGTGCTTTTTTTTTTTATTTTTATTTTATGTTTTTGTACATATTCTTTACTGCCACTTGCATGTCTTGTTTAAAAAGAACATCACGTTGTACTGATAAGCAATGACTGTAACTTGTTTTCCCTGGGAAGTATAAAAAAATGGTAAACAAATGTGTGTTTGTGACTGCAATTGAAAACTTAAATATCACCACCATTGTGCATTCATGCCATAGTATAATGCCAGTACATTGTTGCTCACACAGTCGTAAACAAATGTTTGAACACCCCAAGTGAAATGTTTTGTTGATTTTCTAAGTGACAATAAGTTAAAACATCCTCTACGGAGAACACACTTAAATAAAAACAATTTTCTGTAAGGTTTGGTGCACAGTTAGTTTCTATTTATTTGATGAGTTTAACATATTGGGGGAAAAAATGAAACAAAAAATTAAATTTGCCATAACTTTTCAACAGGCCACAATTTATGTTCTGTTGTTTCTAATTTGTTAAATCCAGCAAATAAACCATAATTGTGCATGGAAATGTGCAGAAGTGTTTTCTGTAGAGGATGCATTAACATTACATTATTTTCACTTAGAAAATCAACAAAACATGCTGTTTGACCAGAGGTGCCCAATCTTCTGCAAATGACTGCATATATGTAGGCAAACAAAAAGGATCAGAATCTCTTGCACAACGTCAAAAGCAGTTCTACTAACTATACCAGTTGTTTATGGTTAATTTGCCTGGGACGGTGGTCTTGGCCTAAATCTGTCCTATTAAGCATACTAAACACTGAGATTTAGGAGGAGGCCCAGAGAACTTGTTGCTTGTTACTTTTCATTTTCAGGCTAGTGTTAAATAAAATGCTACTTTTTGAATACTTTTTGAATTTTCTAACGTTAATGTAATGTAAAGTAATGTAACATCATAGTATTACATTTTAATTTAGGTGTGATCTGCAGCTCCTCGGTCGTCATTAATTCACCAACTAGGCAAGCTGTGCTTTCCTCATTGTCCTCAACGACACAATACGTAAGGGCGTATCAGTGGGCGTGGTCACTGGGTTGGACCCGCCCCCGAGAGCTCTGATTGGTTTGTACATTGCGTCTCGTGACACCAGCGCCCCGGACTGGTCTTTGGATGCATAAAGCTCGCTGTGTGCTGCTCAGTGGTGCTATGGGGCTGTAGTAGGTAGCTACGTGCCTTTGTGCACAACACCACCATTCGTTTTAGATGGCCTGGTGAAAGCCGGCCGGTTGGTTTACGCTACAGGGAAAAGGGGACCGTGTTTGGTTCGTAAAGAGCAGCAAGAATGCGGCGCAGACTGACAGGCAGAGCTGTGCAGGCGCTTGGCAGCGGAGCTCCGAGGATAATGGGCTTTCTGCTGCCTCCATCATCCCAGAAAGCTGTTGGTCTCGTTTCGGCTCTAGAAAACGGCGTTAACGCAAGGTTTCGGTCTACGTCGTCCATTTCGAGCTACTCAGAGCTGGCCAGAGAGAGATCTAAAACCGTGACGTCTTTTTACAACCAGTCGGCCATCGACGCATCCGCTGAAAAGGTAACGTTAACGCGTCTGCATGCTGGAGTGGACCTAACGTCCACTGACGTTACTTACAGTAACGGCTCCGCACTGACAGGATAGCAACGCCGGCTAAATTGTTGCTTTCCGAGAGGCTGATGAGTAAATAAACATATCTAATACCCTTTACACGCATTTCCTTGCTTCAGTAAATCTAAAACAGTGACATGTCATGTTTTAGAGACTTTGAGGAAACGTTTTTACCGACGTCTGCACATTCAGCGATACGCGTGTAATCAGCTGTTTTTTTGTGTTAGCTAGCTGGCTAACGTTATTCAAAACTGCAAAAACGGTTTTAAGAGCTGGGAGTATTCACTGTTATTCAGTAACGTTAGTAGTTGAATTGGTTGGTATTTTTGCTGTCTGACGTACTGCACACGAAGATGAAATTAGCTTCCTATTCGCCAGCCGACTATTTGAATTTTTCCGTTCCACCTTAAATAGTGCAGCAGTTACAGTCTGGCGCATGTACCAGAATGTAACTACTGCACTGTTTAAGGTGGAACGGAAAATTAGAATAAGAAGCCAACATTAGCCTTGTGTACCCAACAAATGGGTAAAATATCTGCTGCACTACCTTGTCTGGATACTGCCTAGCTGGTTGTTGGGGGACCAGTAGTTAAGTTAGCAGTAACGGTAGCTAACAGTGAGGGCATTGGATTAAGATGACCGGTTTAGGAAAGCTTAGCTCAACGTTACTTTGTCATTTCTCTTAGCTAGATGTAGATACATTAGCTGTATGCTCCAGATGACCAGCCATTGCATAAGCACCATAAGACGAATAAAATTTGTTGGCGAAAGCGTTAGCCAGCTCGCTTAGTACCCCCCCCACCCCCCTTCAAATGACCCTCATAACCGAGGGCTAACTGTTACTTCAGGGTAACGTGAAACGTGAAGGCTCTGAACCACACGTCGTGGCGCAATGTTTTGTTTGGGCTGAAAAGGGCCTGTTTTCAGCCTAATTGCCAATTATTTGTATTGCAGCTGTCTGTGGAGTCTGTGTTTGCTACCAGCCTAGTGTCAATATCATACGAAGGTATTCCCGACCGCGGCAGGTCAGCACAAGGTCAGCTCGCAGACTTTGTGCTCTTGCCTCAAGTCGCATTAGAGTATCTTAATCAGAAGTCTGTATGATTCGAGTAGGTGGTTCTGCTTCGAAGTATGCATAAGAAACAGTATGAGAGACTGCAGAGACTGTACTGTTACTGTTCTAACGGTATGCACTCCTACAACCTGCACTACATTCAGCTGACTGTAAACTGTGTTTTTTTAGTAGTTAAAGGGGAAGTGCACCGATTTTTCGATATTTGTGTATAATCAAATGGTTATGATGTAAACAAGATCACTCAGAGTGGTTTAATGCGAAATGCTGTGTTTTAGAGAAACTTGCCAAGTCAGAATTGTTCACAGCAGTAGCGATAAAAAAACAGATGTCTGAAGAGTTTAGTGCCTCTGAACGTTCCCTCACAGAAAGTTATTACATGAAATGGTCACAAATACACTCCCTGATGTCCGAGACGTTGATTTACGATAGTTCTGACGTAAGGTTTTGACCTAAAGTATTTTATTAATCCATTCATATCAGAGGGTACATGTAAGGCGGCGTACAGCAAAATCGTCCCCAAAAGAAGGCTTATTTTTTCAGATTTAACACTATTTTACCATCAGCGTTACACACAAAACTCAGAAGGCACATAAGTTTACTGGTGGTTTTGGATAGTAAATAAAATGGCACATCAGAAGTCTGTGTTGTAAACATAGTGACCCTTGGTTCTTATCACCACCACTGTAAAGAAATCTGAGTCAGTACATTTCTCTACAATGCACCATTTCGTATCAAACCATTCTGAATGACTTTGTTTACATCTCAATAACTAAATTATGTAGAACTTTTGAAGAAATCTGCAGAATTCCCCTTTAATATTTGTGAATCTTCTACATGGATGGTGGCCAAATGGTTAAAGTATGTCCTCTATCTCACATGTCCTGTAAGTCATGAACTAATATATAATTTACACTCACTCCTCCAAATGTTATGCAAGGTAATACCTTGCCTTCAGGTTGTCTAGAACAGTACACCCTCTATAGCTAGTAACGCATCTGAATTCTGAAGAACAGTTTTGGCATATTTATTGTGTTACTACTCATGTAGTTATAATTAATTCATCTCTGTAATTAAGATGGCCTACACAATACCAAACAAATTTTTTTTTGTCTCCTCAGCCTTCTGTTAGACTCACACCAAGCACCTTACTGTATGCAGGCAAGTCTCCAGATGGAAGCCATATCTTGGTAATTACAGCCTCTCTTTTATAACTACCTGCTTTTTAAAACTATTTTAAGCGTTTGCTTTGACTGTGTAGCAGTACTAGATCACTTATTGTAAGCTATGCCCTAATATGGTATGTCTGTCATACCACTGTTTTGCATTAACTTAATGTTCTCTGCTGGACGATTTTCAGTTGTCTGGCATAGTTAATCCCTTGGTTGTCTACTGATTTATGATGTGTGTCATATTTACAGAGCAGTGCCAGGTACTTGCACAAAGAGCTGCCTGTACGTATCGCTCATCGTATCAAAGGTTTCCGCAGCCTGCCTTTTATTATCGGTTGCAACCCCACCATCCTGCAAGTGGTGAGTGCTTTTTGTTATGCTTTCTCACTGGTGTCTGCTTTGACCCCAGGATTAGTGCATTGGTATTCTAATCTAATGCATCTACTGGAAAGGTCTACTCTTAGAGGTAATGGACAATATGGAAGTAATGGCACGAGACTAATTTCAACTGAATGTAAAGTCCTTCGTCATGTGTCCTGCTTCTTTTTATGTAGCAAGAATTGCTGAAACAGCCCCACAGACCGCAAACAGCCCAGTATTGGGTTGGCGTTAGCATGGTAAACACATATTTTGTGTTTAGTAGTGGTGGTGGAGTTACAGCAACTCCTGATTGGCTGTAAGAGTTGTGTCTTTTCCTGTGGCAGATACTCTTGAAAAGCAGAGAAGTTAATGTTAGCATTAGCAATCTGGGGCACACGTTAAGTGTTCCCTATGGATATTCCACAGATGTTTTCATTGTTAACAAACTGTTTGAAACATAGGAATAGGTTACGGGTAAGTTTTGAGTTTGAATTTTAGGTTAGGTTTAGGGTTATGTCAACTTCATGTGAAGTTGCATTTAATACATATTTAGTTCAATGTTAGTTTATGATATGGTTAGCCTCTGCAAAGCTTCTACAGTGTACTTTTGCAGGGTCATCTCTAATAAAGAGTTGTAAATATTAAAGGTTTATGCTGAAAATAGCTAACACCATGGCAAACTGGGTATTTTAGGCAGCAATTAGTAGACATACTATAAAAGGCTCTGTCCAGTCACCTAGAGGTTTTTTATTTTTTATGCCTTCTAAGTGCGCAAACTAGATAGATTGGAAAGACGCCAAAGATGATGCATGCTCTTCTTTTTGTACAATTAAATTTTTTTGGGGGAACAACATGAGCCTGGATGCATAAGTCCCCGGGCTATCTTTAAACACACGCAATTCTAAAATGAGTAAACCTTGAGTATAAGATAATCTCAGCAAATCAATAGATGTGTGTGTGTATAGTATACACTAATCCCAGAAACCTGATGCGTATAACTGAAAGCCACATAAATAACGTAATAAGAACAGTTGCTATAGAATAGTTTGGCAAAAATCCAGTTGACCCAGTTTTCTGCGTACCACAGATATTCACTCAGCCAAGACATGTTTGTATTCCAAATTTTGTTTCTTTAGTTTAGGATTGGAGCTACAGGGCTACTGATGCTAACAAGCACTAGTATTTAAGTCACACTAACAGCTCAATTTCTTTCTATAAAAATATATTTCCAAAACATCTCTCAGCCTGCTTAAACTGCATCCAAGTCTTTATTAAGATTGCACAGACTTATCAATGTGGTTCAAAGTAATGATTCTCAACCCTGGTGCACATTTTATGCTTTTTCTGCTTTAACGCAGCTACTTTAGCTCAATAATGGGCTGTTAATGGGCTGATTAGTTGAATCAAGTGTGTTGGGAGCAGAAGAAACACTATAAAGTGCAGGGCAGTGGGTCTCCAGAACCAGATTTGAGAAACACCGGTTTAGAGCACAGTATGACTTACTGAGGCCCAAAAAATAAACAAAAATGGCTACAGGCAGCCTTTTCAGACAGCATCAGGGCTGGTGTTTACAAAGCTGTAATGTGGCTGCCTGCAGTTTTATTGATTTTCATAGTTCACACCAAGTCATACTAAGCTCTAAACCACATTGACAGTTCTGCGTGATCCTAATGAACACCTGGAAGTGGTTTGAGTGGGTTGAAAGATGTTTTGGAGATGTAATTTTACAGAAAAAAATTGTGTGACTACTGGGTTCTAGTAATTGTTAGCACTGTTAGCCTGGCTGCTCCAGTTCTAAACTGAAGAAGCAAAACCTAGACTTCAAAAATGTAGCAACCGATCTGTGGTAAGTGGGAGAAAAAAAGTTTGTAAATTAGGTTTTTGGCAGAACCATTCAGAACAGGACAACATGTTGGCACAATATCTACTGAGCGGGCAGTAATTTACCTTGCATAGATGACCTTATCTTAACATCAAAGCTCTAGCACTAGCTCATGATAGTGTTATCATTAGCTCAACATCTGATTAAACCCACATTGACTAGAAGATTTAGTTTTGCTTTTGAATGATGGAGACAATTCATTGCATTAATGTTTACAAATAAACTCCCTTACCTGATACAATATTGTCCTTTGTGTTATGGAATTACGTGAATGTGCAGTCTTGTTGGTCCGTTATTTAGATAACAGTTGACCAAGTAACGTTTCAGTAGTTCTCACAATAAGATAAGATTATCAGTGGTTGCCATTCAGAATATTATCTGCATTTAAAGAAATGAATGGACTGTTCCCTTTTTTGGTTCCATGTCAGTTAGCTAATCTTTTTTTTCCCACAGGATGACATCATCTCCAGCCTAGCTAATCTCACACAGTTTAGATGTTTTGCTACATTTTTAATTTTTAATCTTTATCTTAAGACTTTTGTCTCCTCTTAAGACTTTTCTTTTTAGATGTTTTTTTTGTGAATTTTGTGTATTTTCTGTGAAGCTCCTTGGGTTAATGCTGTCATGAAAGTGTGCTTAATAAATACATTTTTTTTGTATTATTATTATTATTATTATTATTATTATTATTACTACTACTACTATTACTATTACAGTTTTAATGCAAGATACACAAGCTTCTGCATAGTGTCAACTTTACGTTTACCTTACTCCATAATCTCAGGCGAAACATCAGCATTATGAGGAATAAGAGAGATTTTTATTGTTCAAACAACGTGAACCTCCGTAACAGTGTCTTAATTGAAAATGGTTAGAGGAAGTGAATTTCTGAATCGGTTTAACATTTTCTCTTTTATGGTCGTTGTCAGGTCTGTCAGAGCTTATCAAAAATATAATATTGCGCATAAAGTGTATTTACATGGCCAGACGTGGATATATTAGAATGCCTGAGAGTGACCGCTTCACAACCTTTGTAGCATGAATATACAGTGTGTGATGGTGTCTGATTAGAACTAGTATGTGTGCTAATGTCCTTGACTGCTTGTCACCCTCCTTTTAGGCTACACTCTTGCTCACAGAGACAACAGTTGCTTCTTTCATGCATTCTTTTATTTAGACAGACAAAGCTTTAATCAGTGTGATTGCAGTTACAGTCAATCAAGCACCAACTGTGTCTGGTTATGAATTCACCAAATGGAGAAGGCTACCAGAGTTTTTTGGGTAGGTTTTGTCTGAGACTGCATTCACAAAGAAGCCCCTCCCTCCTTTCAGCTTGTGTACAATGAGAGTCTTTCCTCTCGATGAACTTTTACCTACATCCTCCCTGCACTGAACTTGACACTCTAAGGAAGGAGACTATTAGCTCATTTTTTTAGATTATGTTTTTCTCTCTTGTTCCCTGAAGAAGAGCCTTCATTCCTTGGTTTCTTGCATGAAAGAAGCAAGTGTTGCCTCAGAGTGTTTGAGTTTCATGCAGTTATGTCAAACACTCTGTGCATGCTAGACAAGCTCACGTGTGACCTGATATATTGGCAGGCTGACTGAGAGGTCTTTGTTAGATTGCAAGTGATAACAATTCTGCAGAAACTCTGAGGGTACATCATGTTTTCTGCTGACTTCTTTGAAAGAACTCTAGGCTTGAAATGTTTTCCATTACTTTTGTCTTGTGGATGTTCCTGGAACCCAAATAGAATGTCAAACGTGTGTAGGGAGGGGATTCTTCGAATGTTACTTGTGGGCAATGGAAGCACAGCTGTGGGCCCCATCGGTTCCTTCAGACTCTAACCATATTTTCTGCCCTCTCTCTTCCCCCCACAGCATGAGCTTTACATCCGCGCCTATCACATGCTGAGCGATTTTCCGGCGGTGAGTACCTGCCCCCAGTCCACACTGATTTAAGCACACTTGTGCCCAAAGGTCAGGTCAAGTTCATACAGTCTACTTTTAGATCTTTCATAATTAAAACGTGTCCTAGACTCCACTGTAACTGGAGAGGCGACGGGGGGGCTTTGCTCAGATGGACTGCCCCCTCTGGAGCAACATCTAATCCCCTGTTGACTGAATGAAGTGCTTGCTCATGGGAGATTTCTGGAGTTGTGCAAGACTATGAGCAGCTTTTCATGATGCTACCGTGGTTTGTCAGGAATAGGTGTGGATCTACTTAAAAAAAAAAGTGTTGCTTTTGGGTTCTGAAACTTTTAACAAAATATTGAGTAACAAGCAAAATGAGAACCTCATTCCCTCCAGCTAACTCACAAAGTCTTGAGTTTCTAAGGTTGTGTAATCTGTTGCTATTATTTTGTCTTGCTTTCTGTGTTCTTTTGGATGTCAAAGTAATTGCTTACTGGTTCATTGCTCAAGCAAACTATGATTGGGTAGGGATGGGTGATATGGTGATATCTTATTGTTTTATGATAAATTTTACTGTGAGCTCCACTGTGGGTTTTGTCAGTTCTTGCATAATACTGACAGCTGCATGTTTAAATCAAAAGGGAGATTAAAAAAGAGGTTCCTGAGCATTGTAGCTTTGAAGATTTTTGAAGATTTTAGCCAATCATGAATTTGAATCATTTTTGTTCCTAGGTGTCAAAATAGGGCCATCCACAGTGCCAGGAGTCTAAAAGAGCATAATTGGCACTGCTTAATTGGATGGAATTCAAATTAAGGATGCATGATAATGTCTGATTTTTTTTTTTTTCTTTATCTGCAATGCACAGATCTTTAAATTTGATGAATATGTCCAATAATTGTTTGATGTATTTGTTGGACTGCAGCAGAGCAGTAAAATTTAAAAAATCTAGAATTTTAAACTACATTTTATGACTGTTTATGTAGCAGACACGAACATGGACAAATTATGGAATGAAACCTCAGCACACAGTTCCCATATCCATGCATCTCAAGGGCGAATCACTGTCCTTCAAATCCTACTGTCTTTGATAGCATTTTTAAATGTGACACTGCTGAAGCATTGTATCTGTTTCAACTTAAATGTAAGTTAAATATGATATCACGATATGTATCATGTATTGTGAAAATGTCTTCAGCTATGATGTCTTTTTTGCCATAATGCCCACCACAGTTTTTGGGTTTGCTTAAATGAAGTGCTGGACTTTGCACTCTACTTCAGATTAAAGATCAGGACACCGAGTCACGCTATAGCAAGCTTGTTCAGCAGCTCCTTGATGACCATAAAGATGTGGTCACCATGCTTGCAGAGGGCTTCAGGGAGTGTCGTAAACACATCCAAGTAAGAAAGCACACCCAGTTGATGCACTTATTCCTTTGACCTCTATTCTGTTGTTTGCCTGGTGACAATTCATGTGCCATTTGGGAAAAATTGCATTATTCAATATGTCACCTATAACTATAACTTATGTTATTTAGTCATTATAAATATTATGTATGTATGTAATGAGTGTTTGTTCTTTTATAAACATGTATGTTATGTTTGTTAGGATGAGGCACTTGTCCGAAATTTTCTGGACACAACCCTGACGTCGCGTCTGGGCATTCGCATGTTGGCCACGCACCATCTATCCCTTCATGAAGAAAACGTATGTTTCTTACTCTATTGTTTCATCCCACTGTTTAGCCCTTAGATTTCAGATCTAGAGGTCGGTTTATTTTTTTGTGCTGATAATCAGCAGTATTCTATAGTAAATCCTGTGATGTGATGGTCTGCTTCAATCCAGCAGGGCAGTAATATCTCCATGTCATGACTTGGCCCAATACTCCCATATATGTATGTCGTATATCAGATGTTACTGGTTTGTCCAGCTGTACTATGTTTTCCTGACTAGCTTTGCCACATTTGTCTTAAACCCTATTTAAGCTGGGTTAGCTTTTTCTAGAGGAGGTTCTGTGGTTTGTTAGTGATGGAATAAAGCATATGTGTAATCTTCCTACGTTCCCACAGATAAACCGAAATAGAAAACCTAATAACCCAGATGCTCACATCAGTGTTAGGTGACAGGCATTATAATAACAATAAAAGCACACAGCTGTGCCTATAGGCTGGTTTTGTTTGCTTGGTCAGTTTCAACTAGAATACTTTTGCTGAAGGTGCTTCAGGTTGAGACAAACTGAAGATAGAAAGTAGTCACCCCAGTGTGAACCGGGCTGTAAAAACTAGACATTACAGCTTCGGAAATCATAGATCTCCTTGATAATCACAAGTTATTTCCCCAGATGACCTATCCAGCTATGAGTGCTTTAGTTACAGGACTGGAAGAACCACAGCAGTACCACTGGGTTCATTGCTTACTCCCTAATCCCTTAGTTAAACAGTCAGCGACAAAGCAGTTTTCAGTTGTCAGGAATGCTGGGTTTGTTGCTCAACACTGTGTCATATCTGTAATGGGATTGTGATAATGGACCTGTGACAACATCATGGCCCAGCTCACTGATCAAGAGGCTCAGTTTGGGCTGAGTAATTATTTGCATATGCCTATAAGTTTCTCAGTGTAATGAGTGCTCGTGTTGTGTTAATCATTTTTGTGTTTATATAGACATGCATACACTTACAGTCCATAAGTATTTGCACAGTGACCCCATTTTGTTGTTTTGGCATAGAGTTCTAGCACTTTGAAATTGAATTGCTATGAGGTTAAAGTGCAGAAAGCCTTTTATTTGTTGTTGTTATTTAAACTACTGGTATTGTGGTGTCTTAATTAAACTTTTCTGTTCTCTCGTTTAGCCTGATTATGTGGGCATCATTTGCAGGCGTCTGTCACCTAAAAAGATCATTGAGAAGTGGGTGGACTTTGCACGGTAAGCCTTTCTCACTCAGTCTTCTTCATATCTCCCTCCTCCATATCTCTCCTACCCCTCTCTCTACCTCATCTACAGCTACATTTAGTCTTGTTTGCCTCAAATCTCCTGTATTTGCAAAGCTCTGATTAGTGAGGCTTTGCTTTGTGGTTACAGTTGAAGCAATTCTTTTTCCTTGAACTCTAGTTATTTTTAAAGTGAAAGTTTAGCCAAAAATCAATTTTTACACTATTTGTTGACAAAAATGTTGTCACTCAGCCAAGACGAGTTCAGTGTCCCAAGTTAACTTCTTCAGTTGTGTTTTGTAACTTTGTTAGTTATGAGGCAAATGTAGCTTAGAAGTAAAGGAAGCTTTTATCTGCCAGTTAGTATTGTGTGAACTGCAAGTCTAAATCCACACACTTTTTCCTCAGACTATGTTAGCTATTAAGTAATTTCAAATAAACTTTGGTTTCTGACAATGTGTGACATACTGCTGATTATAAAAAGCAGACAAAAGTGTCCCGAAAAGCAGGTTACTACTAGTAATCATCTTAAAACCTGAATTTCATACATACTAAAATCCTTCATTTATGACCTATTAAAACTTTAACCTGTGTCCAAGTCTGCTCAGCGCTATTCCAAAACTCCTTATCATTCAAGAAAGTAGTAGCGATCTTATCCTGTGTTTCTCACTTTTGGGTCAGGGAGTGACTAATGTTGTATAGGCAGTAATAACTTACTGCATCTGTTCTTGCTGCCAAGATATATTTGGGCAAGATGCTTCTTGAGCCAGAACTCTGTGTATTTTCTCTGAGCCCGTTCATGTAAACAAAGTGAACGGGCCAACTTTCTGTTGCTATGAGCAGAACTTGCGTCAACTCAGTCTGTAGCACAGAGCGATCTTAAACAGAGAACACGTCACATAAACAAGAAAGGGAAGTTACCTAATAAGGAAGGACTTGCACATTTTCCATTGGCATGCTTACCTGGCTGTCTACTCCAAAATGTTTTGTTCATAAGCCTTGTTGTGTCTTGCTCTAGTTTTTTTTTTTTCTTTTTTTCTTTTTTTCTTTTCCCTCTAAAGTTACCTGGGAACATATGACTTGCTCTGTATTGTGACTGTACCATGCCATATGTTTTTGTGAGCAGAATTAAGATTTCAAAGCCATGACTGAATTAGACTATATACTGTCTAAATTGGTGGTTTTGGTGTTAGGAGATGAGCAAAAACACTTGCATGTATTAAAATCAGTTCATCTGTTTGTTTTCATTACACTAGAACATCATAGCAGTAAGCTTTCTCACAGGAGGAATGTTTAGTACACAGTAGGGCTGCATGATATTTCACTTGATAGTCATGTTTTTTTGTAATATTGGTCTATTTATTGTGTGTGCATAGTTGGTGGTGATGGTGATGCACAGAAATATCAGTAGCCAAAAATTTTTGGTTAGTGGCTGAAAGAGGGAAAACATCCAAAAGTGTCACAAAGATTAAATAGGACTACAATGATGTATCAGAATCCAAGGCTTTATGGTAGGGATGGGCATTAGGATAATCATTATCATGATAAACAATACCTTTTTCTAAGCATATTGTGGATATTGTCAGTACTTAAAGAACACTGACTAACTACATGTTACATTGCAAAGTAAGCATCCTTAGAGTCGTCGTTGTCGTCGTTGTTGTTGTTGTTGTTGTTGTTGTTGTTGTCGTTGTTGTTGTCGTCATCATATTAAATCTCAAAAAAAAAAGTATCGCACATCATGTATCGTGGAAATGCCTTGAAGTATCGTGATATAATATCTTTGTCATATCGCGAACTCCTAGCTTACTGCAGTGCCATGGTGCAAAATATAACTTACAAATGATGGAATTCATTCCCTTGGATTAGCAAAAGACCTTAGATTTTGGTGTGCATACTGTAGCCTGCATACTGAATAATTTTAGTACATTTTCAGCCAAAGACCTTCTTTTTAGTGTGTCACACTGCAATGCCAGACAGTGCATGTAGAGCAATACTGGTAATTAATGCATTCAGTGGCCTACTGGACAATCAAAATAATGCACATAGTGCAATTCTGGACAGCATAAATTGTACCGGACAGTGTAGTCAGTACAAATTGTGCAGTACTGAACAATGTAATCTGTGAAATACTGAACAGTATAATCGGTGTACGGCGTAATCAGAGGACACAGTGTGTTGTCGGTCAAACAGTACTACCAGAACTGTATTAAAAGTATTAAAAGTGTAGTGGTTTTTGCAAAATGAGAGAGTAACAGTCATATTGGTGATAGTCTATAGTCTGGTTAAGATATGATGTGGCTTATGGCATAATGTAGCCCTGATTTATGCATGAATAACACTACTGCAACAGTGTATTTACACAGAATGAAGGTCTGCTCCTCATATGTTCATTCTTACAGTCACGTGCACATGCTGCATGTTCACATACTGTTCTGGCTCTTGGCCCTAGAGGCATTTGCAGCTGCTATGCAAACATGTCCCTGGTGTGTGTGTGTGTGTGTGTGTGGTGTGTGTGTGTGTGTGTGTTGTGTTTTCTTCTTCCCCTACTCCCTTTCTCTCTCTCTTCCCCCACTTGACTTGAAAACCTGTATTCACAGATCTTCTCTGGGTTATCTAAAATGCTTATCTCATTCTCAGTACAATGGGAATCCTCTGTGAATCTGGGGCAGCTCTGAGAGCCTCTGGAAACAAGGCTTGACTGACTGCTTTGGAACAATATGTCTAATGCCCATCTTCAGAGTACCCGGGCTGGCACAGATGAGTCAGCAAACCTATGCTTTCTCTCCCTCCCAATCCTCCGCAGTACCAGGATCAAAAGCCCAGCCTATAAGCCTGCCTGATCGCATATAATGCACTGAGAGCAAGCTCCTCCCAGTTACGTGATCTTGGGTCACGTACACACCAAATCGCCTGTTTATTAGACTAATACTTTATGCCTGCACCCACTGGCCATTTTTTTTTTGATGCACCTACCAAAATATTCCACTTGTAGGTCAACTGTATACCAGCTGTTGCTGAATACTAATATCTTTAATGGAAATTAAAGTGTATATTATAGGCCAATAAGTGTATATTACAGACCAAATAAGTGATTAAGGCTCGTCATTATGGTTTTGTATGTTTGGCATCGTACAATATACAAGCAGTGTCACCTTTTGCCTGGTTTGACATTGGTCAATAGCTGGAACTGCTGTTGACATGAGAGTTCCTTTGATTGATTAGAACCATTTGGATACAAAGTTAATGAAAAGGACTGATGTCATTTGTCTAGAGGTAACATAGTCCAGACATATCCAGTATGACAGCACAGGTAACGTAACACTGAACAGAGCCTTCAGTTTGCTTTTGGGTGCAATTTAATTTCTTAAGGTGTGCTGGGAGCAAATCTGCTGTTTTTCTTGTTCAGGGTGCCACATAACCTGCTGGATGTGTGTGTTTGAGTTTGTTCCTTTATCTTGTTTTTTCTTTCTTACCCTTGCAGACGGCTGTGTGAGCACCAGTATGGAAACTCACCGCAAGTTCGGATTAATGGCCATGTGGCGGCCCGCTTCCCGTTCATCCCTCTTCCTCTAGACTATATACTGCCTGAGCTCCTGAAGAATGCCATGAGGTAACACCGCCATCAGTACTGTCAAAATAATGATCAAAAGGCACAAACAACAAAAGAGCAGTTGGTGTTTTAATACGCAACAATAGACTTTATGGCTCAGACAGTACTTCGCTACTTACTGTGGCAAAGATCTGTGTATTTAGGCCTGCAAAAACCCATATTGTGCCAGTTGTTTATTCACATAATCGATGGCCTGTAAATGTGAAGTCCTGTCTGCTAGTCTGCATGTTCGTGTAACATGGTGAACTTTTGTGATTTTTGTAAGGGAAGTGTTTGCTGACAGCACTGCCAGTGTCTGTGCGTTCTCAGGGGAATACCTCAATTTATCAGAACACTGGTATGTTGGGAAACCTACCATTTACCAACTGTTCTGTTTCAGAAATGACATTTGCTGGAAACTAACATTGTGCTTTTGTGGAAAGCCAAATTCCAGAATTTACATATTTTTGAGGTTTCAGCTTGAGCTGTGCGACATAAATATATATATATATCGTTATCGTGATACATTGTCACAATACAATACAGTATGCTTTTTCGGTACTTATATCATTGGTACTTGTAGAGCACTGACCAACTGCATGTTTAATTATAAAGAGAGCAAAATTAGTCCTGTTTAATTGCATTTACTGCAACACAGTATGTCAAGTATTGAATAAAAATTATTGCGTTTACAGAGTATTTTTTAAAAATGTAGCACTACTGGTTCTTTTTTTTTCTCTGTTCCAACTGATCAGATGTCTGACAAAATAAATATTGTGATGTATCATTAACATTTTTTGAAGTATTGTGATATTATATTTTTGCCATATGGCCTGCCTCTACTTTAAGCTGTAATTTTTTTTAATACAGTCTGCTCACTTGGGTCCAACACTATAGGTGATTTACTACCCTGTTCAGGTTACGTCATTAACTCTCTCTAGTTTGGATGCCACTTTGAAAATGTAAACACATAATTGGACAATGGAAACATTTTTGTCAACATTACTTACACTTTTATATTTAGCTACTCGTAGGTAGGTATGTATCTTTCTATCAGCAGTTTTTTTTCACAGTATATTAAGTTCAGCAAACAAACAATAATTATGCATTGAAATGTGCAGAAGTGTGAAATATAAGTTCTCTGTGGTGGAGAACTTATTTTCACTTAGCAGATCAACAAAGCCTAGTTTCACCAAGGACATCCAAACTTTTGCATACAACTGTACGTTGCAGCTTTTATAGGATGTGTGACCTGAATATCATGTATGCCGTTTATTATCTCTAATGGCGGCTGGATGAGCCATTTACTGTTGGCTTTAATGCTGGGGTCTCTAATGTGCTCTGTAATGGGCAACATGTACAATGAGAATTGGACAACCACACTGGCCTTTCTTCCAGTTGGCGTTTGCTGGAAATTTACCCTATCACTTGCTGCACCTCCACGTTTTAAAAAATAGAGACCCCTAAATGATTACTGGTTTATGTATGCATTTCTTGGAAAGACTTTTAATTAGAGTAGACCTTTGTTATGTGGAGTCTTAAACATTCTTCATACTTGCATGCCTCATTTCCAAAAGTGGATCTTTTAAAGAACCGTCCTTTAATTTAAGGTTAAGGAAGCCAAAAAATGGTTCTTCTGTGGCATCACACCAAAGAACCTATTTGTACTTTCCATTGGGTTAAACCTGATACAGCACTGAGGCATGACTGTGCACTTAGTGGATGACATTTTCCCTGTGAGTTAGTTGGAGACATTTTTAAAGCATGGTCTGTTATGGTGGAGCTTTCCACCGGAAAGCTGTGTCATTTTGAGCAGGAACATTATTACCCTGCTGGGAACCTGCCAGTTGGAAAGTACTTGTTGACCTTTTGTTTTGTTTTGTGTTTGGGTGGAGCTTTTGGCCTTATCTACAAATGGCTTTTTGAGAAGTTGGGTCAGGGCGACCTGACTTGAACTCTTGTTGCTGCAAGTCGCTGTCTCCTTGAATTGTTAAGAAATTTTGGCACTGCCAAAAGTAGGTCAAATGTCTTTTTCGCTTCTGCACCAACCTGCTGCTGTGTCTTGTGTCTAATAATAAAACTGTACGGTTTACTACAGGTTCTACACACCCCCTGTGATGTAGTATGCTACTTATTGTTTTTCCTATGTTTCTGTTGTTTGGGTGTTTTTAGCATATAATGAACGCATGCAATGAAAATACAGTACTGTACAAAATCTGAGACTACCCTTCATTTATTTATCTATTTTCTAGTCAAAACACCTATTGAGTACAAACCTGAATCGGGGAGAGGATAAAGCAGAAAATGTAGTTACCAAAATTTTACAGAAGCCTCAAAAAATAACATGTAATAGCAGATTTGTCAGTATTTAGTGTGTCTACCCTTTGCCTTTACTACAGCTTTCATCCTTTTCAGTAAACTTGCTTTCAGTTTTTCAAAGAAATCTGCAGGGATCTGTCCACACCTCCAAAGTTCAGTGTTAGAAGCTGGTTAGATTTCCTGCTTCTCATCATTTAAGTAATCCCAAACACATTCAGTGATGCTGAGGTTGGCCAGTCCAAGGGTGGGGGGGCAGTTTCCCCACATGTTTTTCCTACGCACGTGGCTTATCTTGTATCTAAGCTCCTCAAACATCTACTGAAAAATAAATAACTTCATTCATAATATTTAAATAAATGAAGGATAGTCTCTGGCTTTTATACAGTACTGTACATTCAGGCAATTGAACCTAAGTATGCCTTAAGAACCTGCCACCCAAAACCCAGGAGAAAAGAGGAATGATCAAAACAGATCTGGGAGATTAAAATAAAAGATAAATGTAATCAAATGGACATGAAGGATCTAAAGGTCATCAAACTTTAGCTACAATGGAGGAAGAGGCAGTATAACCCAACTGTTACAGCCCATATCAACATGGGCATTTTGGTTTAATGGTATGCAAAATGGAGAACAAGCTTTCTAATGGTCATTTTAGAGATCTGATTACGTTTTGCAGCCAATTTTGAAAAACTCGGGCTTTCATTTTTTGACCAGTATAATGTCTGTGTCCAATATTTGAACGCTCAGCACTAACGTTATATCTGTAACCTATAGCTAGATAGCTAACTTGCTGGACGGTGCTTCTAAAACAGAGCTCCCATTATGATTCAGCGTGGTCATATTTGCGGACACAGTGGAGAAATTTCTTGTGTTCATTATTGTGTCTGTAAAGTAGATTTGTAGGGGAAATACTGTGAGCCTTGATGTTAGGGGAGCAACTAACTTCTTCGCTTTTTGTTCCTACATTTAAGGTGGACCTGTATCGAGCACTCATAAATAATGTTAATCGCTTATAGTAGGATTCCGCAACAGGTGGCTAATGCGTATTGGAAGTTGCATCTAGCTGTGGTGCAAACAACGGTGTAATAAACTTTAATAACAAGGGCCGGTAACAAATTTAGAAAAACTTAAATACCTACTTGCTGGGGAGTTTTGGCTGGGACTAAAGAAAGTAGTCGCTTTATGTGAGGGAGAGGAACGCAAATAGCTGACATGTACATATTGCTAACTCTTCTTGGTACTTTACCAATTGATGTTACCTGTGCCAAATGTACCCAACTCAAACCAAACAAGAAAATGGCAGAAAACACTAAATTCAAAAATCAAGACTAACATCATTTTTTTGTGTCCAGCTCATAGTAAAACGCCACAAAAACTATAGATAATAGAAGAAAATCAAGAAAATGAGCCGACGGGAGCTTTGAGTATTTGAGGCATTTTGAAAAGAAAGGGAAAGAAAGAAGGCTGAGATTCTGTACCTGGCCTTTTGTTCAGCAGTTAATTAAATGTATTTAATGAATTAATTTAATGTTTGAGTTTGATTTATTGCGGTGTACAATCTTGTGCACCAGTGTGGTTGCAGGTTTTTATCTTAAGCAAGTATTTTTTACACCTGATTCCTGACACCTGTACTTTAAATGTTCTGATGTACAGCGGATAAGGATAGTTGGCAAGCAGAAGAGTGACAAGACTGTGAAAACAGTATGAGTGTAGTTCATAACGGTTGAATGGTCATTCAGTTCAAAGGGAAACCTCGTGATTCTCTGATGCCTGTGGTGAGGAATCAGCCGGTGTGACTGTGTGGTGGAGAGAGAACAGACTGGGAGTTTGTCTCTGTGTCATTGTTCTGGTGAGGGAACAGCATGTCCTTGGCAACAAAGCCCAACTTGAGATACTTTTGGCTGTCGCTTCCATTGAGGCTGTGTTTAGCAAACTTCAAAGTAAGCACTGCTCTGGGGTCAGAGAGTTGCTTTCATGGATAACTGGTTCCACTTCTATAGGTAGGTCTGTGCTGATCGCAAGTTAGTCATGTTGCTCTGCAGTTTGATCAGTATGTTACTTTATACTCCAGGCTGAAGGATGAGGGCCTGAATTCAGGAAGCATTCATGAGAAGCCATGCTTTTGTAAGTGCAGTTTTCATGATGGTTTTTTGTAGCTTTAGTGCAGAACAACAGAAGCAAATGTCAGACACTAACTTCAGTCTTTTCTGATAGACTGCATTTGAAATACTGGGAGAACTGTAATCTTGATCTTATTGCTGATCATCATTGAAACCCATTTGTCTGAATCACAGTACTGATTTGGGACAGCAGAAAACTTCAAGGTACTGAGTCAGTGTCTCGCAGGGATATGAGAGTGGCTCTGAAGAGGGTGCTATACAGTTCGTCTCAGACCTCTCGCTCTCATTCCCCATACTCTTGAGAATTGTTGGAAAAGTACACCTAGGGACAGAAGACTGAGGTCTTCCTTATATGAGGCCTAATGAGGATGAACTCTTGTGAATTTGTTATTGCAAAATTTTCAGGAGCACTGATCAGGACCCAGTTTCCCACAAAGTAGTCTGGCACTGAAATCTTTGTAACTGTGACAAAGTGTGTTAAAATGATGCATTCTGTGCCATTTCAAGTCTTTTGTGCTGCAGTGATTTAAATGGCCATAATGAAAAGCAGACTTGTTCTTTTTGACAACTTGCACTATTTAAACACTAAAGTTTTTTTAATGTGCCATTCACAACCATAAATGGACATGGATAATTATGTTGCAAAACAGCCTGTTTTGAATTTTGTGATTTGTGATGTCACATCCATAATAAGTTACATATTAACAGCTATGCAGTTTAATTACAGTTGTTTGAACAAGTTTGAACACGCCTGGTCAAATTACACATTTTTTTGATTTTCTAAGTGAAAATAACACAATCTAAAGGAAACAAACTTGTGGCTTTTGTTGCAAATTTCAGTGCACAAAAACAAATAGTTTATTTTGGAACTACATAAAATATAAAATGTGCCATAGCTTTGGCATAGGACACTTTTTACATTTAACATGTATATGATATTCAGCAAATAAGCTTTTTTTTTTTGTTTGTTTTTGTTTTTTTTTCTTTTAGAAAATCAGCAAAATATGTACTTTGACCAGGAGTTGCACACACGTTTGCATACAGCTGTATAAAAGTTAAAGAAAGGTTAGGAAAATGGTCACTTGAAAATGAATTGGGTGCATTAAACCCACACAATCTTTCTAAGCAGAACGAAGGACAGAAACAATTTAAAATGCAAGAAAAGTGTAGAATATGAACCCTTTCATGCAGTAAGCCATATGGAATGTTTCAGGAGGAAATTTAGGCTTCATTTCACCCATTATTTTTAGACCCCTTCCTAACATATTTTCTCCTTGTTTCATAGGGCCACCATGGAGAGCCACTTGGACACCCCTTACAATGTACCAGATGTGGTGGTTACCATTGCCAACAATGATACTGACTTTGTCATCAGGTGAGTGTATTTGTGCACTTAGACTGTTGGGCTTAGTTGCAGATCATGCCACCCCTAATATGTGTCTCTTTGTCTTGATTCATTTGACTGGGTAATTACATGTATGTCAAGCACAGAATGGTGACCAGTTGGCCTAATGTGGTAGCACAAAAGTTAAATGAGTAAATGAGAGGAAAGGATCAGAAAGGCTTCCAGAATCAGTAATGCTGAACTAATGTATCACCATGGCAACCCAAAAGGAATGGAACAGAGCACTGGCAACTGTCTAACCAATCTTCTTATTCTGTATTTGCGGGCAGTACTGTTCATTAAGCAGAGTGCAGTCACGGAAAAAGAAGTCCATTAAGCTATCTTGCATGGACAGTGGCCAGCTGTCTTGAACAATGATAAAATCTGTTTGTGCTGAGCAAATTTTTTGCTCACACACCCACTGTTTGTCTTGCAGTGTACCACTCAGCATATTAACTGCTTATTGCACTAGTTTCCATTCTGCGCCTGTTTACATTTCAGTTCTTAGTGGGCTTGAAAAAGCTTAGAACAGATGGAAGATTTGCCATTTGGATACTAAGTACTGAGTTTAAGGTAGATTTATGCTCCTTGAGCTTTTGTTTAGCTGTAGTTATGTAGTTTGAATGGTGTTTGACAACAGCTATTGTGGGAGATTCGTAGTATTGTAAAGTGCTTGCGTGTGTGTGTGTGTGTGCATGCGCTTTTTGCACGCTTTCCTGTGAGCCATTCAGAGGTACTGAATAGACTGTATAGCAGATGATAGCTATTCTAATTCTATGGCCAACACCTGGGCATACTGCTGACCCCAACACTGTTTTGTTGTGGGTCTCTCTCTCTCTCTCTCTCTCTCTCTCTCTCTCTCTCTCTCTCTCTCTCTCTCTCTCTCTCTCTCTCTCTCTCTCTCTCTCTCTCTCTCTCTCTCTCTCTCTCTCTCTCTCTCTGAACCATGGGTGGAATTGATTACCTATCACCTTTTTGTTTTGTTTTTGTTCTGAAACTGTAACTGACTCTGTGCATCAGCTAATAGAGTAGGGATGCACAGTCATGTTAGTATTGGTAGATGATTACTTTACAGAAATTATGTACATTGGACAAATGTTTATATTTGACTGATATTTTGAAGTTATATTTAATGATGTACTACGGAAGAGCAGAATGCTTAGATGATGCTGGGATACTCTGCATTTTATTTATTTTGCTGCATTTGTAATCCCACAGAAATAAAAGTACTATTTGGGCATTGTGCTATTTAAAATGTGCCAAGTTCATTGTTTGGAAACAGTGTCTAACCAACTGTTTATTTTAAACAGACCATGCCAAGACTCTTTCGGAAAAGTATTTCAGAACACACCTCGTGTCGTTCAGATTGTTTGAGTAGTTAGTAGACTTCTGGAGGTTTCCATCAAAAATACAGTTCTCATTTCAAAATCCTTTCTCCACAAAGAGTGTAAAGTAATCTGAACAACGGCATTAAAATTTACCAATAGTGAAACTGTCCAAATACTACTTCGTGGCCAATGTGCCTTTAAATTGCCCAAGCCTAGTCTGACCCCCACCAGGCATAAGAGAAATTCATTCAAATTTCTTGTCCCTTCTTTAAACCTTCTTGTTTACACCTGTTTTACTTTTGGATACAATAGTACAAATGTCTGGCCCTTATTTGGCTGTTTCTTGTACAGGATCTCTGATCGTGGTGGAGGCATTCCGCACAGTATAATGGATAAGGTAATGGACTATCACTTCAGTACGGCTGAGCAGAGCACCCAAGACCCACGTATGAGCAACCTCTTCAACACCATGACCAACAGCGGCCCTCAGTCTGGCCCCATGCATGGGTAAGCTGCGCTTTATGTCCATTTAATACTCCATAGTATTACTAGAATACTTGACCTGGATAGCAAATGAAATCGTGCTAAGTGGGGCCCAGAAGCTTTTGTTCATTGTTGGCTATTGAAGGGGTACAAATTCACAGATATGTTCTATGGTATGGACCTTTTTTCTTTTTTTTGTTTTGTTTTGTTTTTTGTACCATTTAAATGTAAAGAAAATCCAAAAGGTTTAGTCTGTTATTTAATTGTCTAAACCCAACTAATCTGTAGGCAGTTCCTTTAGTCACGTTCATGTATTGAGCGCGTTTTTTAAAATAGCTCTGGATCATAACAAAATAATTAATAATAGCCAGTTTATAGTAATTATTTGTTTATTTATTTTTTAAAAGGTGCAGTGGAAAAGCTTCTTAAGAGTTTGTCAAACTTTGTCCCTAATAAAGTGAACCTTTTTTTACTTCTTCCTTATTTCCTTTTGTCCTTTTAGGTGCGGGGTTATTATTGGCCAGTGATCTGGGACTGAGAACCACAGTTCGTTAACATTTAGCTCTCCTGCTAAATGTTAATGAACTTGAGTTCCCAGTCAGCTATATTTGACTCATAAGAATTGCTGCCCAATGTTGTGCTAATATTTACTTGAGCTATTTAAAACTGCCTGATAGTTGCAACACAGCTGCATCCGCGTTTATTTGATCGGCTCAGTGATCAAACTGAACTGGTCAACCCAGCCGTTACTGGACCAGCTGAACTGCAAATGTTTGATTTTGGCTTTACAATACTGCCCCCTCACTGTGAGCCTTCTCAAAACTCAATGCCTTAGAAATTTCACTTAACACTAGCGATGTCCGATCTAAAAAAACAGGTATCTGAGGCAATCCAATCAGTTATCAGGGTCTGAATCAGTTTCATTAAGCCTGATTTAATTCTAATCTTCTCTTAAGGCTTTTTTTTACCCCACTGTGTCCCGTGGAGGCACATTTTCAGAATTTAACAAGCAGTTTAAATGTCTGCTGTGTACTGTGTGTGGTAAGCCTGGGTGATAAGATGATGTTATCAGATACCAACGATGATTGACAAGTAAGCTAATGTTGATGCTTCAAAGGCGATAATAGAATATAATGCTTCATGGTTTTCCGTAGGCATCTGTATCGTTAATACTAATTCATTTTTTATATAGTTACTTATTTATTTAGTGCTAATTATATGTAGATGTCACCCAACCCTAGTGTGTGGCAATTACGCTCTTGCTGGTAAAAAACACGGCTGATTCAAATTGGAAGCCTAGCACATCTTAAGTTAGAATGTTTTAACTCTAATGTACACTCAAAGGGTGCACTGTGCGGCTACATGATCATTGAAAGTACAACTGGATCGGACTCAGTATCAGTTACTAAGAATTGAAGAACTCTGATCAGTGGCAAGAAACTGGATCAGGACATTCGTGCATGATGTATTTTGTCATCTCAATGGACTGGTTTTTGACTTAAGATTCTGGAAATGGCTAATTGTGAAGTGGTAGTCTGGGCTACTTTTGATGTTGGACATGATTCAGTTTATTTAAACTAATCTCTCTCTGCTGTCTGTAGGTTTGGCTTTGGTCTGCCTACCTCTCGAGCATATGCGGAATACCTGGGAGGTTCTCTGGCCCTCCAGTCAATGCAGGGCATTGGCACTGACGTGTACCTGCGTCTGCGCCACATTGATGGAAAGGGAGAGAGCTTCAGAGTGTGAAGCACAGAGGGCCGTTTACAGCGACGTTGCCAACCGCAGCTGAGGTGTTTTTTTTTTTTTAGGGTTTAAAGGTTCACTGAGGCCTGGAAGCACCACTTTTATTAACTTCAGACATTTCCCCCTTCTCTCCTATTAAATGTACCCATGTACCCGACATTGACAAAGTTTTTCTTTTGTCTACTTTTTTTCTTTACATTTCAGTTTTTTTTTTTCCTGCATGAAAGTGTCAGACACAGTGCTTGTTAATGGAATGAAGAGGTTCCCTTGGGAAAACAATGTTGATGTTCACTGTGATGAAGCAAAAGGGGGGAAAAAAGCCTTAAGAGGATGGGACTTTTTTTTTGTCTCTACTTAAAGACCCTCGAGGTTACCCAGCGTTGAATACTCCTTAAACACTCCTGGTAGAAGATGCTGTCTGCTTACATTGATTCCACTCTTGGTTTGCCTCTGGATGACGAATGAACTTAAACACCTGAAAGCCATTTTTGGATGCTTTCTCTGAGGGAACCTAAGTGTCAACGTGGATTGAAGGACTTCATTACGGTTACTGGTCGTACTCTTGGAGATAAATCTAAGGACAGTTCTACTGCCTTACTGACACATCCAAGTAGCTGCCTCCTGCTCAGCAGTTGTCCAGTGTTTAATCATGTGTGCTTTGACATTTCAACGTATTTACAACCGAGGGTTTTGATTTTATGTACATGTAATGCTTGGCATGGAAAAAGGCTGTTTGCCTACTTACACGTAATTCAAATGCAGGTTGTGTTGTCTTTTTTTTGTCAATCCTTCTAAAAATAAGATAATTAAAATAAGATATTAAGTAATTATTCATATTTGAAAGGATATATATTCTTCAACTCTCTTCTTTAGACATGATGTCTGGCTGGGTTTGATTCAACTCACATTCCAATGGAGGTCACAGATATTACAGTCTCATGAGAGATTCCTTCTAAGATATCTTGTGATTAATGGGTCATTTTGATTATTACAGCAAGTAGTCTTATTGTAGTATTAAAGGAAAGCTTTAGCGGTTATGTATTTTTTCCAATCTTTCTCTGTTTGCCACATCTGTAGCATACACTTATTTTTTTTATTCTAACCATGGCCAGTAAGCCATGGTTAAAAAAAACACTCATAATACAAGTCAAACACTCATAATACAAGTCAAAGGGCAGGTGCTTCGGCTTCAGTGCCTGCCTGTTGACTTCTATACTAAGTGTGCTTCATTGTGTTTGTCAACTCTATATTGTGTGTGTGTGTGTGTGTGTGTGGCAATTAACCTACGCTACAGATGTGGCAAATAGATTAGGTTGGAAAAAATGCTGATGTATTTCTTTAACACAAGCAAGCTGTTGTTAATGACCATAGTATGTAATGGGTTTGTAGCTGTAATGAGGGGTTTTGGGGTTGACAACTTGTCTGCATTGGTTCACTAAGATGCCATGTGATGGTCTGTACACGTGTTGAAAATTGAATGAGGTTTGTTGCCCAAGGCTGCCCTCTACTGGGTTAACATGAGTATTAACTTCCCTTGTAACACAGTAGTTTGAATGGTTGGAGGTAATCATTTTTTATGTTTTTCAAATGTAATGGCATGGAAAAAAAAGACTAACATGCACATATTAACACAACTTCATATGTAAATATATGGCCAAATTATGACATGAGGTGTCCAGAATGATGTCAAGAATGGGATCATTTTTATTGGATTTTTATTTGTTGTTGGCTTTTTTCCATAGATGCCAAATCTGCATAGTTTCCTGGGCATTATAAAGTTCTGAATGAGAAATTGTTTGCCTTACTGTGTCGTTTTTATTCAAAGATAACATAAACAGCATATCTGACTTGGTCTGATTTGACTCGTCTTGCTTAAAATTATAGTCATGTTTTGCCCATGTCACTGGATGTTGGTGCTAAAGTAAAATTGATTATACATAAGATATTTGCTCAGTAGCTTAGTAAGAGACATCAAGAATGGGAATAAAAATAGTGCTTGTAATCATTCTGCATGTTCTCCACATGAGTTCTAGGCCTATTTTTAAAGTGTGATGCAGCGTTTTACTCCAGTCTTGTGGCCAAAATCCTTCTATTGACTAAAGGTATGAGTTCCAAACATGTGAAATTAACACTAATATTAAATGTTAGTGACCGACTAACATAATAGTGTTTTTAACATCAAAGTGCGATACAGAATATCTGCTATTTAAACTGATAATTCATTAACATCTGCATTTTGAACTGCTTTTAGATTTTTAAGCGCATGAGTTGGAAGTACCACCAGTCTTCAGGCCCAATACTTCACTCAGTAATCCTTGAAATCGTACATAAATACAATTTTACTCCAAAATGGTAATTTTTCAGAACAAGGGAAAAAATATTGTTGACTTTCAAAGTTTAACGTAACAAGAATTTCCAAGGTATTTTTGACCATTTCTATTTGTACATTCACAATGACAATTTACCACAATGCAAAGGGCTGCTGGTATTTTCAAATGGTGGCAAAAATTACAAATCTTTTCCCACAGCAACAACATACTAGTTGTCCGTATTCATATGGCAGTGATTGCTTATACGTTCACACAAATAAAGTAGTAATTAGTTTAATTAGTTTACTTTTTACAAATTAAAAGGAGAACGTCACTCAAACACATTATTAAACAAAAGCAGGTACAAAATCAGTGTAGGATGTAGGGAAAAAAGAAACTATAAAGAAAACAAAGGCATATAAAGGTTATTTATCACAACTCATTAATATCCATATCTAAATTTTTGAATTTCCTTTGCTCCATATGTTCTGAGGTTGCTTGAGCACGCATGAAGAAATTTTTCCGATCTATAAAACCACATAGACAGGAAGTACGTTTTATTACTTAATTTGTCATATTATATCTAATTTTTGGCCATATGGGACTACATGTTTTTAACTAAACGGCAGGAAATGCTGATTTGTCTGGGAATACCAGTACACTCTTTAAAAAGATGCTTCTTTAAAGGTTTTTTAGTAAAGGCACTTGTTCTCTTTTGAACCATTTCATGCTAAAATGATTCTTGGCATGGTGAAATGGTTTTTCACATTGATGGGGAATGTGTTGCATACGGTTCTATGTAGAACATTTTTTAAATTAGTTATGTTGTTACAAGCTTCACATCAATTTGGTGCTATATAGAACCATTTTCAAGTAGACTTTTAAGAAAGGTGGCTCTTTAAAGGTTTTTAGTGAAGGGAATTGTTCTATTTAAAACCATATACAACACATTCTCCATGAATTTGAAGAACTATTTCACCATGCAAAGAACCATTTAAGCATGAAATGGTTTTATATAGAACTCATGTTTCTAAATGAAACCATTGTCTTTAAGAACCATCTATTTTATTAGAGTATGGAAATAACATGGAATTAAAACAGTTCAAATAAGTACTAGCTAATATACCGTATATGAAACATGTTAAATTCCTTTTTTTTCATATTTAAACAAACTCGATTTGAAACCTACCTACCTCCTTTATTTGTGCGTTGTTTTGTCTTTTTGGCCCTTGGTCCACCACTTCACTTCGGGCAGCCCTGCTTTAGACCAATGAGAAGACACTGAGGCATTTTTATAATATTAGATTTAGCTATTAGACATGGGTTAAATTTTCATTTTAAATATAAATATCATATTTATCCTTGAAAATCGGGGTAACCTGTGAAGGAGATTCCTCCACAAATCTCCCCACACTGGACTGGGTGCAGCCTGGTCACGTGACCTGCCGAGGGCGGAGGGATGAGGGATGAGGAGGAAACCAAAATATTGCAGTTCTATGGAGTAGCTTGACGTGTGTGTCTGTATCTCCGTCTCTGAGCCCAAACCGACCTGTTTTCTGGGTTACGTTGTGCTAACCCGTAAGTGCCAGCTGCCTCGGTAAAGTATCTGACAGTAAGGTGAGTATATTTTGCCTAATACGGGGTACAAAAGGAGACGCTGACGGCGCGGCGCCTCGTATCTCATCTCAAACGTGAACATGAACGCTAACTCGCTAGCCGGCCGAGGAGCGTGAACGCGCTTAGACGTTTGCTAATTAATTAAGCTACTGTACGTCAACCGAAACGTATCGCTACAGGTGTGTGTTTTAGGGGTGCAGAGGCTGGTTTGGTTTGCGTCTGTAGACCGTGTTGCCTGAACGAGCTCGGCGTAGACAACGTTACGGTGAATGTATCCAGACAGCTGTTTAACTAATCGGCTCAGCGGCTCTGGCTAACTTTAACTTCGTTTTCTGAGAGGTTTGGTTACTAGCCCCAAATTTAGGTCGCTGTCGTGTAGCAAATTGAAATGTTTTCATATTTCAGTGACGTTAAACTGCTATTTTCAGCATTTCACACATTCCTCTCTTTGAAAACACAACCATTCAGGAATTTACGCGGTGCAAGTCGGCTGCGTGGATAGAATTTTCCCGTTCCACCTTAAATGGTGCAGCAGTTACACTCTGTCGCCTCAGCCTTTACCTGTGACTGTTGCACCGTTTAAGGTGGAACGGGAAAATTCGAACCAGAAGCTGGCGAACAGGGAGCTGACTTCAGCCTCGTCAGGAATTTTAATCCAAAAACTGCAGATTTCCCGGTCGGTGAGTCAGTGATGGCCTGTAGCATCGGCGGTTGTCTTTATTATTATGGAATATTTAGTATAGGTTATTAAATGACTCACACCAACAGCCCCTCTCTCTTTAGATTAACACTGAACACGAATTAAAACCCATGTTCTCCAGTAACGTTAATGAAGACACCTAGATCTCAAAGCCGGATTTCTTCTAAGAGTACTTTTAAGATGTTAAGCGTGATATTTCAAGCTTTTGTTTTATTTGTCATATTTACAGCTGTACATTGAGCTGTGGTGAGGCTTTAGGTGATCACTCTCTACAGCTGCGGTATTAATATCAGTGCATGCCTCATATGCAGGGTTACACGTGGCTGAGTGTCTTACTGTACAGTGGCTGACTGTAAACGTGTGAATGGTCCGTGTCCTGCTGTTAGCTAGCTGTTATATTTGGCTTTAGTTTTTATTCCCAGTTATGCAGTGAATCTGACGTGGCGCACATTCATGAGCTTGAGTATTTGCTCGCTGCCACTCTGTGTGTTTGTGGTATGATTTGGGGTTTGCAGTCCTAGCGCTTCTCAGAAGTAGGCTACATATGTTTGACAGAGCACAGAACCCACAGTTTCTGAGCTTATTTTCGTTTCCCTCAGCAGCCACACGTTCATATCCGGTATAGTTGTTTGCTTTTGCCACAGAACAACTGTGTGGTCGCCTAATACTCCTTTTCTTTTATATGAGCCAGAGATGTGTGATGAAACCTGCTCATAAATCCGGGGAAACCCAGTCATGTAAGTATCAGATGGACTGAACGCCTTTGCCTGTTTTCCCAGACCCGAGCACTAAGCCTAGACTAAATAGGATTTTTAGAGCTGGTTCCATGAGCATGGATATAGCTTAGTCTTGGACTAGATTGCAATGTCAATGATAATTCACCACTCAAAAGCTTTTTTGGTCCAGGCTTAGGCGTAATGTGGGCTGAGGAAACAGATGCTTAATGGTAATACACTGTTTAAATAGTTAAATTAATCCTTCTTTCTTATCAGCTTCCTTTCATTTTTGCCTGATCTGTATCCCATGGCCTCAGAATGTAGTAGCAGAGCAGACTAGCAGGTCTATCCACATGCCAAAAATCAAGCAAAGCAGAGGGAAAAAGACGTTTCATTAAACCATTTGTACAGTTTAATCAGTATCTAAAAAAAACAGTCCTCTGTGTAGGACTGGGCCACTCTGAAATACTTCAAAATGAAAAATGTAACCATCACTATATCTTTTGTGATGGTTTTTTCATTTAAAAAACATCATTTTTTTCATCTTTTGTAAGATTTTTTCATTTAAAGTAGATATTTAATGTAAACCCCCTTGTGATGATTCTCAGCAAGCTGGCCAATGCAGAAGGAAGCCACGGTTAATGGTCCTGCCTTCCTGTATCATGTCTGTATTTATTAGCTTCTACATTAATGCCTATGCTAGCACTCAGGGATGAGAGTGCTGTGCTACAGACAATTACAGAACTTGACAAGAAGCACATTAAATACTTTGTTAGAATGCCCCTTTTAATATTTTAAATATAATGTAAATGAATATATTTGGTTGGATATTGAAATAAAAAAGATTTTGGAAAAAAAAACTGTTTATATTGATTCCCCATTGCCCTCAGTCGCAATGAGCAGTGACCTGAACGTGCCAATGGGATCCTCGGCTGCCGGGATGTCCGACAGGCTCCAGGACGGAGGCGGGATGGACTACAGGGACTGGGTCCGCCGCAGCTACCTGGAGCTGGTCACCTCCAACCACCACTCTGTCCAGGCTCTCTCCTGGAGAAAACTCTACCTGAGCAGGGCCAAGCTTAAAGCCTCCAGTCGTACTTCAGCCTTGCTCTCTGGCTTTGCCATGGTCAGTGAATTGCTGGGAATATACACAGTCATCAGTATATATGAAGCAGTAGTTCAGGAATAGTCAGTGGTCTGGCTTATGTGCTTTCTGACAATGTATGTCTTACCCTTAACAAAAGACATTGACAAAATTTGTTTACAGCTTATCTGCAGTGTGGTCTGTCCATGTCATACAGTGTCATAGAATGTCAGACATCAGACGTGTTTTAGCTGATCGACTACAATTGGAGTAAGGGGAAAATTTTATTTTTCTAAAATTGTGAATCAGTAATCACTGATTGGTTACTGAAAACTGACAGCATACATGCTAAATGTGATGATGATATATATATATAAAAATGATATATTATAGTTACTTATTTAGGATTGTTAAGATATTTTACATGGATCATGAGGTTAGCATGTGTTGAGCAGCGTTGCTAAGCCTGAATGTTGCTAAGACAAATGTGTTTTTGTTTTTTTTTTTTCTTTCTGGTTGTTTCTCACATGATGGTCAGATGAGAACATAAGTAATCATGGCTTATGTGCCTGGCTGTAAATGTTATTAAGAACCAGTACAGGGGCAAAAAAAAACAGAAAACAAAGGGTGTTTTTCCACAGAATGTAATCAAAGACAAGAACAACACGAAGCATCTGATATAAGATGTAGTGAATAGATAGTAGGCCTGTCAGTCACTGTTGCATTTATTAAATAAACTTTTAACCAGAACTAAGTAACAACATAATTACCTGGTTAATGTATTTTTAAATGAAGTTTTCACTTTGGGAGTTCAAAGTCACATTGTTCTCGTTTTTGGTTTTTGCTAAGAACTCATGCTGATTTGCAACCTCACCAGGTGGCCATGGTGGAGGTGCAGCTGGAGATGCAGTATAGCTACCCACGTGTCCTCCTCATTGCCTTCAGTGTGTGCACAACAGTGCTTGTGGCCGTGCACCTCTTCGCGCTGCTCATCAGCACCTGCATCCTGCCCAATGTGGAGGCGGTCAGCAACATCCACAACCTCAACTCGGTTTCAGAGTCGCCCCACGAACGCATGCACCAGTACATCGAGCTGGCCTGGGGCTTCTCCACAGCCCTGGGCATACTGCTCTTCCTGGCTGAGGTGGTGCTCCTCTGCTGGATCAAGTTCCTGCCTGTGGACTCGGGGACTTCCCCGAAGCTGAACTCTACCAGCCAGGCAGCCCCACAGCCAGGCCATAGCGGCTGGCAAGCGGCATTGGCCTCCACCATCATCATGGTGCCTGTGGGCCTCATCTTTGTGATCTTCACCATCCACTTTTACCGCTCGCTGGTGCGCCACAAGACGGAGCGCCACCACCAGGAGATCGAGGAACTGCACAAGATCAAGGTGCAGCTGGACGGCCATGAGAGGGGGCTACAAGCAGTGTGAGCTTTTGATCTTCAGGGTTGGTTGGTTTTTTTTTTTGTTTTTTCCCTCTTTCATTGTTGTGGCACCATTCGTCACGCCTTCAAGCGCCTAGGTTCACAGCCTTTTAGCTCATGGAAGCCAGTTCCCCTTGTGAGTGCTTTTAAATGCAGAATATGCGTTATGTTTTGCCATAATTTATCACATGCAACAGTCTGGACAGTGTCTTATTCTGCCTTGTGTAAAGAAACGTCCGTGGAGAGATAGGAGGCACTTTATAGGAGGAAAAAAAAACAGGCATGTTTACAGAATTTTACATCAAGGGCTATTTTGTTTTCCTTTTATTTAGTTAGTCTTCTTCGTTTTTCTAATGCTTTTTCAAGTGTATGCTGCGTTCTATTGCTATGCCTCAAGACCCAGAGAATGTTACACTATGTTTTAAGCTTTTTTTCCCTTTGGAGTTGGCTGGTATTTGGGTGGTGTGTAATGGTGTGCAAAAATTTGGTCAGAGAATTGACAGAAACAATGGCAAGAACGCAGGAGACCTGGTTACACTAATAATTAAAACTTTTAGGCTCACTGCCAGGGTAACTGAGTCAGATATGCAATGATTAATAATCGCAGGGCTATACCAGCTGAGCTTCCATTTGGTGGTGAAATATGTTGTTTATTACTTACCAGGCGTTTTGACCTTTTTTATACTGAGGAGTCAAGATTCATGTTCCGTATTCATTCTTTGTAAAATTGCAGAGGACCATTTAACAGCAAGAAATGTCTTAAGTTTTAAATGAAGCAGCTCTAGCTAGTATTGTGCACTTCTGTATTTGTAGACCATGTCAATCTTTATGCAGTCAGTTTTACATTGTCATACTATTTACATTTTTAAGCACAAAACAGAAGCATAGTCCAGTAGAGTTTGTGTCCATTTGCATACCCTGCTTAGTGCTATCTCATTTCATTGCAAGAGGTTTACATTAGGCTTGCTGTGGCAGAACATACGTGCTCAAAATAACCTAGGGTTAAACTCATTGTACAGAGAGCATGCACTTTAAATGGGCCCGATTACGAAACTGCCTACTTCAGATATGAAAGTGAAATTGCATTTTGATTTTTGAGGTTAGACCTAATGGATCTGCTTCGTGAACTGTATAATGCAGTTATTCAAGTGGGTAGAGTTTGCCAAGCTCTAGATGCTTCCTCCAAAAAACCTTTAAATAAACCATCATGCAGTTTATGTAACAGGAAAATGTGAGGATGACATTCCAAAAAAATAAGAGTTTGACCAAGAACTGACTGCCTTACTGCAAAGACATGAAAGTGCACTTGTGGTGTCGTTCATCGCGTAAGACTTGTTTCTTTATGAAGTATAAATAATGGTTTGGCGATTTACAGTAGTATTTTGTGAAGTATAATTGCAGTCACATCAGATGTCTTGTGTTACATTATTACTGTTGTTACAAAACCTCAAATCTCCAAAATGGTAACCACATGAACATTCTTAACTTGAATGGATGATAATATAAAAAGATTTTATTGGAAGTAATTTTGAACCATTTCTATTGGTCCACTCATCAAAAAATGTTAACACATTTTGTAAATTGCTTTTGGTGTTTTCTAATGACGGAATGAATTGAAAACAGAGAAAATACATTAGAAGGTTTTCAATTGACAGCAACTATGGAAATACCTGCTTCATTGATGCATCATGTCAACCTTATCATGCTTTGTGAAATATTGCTTTGCTATTGTATTTATTGAGCTCATGTGATGAGCAGGGATCACTTTTAGCCTTTCACATCCCAGCTGGTATGAACATTTGAAAGATCATCTGAGATCACCACTCTGAGGCAGTTTAAACATGTGGGCCTAGTATACACTACACCACCTTGTGCATTTGCGTCCTCTTAGTACGAACGGCCAAAAAGAGGAAAACTTTGACCAAAATTAAGTACTTGCATAGCGAAGGCTTGTGGACTTTACAAAAGCACCAATGCCTTTGAGCAGTTTGCTTTTGAATATTACTTCACTTAAGTGTGCCACATACCATAGTGACCACACAAAACAAGCAATGGACATCCTGTGAAAGCTGACATAATGTATTCTCATGCACAATATGTAACCAGTCTTTTTGTGTTTGGTGGCATGTCTTTTTCACATCCCGTCCGTGTACTTGTATGTTAATTTATGTCAAATAAACACCTTATTTTGTTTACTTTCAAGCGTTATCTTATAGTATTTTATATGCTGAATTGTATTATACTTTTATAGAATTGTTCCCTGTTGAAGTTACACTACGTGAGTTTTGGGGATTTGGAGACCTCTCTGGTGAAAATTTGGAATTGCATGCAACAGGTGGTTGAGCAGATGAATCTGATGATTTGTAAGCGCCTTGAAAGAGTTTTCATAGAAAACTCAGTCAAACCTTGGTGAAGGGCGTGTCTTCCAAGGATGTAAGTGAATTGTCTTCTATTGTCGATTTTGCATTAAAATGCTACTTGTTTTAACAACAAAGAAAGGTACGGTCTAAACACACTATCAGGCAGGGTCTCTGAGCTATCTGTATGTTTTCTATCAGTGAAGTGAGGGTGGTGGGAGTGGGAGGTGAAACATAAGACGACTGTTTAACATTATTTTCCCCACCCTCTGATGCACAGTGATGTAATCAAAAATCCAAAAATGTTTCAGGGAAATGCAATAGTCATTCTGATGCAAGATTACAGGAAGACAGGGATTCTGTCTTTTAAATGATGAAATGTGCTTAATATAATCAAGAATAAAGTACAAAAGGCCAGTGAAGGTACTTGCTTGGTTGTCCGAACTAGCTCAGGCCTGGTCAGATTTCCCACTGTGCCACGTTCATAGATGTAACAGCTGAGGCTGGCACATCCACAAGAAGCGAGACAGCTGGTGTAGTGGAAAAACTGGCGATCACTATCCCACTTCCTTGGAGACTGAACAGAATATATTACCCCAGCCTTTCCTTGCAGCTCCAGCGATGACTCACTCATTGTATTTATTACAGAAGGAGCTGGTCTGGTTCCCCAGAAGGCATTGTAATGTTCTAATGTTTCTGAATGGCAAGTTCGAAGACATTTAGCATAATGTTGCCTAGCTTGACTCTCGATCTCGATCTCTGGCTTGGTGGTTTTTTGCACAGTGCTAAATGTGCAATCAAGACTCTTATCAAGACTTGGGCTTGTATGTTCCAAAATGATCTGTGCTTTTATTATGCTTACAATTCCTAGGTAGGTTCATGTTATGCAGCACTTTTTACATGAATGTTGTGCTGGCTAAAGTGATGTCTGGCTATTTTAACCAATACAAATCTGTTTAATCAGCAACTGTGGCTACATGTCCCAAAAGTATGTGGACACCTGAACATCACATCCATATGCTTGTTGAGTATCTCATTTCAAAACCAAGGCTATTAATATGGAGTTTGCCTTCCATAGTCTTCCACAAACCATTGCCACAAAGTTAGGAGCATATAATTCTTTAGACTAGTGGTTCCAGAACCTGGTCCTGGAGTACCCCCTGCTTAGCACATTTTAGTATTCCCCCTGCTCCCAGCACACTTGATCCAACTAATCAGTTCATTACTAAGCCCTCCTTGACTTAAAGTGGGTGTGCAGTGCATGGGGTACTCCAGGACCAGGGCTGGGAACTTGTGCTCTAGAATGTAACTGTACAGCAATATGGTTTCCCTTCACTTGAATAAGGGGCACAACCCCTTATTCTTCCTCTACCAAACTTTAGTCACTCTGCATGCCAGCAGGTAGTGTTCTCTTGGCATTTGCCAAATCTAGATTTGTCTGTCAGATTGCCAGACTTCTGACCTCTTTGCAGCTGTCGGTCATAGACATTTCCACTTCACAGTCACAGCCCTTACAATAGACCGAGGCAGCTTTGGCAGTTTAGTTTGTTGAACTGACTTGGAAACGTGACATCCATTGACAGTAGATGTAAACTAGTCCCAGCCATCGTGCTGTTTTCAGTGGGGACCAGCTAAGGTCAACTGTGTCACTTCCTGATCGGCTTCTCATGTAGTGGTTAGTGGGAACGCGCAAGACTGCAGGCGCCTTAATGACACAGATCTAAAGAGTGTGTTGCAAATGTCTGAACTGTTTGTAGTAGCTGCCCTGTAATTTTTTGTGAATGTGTTGAATCATTATAAATCATTATAATCATTCAGCATTCCAGTACATGTTCACCACTTAATGAATTTTAGTCACTACTTCTTACACCATTAGTTGTTTGTGTAAAATATACTGTAGAATTAGCATGTTGGGAGTCACTGAGTTCTTCAGTATGACCCATTCTACTACCAATGTTTGTCTAGGGTAGTGTTTCCCAACCTTGGTCCTAGAGACCCCATATCCTGAACATTTTAGTGTTTGTTACTTTGCCTGCTTTAACAGAGTCACTTAAACTCAGTAAGGGGTTCTTAATGAGCAAATTAGTTGGATCAGATGTGTTGAGAGCAAAGAAAACACTAAAACGGGCGGTGCGTGGGGCCTCCATGACTACAGATTATGAACACTAGTCTAGGAATTTGCATGGCTGTATAATTGATTTTATGCATCAGGTGTGACCGAATCAGTCAAACACACTAATTAGAATGGCAGTCCATACCTGCCTGATTTCTCTGGTACTCTTCGCCTTTGCATAAAGTGAGCATTTCTCAAATTATACACATGTATAACAAAAACATATGATCTAGCCAACTTTACTGGAGCTTACAAGGAGCTTACCACAAAAATGCAGTCCATTCAGGATCACTAGAAGTAAAAGCTGACTGGAGTATTTTGCATACTGACTGTGCCCTGATCTCTGTATGTCATTTCAGTCAGTGGAAGCAATTAGCAGGCTAATAAATGTGCCAGTAATTACATGGCCAGTTGAAGCCTAGCAAATGTTTAGAAGTTAATGAGGAGAATAACAAACAGATGTGCTCTTTGTGTAAATGCAATTGGAGAGACGTAGTTCTTAGATTATGAATGAGTTTTCTAAGGTTCATACAGTTATGCTGATGTAGATTTCAACTGCAACCACAGCTTTATTGTGCTTTGAAAAGAATGTGTCTTCGCTGACAGGTTAGTGATGAAATTTGGAGTGTCCATGAGCTTAGCATTCATACAAAGAGTGGGACTTCCAAGTTTTAAGAATGGTCAGGAGCTTCTTTTCAGTGCTGTCTGTATTTGCATTTTAAACAAATCTGGCCATGCACTTTAGCACTTGCTTTGCATACAGTGCAATTCCAGCGTTCTTTCTGATAAGGAAAAAATATGATGGCTGGCAGCTATGATGAGTGAACAAACATGACTTAGTATTGCCACAATATGGTGACTCTGACCAAGGTCTGACTTGGTTTTAAACTTCTCTCTGAGCAAGTGGGTGATTTTGCAAGGTCAGCATCCTACATTCACTTGTATCTGTTAGGGCCACACTTCAGTTATAAAATGCCTGTTTTGAAGAGCAATTTCCAAGGACACCCACAACTACAGTGAAGCACTGGCACATGTTGTAGCTTTTGATATTGCTATTCAACATGCTGTTAAAATGATGGGTTGGTGAAAAACAACTTTATAATGTTTCCCCCTCACCCCTTATGTCAGTTAGTCAAAACATGTTTAGCGACTTAAATGTTATGTTCCTTGAGAAGGACGCTGTGACATAAGGACTTGTTTATTACCACATCCAATACATCCTACCAGGCGTGTTGGCAGCCTATGGTAAAGAGGCTGGAACTGGATGTTACCATTATTGCATAACTGGGTGAAAGGTGACCATTCATTTGGAGACCTTCAAGGATTTGGGCCTGACTGAGAATGACTCTTGCTGACCTCATTAGGATGCACATGAGGGACACTACCTTTGTTGACTGAATCTCACCAGTGACCCTGTGTTTGGTTAGGTTTCTGTGCCAATACAAATCTGTATTACAAGAGTTCATAATAGTTTTGATTTGTAATGATGAATCAGCCATTGTGAATGTAGACTGTCTAATTTGCATATAATTTGCATAAAACTTAAAATGTTTTGATCATGTTTGTTAGATGGGAAGACAGGTGTTCTCACCCCCACTTTTTCTTTCTCTCTTTGGTTAAGTTATTGCATGTGTAAGGTTGACCTGTTGACATTGTTTTTATCCGTTCTTTTGCTTCATGTTCGGGGGCAATTGAATGCTTTTCATATATTTCTACTTTTATTTCAATCATGTTGCAGTTGTATTTACCCAACATATGCTATATTGCCAAAGTATTCGGTTATCTGCTTTCACATGCATATGAACTTGAGTGACATCCCATTCTTAATGTGTAGGGTTTAATATGATGTTGGCCCACCCTTTGCAGCTATAACAGCTTCAACTCTACTGGGAAGGCTTTCCACAAGGTTTAGGAGTGTGTTTATGGGAATTTTGACCATTCCTCCAGAAGCGCATTTGTGAGGTCAGACACTGATGTTGGACGAGAAGGCCTGGTTCGCAGTCTCTGCTCTAATTCATCCCAAAGGTGTTCTGTCGGGTTGAGGTCAGGACTCTGTGCAGGCCAGTCAAGTTCTTCTACACCAAACTTGCTCATCCATGTCTTTATGGACCTTGCTTTGTGCACTGGTGCGCAGTCATGTTGGAACAGGAAGGGGCCATCCCCAAACTGTTCCCACAAAGTTGGGAGCATGAAATTGTCCAAAATCTTTTGGTCTGCTGAAGCACTAATAGTTCCTTTCACTGGAACTAAGGGGCCGAGCCCAACTCCTGAAAACAACCTCACACCATAATCCCCCCCTCCACCAAACTTTACACTTGGTACAATGCAGTCAGACAAGTACCGTTCTCCTGGCAACCGCCAAACCCAGACTCGTCCATCGGATTGCCAGACGGAGAAGCGTGATTCGTCACTCCAGAGAACACGTCTCCACTGCTCTAGAGTCCAGTGGCGGCGCTTTACACCACTGCATTCGACGCTTTGCATTGCGCTTGGTGATGTAAGGCTTAGATGCAGCTGCTCGGCCATGGAAACCCATTCCATGAAGCTCTCTACACGCTGTTCTTGAGCTAATCTGAAGGCCACATTAAGTTTGGAGGTCTGTAGCGACTGACTCTGCAGAAAGTTGGTGACCTCTGCGCACTACGCGCCTCAGCATCCGCTGACCCCGCTCTGTCATTTTACGTGGCCTACCACTTTGTGGCTGAGTTGCTGTCGTTCCCAATCGCTTCCATTTTGTTATAATACCACTGACAGTTGGCTGTGGAATATTTAGTAGCAAGGAAATTTCACGACTGGACTTGTTGCACAGGTGGCATCCTATCACGGTACCACACTGGAATTCACTGAGCTCCAAAGAGCGACCCATTCTTTCACAAATGTTTGTAGAAGCAGTCTGCATGCCTAGGTGCTTGGCTTTATACACCTGTGGCCATGGAAGGGACTGAAACATCTGAATTCAATAAATTGGATGGGTGAGTGAATACTTTTGGCAATATAGTATAGCTATGTTGCCTACTTCTTCATAGCTAATGTGTCAAAAACCACTTAAGTCTGTTTGAGTTTACACACAACTGAATGGTTTAAGGTAAATGTGTGACTTAGGCATGCAATTATCATAATCCTAATTATTTAGGTTTTCATTTTTAGCTACATTAGCCTTGGAGCTCCAGTAAAAAAAAGCAACAAAAAAACCAAACATGCCTGATGGACTACATTTGAGGTAAAAGGAAAACTCTTCAAACTTATTCTTCACTCAAGTATTCTTTTAACTCTTACTCACTAGAATGCATTCGTTTGTTTTTCTATGTTCCAGGCTCTGCCAGTGGGAGTGCTGAACAAACATGGATTACAGGGGCAGTCCCACAGGGACCCTTCAATGAGCCTCCAGCTACAGTGGGGTCATGGATATGGGAACAGGCATTTTGCTCGATTCTATATTTAGCCTGGGACCGATATGGGCCCTCCAGCTCAGTAAACCTTCCACAAAATGTTCTTTAAAATAGCCAGGTGAAACGGTTATTGATTATTTGTGCTGTAATAGTTTGGGCCTGGTGTAAAAATTGCCACATGGACCCTTAACCTGTTGCTATGTTCATGTTGCTAAGACTAGCAAACAATGGCGCATATTCATGAAACCTCTCAGAGTAGGAGTGCTGATCTAGGATCTGTTACGGTTAGTAAGGTCATAGTAGACAAGAGAGGAATCTAGATCCTAGATCATCTCTCCTATTCTGAAGCTTCATGAACACAGGCCAATGTCGGTATAAATTTAGTTGGGGGATTTGGTTTTAATCCAAACCTTATTGAAAAATTTCAGCACTAATGTGTTGAGCAGAAGGGATTAACCCCATAATTGGACTGTCTATCTTGAGGTATTGTAATGCTTATTCTTGATGTTACAGATTAGCCTTGTAGGGAGGCGTTCTTGCCAGCTCGTCCTTTCCCACAGCTTTCTCTGGAATGCTCTCTAGTGTCGTAAGTGCTTGGGTTTGATCTAAATCTCTTGTGGCTGATTAGTCTTAAAATATATCAAGTTTGGATGAGGTCAAGTTCGACTATAGAGGAGGAGGTTGTCACTGGACGTTTTTCAGTCACCAAATCCCCTCGAGGGTGACTTGACTTTTGCAGAGTGATACAGTTCACTGACAAGCATAAAGTGTAGGGACTACTTTCCCAAAAGAATCATGTTCTGTCAGTAGAACTGGAAATCACCTTGTTCTTTGTGTTTTGACCTTTAAGACCTTTTTCTTCCATTACTTTGTCTTAGATTATTTAGGCAAGACGAGAGCAGAAGG